TTCAAGGCGTCTAAGGCGCCTTTCCTCCTAAGGTTACGGGGCATAATAGCGGTTTTTTGCCCGCACGTTACCTGCTTCGGCGTTGCACCCGGTTCTCCTCCAAGACTCGTTTTTCTGCCCACCTCTCTCTCTTTGCCATGGCGTCTAATAACTCGCAGCCATCAGCTTCTATGGGTGGCGCCTCCGCTCCCTCTAAAGGGAAAGCTAAAGCTTTGAGGGTAACATGTCCAGTGTGGAGCTCGAGCCTGAAACGGGCAAATTTCGAGCTTCTGACGACCCCGACTACTGCGTTTTGCGATGGCGTGGCTGAAGTCTCCCCACGCGTACCCCTGAAAAGGAGGTGACGCGCTTAGGCTTCTCCTCGACGGAGGAAGCGAGCTTGAGTATCCCGTGCGTACCCTTGAAAAAGTGGTAACGCATTTAGGCTTCTCCTCGACGGAGGAAGCGGGTTTGGGTGACCCCTTCTGTCAAGGCAGGAATGTTTTGCGAGGGATATGGACAAAATATCGCCTCTCATGGGGACTCGTAAAACGAGCGCCCGACACTTGGATAAAAATCCACGTGTAAGCACTAGGGCTCTTCCGCTAGTCGCGGGTAAAGGCTTTGCCAAGATGAATATCTTGAGCAAGAATCGATTTCTCCTACGCGTACCCCTGAGAAGGAGGTGACGCGCTTAGGCTTCTCCTCGACGGAGGAAGCGAGCTTGAGTATCCCGTGCGTACCCTTGAAAAAGTGGTAACGCATTTAGGCTTCTCCTCGACGGAGGAAGCGGGTTTGGGTGACCCCTTCTGTCAAGGCAGGAATGTTTTGCGAGGGATATGGACAAAATATCGCCTCTCATGGGGACTCGTAAAACGAGCGCCCGACACTTGGATAAAAATCCACGTGTAAGCACTAGGGCTCTTCCGCTAGTCGCGGGTAAAGGCTTTGCCAAGATGAATATCTTGAGCAAGAATCGATTTCTCCTACGCGTACCCCTGAGAAGGAGGTGACGCACTTAGGCTTCTCCTCGACGGAGGAAGCGAGCTTGAGTATCCCGTGCGTACCCTTGAAAAAGTGGTAACGCATTTAGGCTTCTCCTCGACGGAGGAAGCGGGTTTGGGTGACCCCTTCTGTCAAGGCAGGAATGTTTTGCGAGGGATATGGACAAAATATCGCCTCTCATGGGGACTCGTAAAACGAGCGCCCGACACTTGGATAAAAATCCACGTGTAAGCACTAGGGCTCTTCCGCTAGTCGCGGGTAAAGGCTTTGCCAAGATGAATATCTTGAGCAAGAATCGATTTCTCCTACGCGTACCCCTGAGAAGGAAGTAACACGCTTAGGCTTCTCCTCGATGGAGGAAGCGAGTCCAGGAAGACTCCATTTGTTTCTCTATGAACACTTTCCGCAGTAGTGAATTTCCATTTCCTTTCTAGGAAGGCGGCGTCATCAGCTTCGAACGCTTCTTCTTCTGGTGAGGCGCCTACACCCTCCCGTGGGGAGTTCATGGGTGGCACCTCAACTTCCTGCATCTTTCCTCGGAGGCGCCTCCTCTCTTCCGTTGCTTCTTGTGAATTGGGAGGTGCCTGGTCGTTGGCCTTGGTGAGTGCCGTCAACGCGGTCATGACTTGGTCTAGTTGGCCTTGCATGCTCGCCATTTGAAGTGTTTGCTTTTCCCGAAGCTTTGCTAGCTGGCCCTCCAGGCACTCCGTGCCTTCTTTGTCTCCCAATGGATCGTCGTCGTCGGATGCTTCCAAACCTTGGATGGTGAGTGGTTGAGGGTTGATAGCCTCGCGACCAAACCTCGTCATCAGCTTCGAATGCTTCTTCTTCTGGTGAGGCGCCTACACCCTCCCGTGGGGAGTTCATGGGTGGCAACTCAACTTCCTGCATCTTTCCTCCGAGGCGCCTCCTCTCTTCCGTTGCTTCTTGTGAACTGGGAGGCGCCTGGTCGTTGGCCTTGGTGAGTGCCGTCAACGCGGTCATGACTTGGTCTAGTTGGCCTTGCATGCTCGCCATTTGAAGTGTTTGCTTTTCCCGAAGCTTTGCTAGCTGGCCCTCCAGGCACTCCGTGCCTTCTCTGTCTCCCAATGGATCGTCGTCGTCGGATGCTTCCAAACCTTGGATGGTGAGTGGTTGAGGGTTGATAGCCTCGCGACCAACAACTTGCTTGAGAGGGGTCTTCGTAGGTGCTGGACTCCTTTCTTCTCCCTTCTTTGAGTTAGAAGCGTCTTTCAAAGTCATGCTTGGCCCCACGGTGGGCGCCAATTGTTTGAGCCCAATCGACTGGGGGTCGCTCGGGTCCAAGGGGTTTGAGGTGTCAGCCATGACCTTGAGGGGGTAGGCGCCCCGCCTCGTCCGAAGTAGAAAAAGAGAAGAAGTATATAGAGAGAGAAAGTAGAGAGAAGTTAGAGTAAGAGTAGATAGATTGCCATTTATGAGGAGAGAACTCCTATTTATACACTTTTGAGGGTTAGGTAGTGGTCTGGGCGCCTGCCAAGCCATAAATGCTCTGGTCGGGCGCCTCAGACTCTCTGACACTGTTCATAGTCCTTTTAGCAGAGGGTGTCCCCCTACCCCTTGTCCTTGCTGATGTCAGGTGCCTGGGCTTGTCTCTTGTCCCCCAGCCTTGTCTTTTTCCTCTTGTCTTCTTCCCTTCTCCATGTCATTAGCCATGGTATTAATTCCTTAGTCACTATGATACCCTATCATAAAGAATCGGTGGTAACGGAAGAGAGTAACGGGCAAAGGTTTTGGGGAATTAATGGGTGGTTGCAGGGGATTAGATCAGCACTAATAGGAGGCTATTCTTTTAACTCGATTCTCCCCAATAAACTAGCTCTAGGACCGACGTCGGCTAGGGAGGGGAAAGGGGAAATTTCAACCGGCGAGCACAGAAGGGGGAATCCAAAGCAAACTGATCATGGAATCGGCACAGGCGGCAACGAGAATGAGGGTAGTAGTGAACATCGGGCGCAACCGGGAGCTCAAAAACTCGACGATGGTGATGGTGACAAGAGATGACGCTGATCACGGCCAGAACCGGGGAAGAGAGGGTGCAGGGAAGGAGAGGGCCTATCCACCGAAGCGCCGTGGAGTATGGGCGATCCGTCACTGGCCTTCGAATTGCGGCCCGAGGAGGAACGACGGGCATAGCGGCGACGGGAAGTTTCAGACATCGAAGATGGCTGGTGAGTCATCGTTCGAGGTGGAGGAAGAGGAGCCGGAGAAGGATGTCGGTGATGAACCTGAGGAGGAGGAGAAGGAAGGAAGCGGGGACTTCGACGACGACGTTGACGAGGAGAAAATGCCAAAGGAGGCGAAGCACGAGGAGTTGGAGCGTGGAATCTCAGGTGATGACATGGATCAACCAGCAGTAAAGAAGGGTCGTCTTTTCGAGGTGAGTGTAAAGGGGGTAAAATCTCCGTCGAGGTCTTTTAGTTATGCCTTTTAATTCAGCTATGTTATTTAATTTTTGAGTAAGCGCGATTATGTGTGTGAGGCATCCCACCGCCTACTTAAGGTGGAGGCACGCGTTGTGCTATGTGTGTGTGTTGTGTATGGTTGATGGTAATTGAACCCCCGGGCGGTTGGGCCACTACTGGACGCGGTAGATGGTCGGGTCACTACTGGACGGCGAGACGTAACGCAGTAGTTGACGGGCATGGACTGGACGGCGAGACGTAACGCAGTGCCATTGCCGAGTTTGGGTATGCAACCGGACGGCGAGACGTATCGCGGTTGGCATACTAGGGTAGGACACCGGACGGCGAGACGTAACGCGGTGGTCCTAGTGGTTTGTGTTGAGATAAGGATAGAGGTCGAGAACTATTATGAGTTAATGTTGAAATGAGTTGATAAGAATGGTTATTTAAGAGCAGAAAGCGGGAACGGCTTTCATGCTAGGAAGGCATTCCCCCTAATAATGTGTTTAGTAAGGAGTTTGCCTAGGGCAAAGACCTTAGGAAGTAACGACGAGACTGACCCCTTCTCACTCACCAGGTTGAGGATGGGTTAGCGGAAGTGGATACCGAGAAGAAGTAAGATGAGGCAAGCGGTCGTGCCGGTACCGATGATGAGATGTCAAGGAGCTGGGTGAAGAGTATAGTTAAAGGTTGATAGTTGTTTTATGTTTATGGTTATGAGTATATGTACTGGAGATTCAAAGTTCAAGATTATGTGTTAAGTGTTTTAAGTATTTGAGATTGAGATTTCGCCCAAGTGTTGGGGCTTTTCGTTTGAAATTCTTAAATAATGTCAGTTTGTTTATTTAAAAAAAATGGTTTGGTTGCTCCGGAGTAACCGGTTTTTGGCTTGAGTTGTGGTTTAATTTTCAAAAAAAGGTCGGGACGTTTCAACAATCTTCAGTCTCCTGCCCCTTTGCTACACTTCTGACCTTGTTTTGTTCCTAATTCGCATATATCGTCTAACACACCCTAAAATCACATTGAATTCAAATAGGAACGGAAAAGGGATGCAATTGACGATGTTCAAGGAATTATGCACATGAATTGTCACGAAACAAACCTCAATATGAAGGGTAAATAACACCAATTTATGTGTTATCAAACTCCCCCACACTTTGGCGTTTGCTTGTCCCCAAGCAAACCTACCCAAACATAATGCAACATGATAGACAAATCAATGGGGGAATGCACTCTAGTTCTTCATTGCATAAAGAAGAGTAGACGGAGATGAATTAACGTTACTATCATCTTACTGTGCAAGCACAAACTCACGGGTGAGGACCATACCTACTACCTTACCTTAGGCTGAACATTCATGGTGTGCTCCGGGGATTCTCTAACAACAAATAAGCACAAGAATTCTCGAAGGTGCTTTTTATTCTCTCTTTAGGCTTAGGAGTTGTCGTTTATTAGTTTCCTTTTTCTTGACATTGACGTGCATTGCACCAAACTTTTGCAAACAAGCATTTCTCCCTATGACCAAGAGCGGATGTATCATAGCCTTTCCTTTCAAGGTCACATATGGGGAAGTTGATGGGCGGGATTCGTCTTATCCTGAGCACCACTTCCCAGTCTGCACTCCACATTGGTTGTCACACATGTCGGGTACAAACTAGAACTATCTTTAATTATGAGGGATTCAAAATATTGACTTCTGATGATAAAGTAAAGGCAATCTTGGTGAACATATTTTTGGAGGGATCATGAAATTTGATGTTATAGCTAGCGGAATTGTCAATGCTGCCAAACAGGTGAACAACACCTATTTCTGCTTTTGAGCGGTTGAGAGGAGTTCCCGTTCTGTTATTTCTGCCTGGGATTGAGCTCTCTCGTGCTTAACAGAGTCACTGGAACCAATATGTTTCTGTGATCATTCTGTATCAGTTTTTGAAACAAATGTTTATGTATTCAAGATAGATGGTACTTGGGGAACAATCAAGTCTCGTCGTCTCCTGAAGGAATCGAGTAGGATTCAGCTATCTTGCTGGCAATGCAGTAGGCAGTGGACTGAATGGTGATCATGGGATTAACACCAATGGCACTGGGGAGCACACTTGCATCGCACACAAACAGACCTTTGGCCTCCCAGCTCTCACCGCTCTCGTCGACGCCGCCGTCCTCCGCCGTGGCGCCCATCCTGCAGCTCCCCATCTGGTGAGCAGAGAAGAAGGTCGTCCAGTTACCATCACCTGACTGCAACCCGCCGCCCACTTCAACTCCATCCAGAAACGCCTCCATAATTTCCTCCTCGCCTTCCCCGCACGAGATCTTCTGCCCGTCGCTGCGGAACGTCCCCACTTCCGCCGCCCCGGCGGCGGCCAGAATCCTCAGCGCTCGCCTCAGCCCGGTCCTCAGATTCTCCTTGTCCGCTCTGTCCAGCCGGTGGGAGATCCTTCCTTCCCGCTTCACTTCCCCTGACCCCCGGTCCCTCACCAGCGCGAACAGCAGCGCCGTTCTCGAGTACTTCGCCATTTTGTCCTTCGCGTCCCGCCCTGATGTCCACGGAGACGACGCCGCGTACGACGCCGGCCCCGCCGCCGGGCATTCGATGATGGCGACGATTTCACCGGAGGGAGAGGAGTCCGCCACTCTGTGGATTGAGGTGATGATTCCTCCTTCGTACGATTTCTCGTCTTCCAGATCCAGATCCAGATTTGAATTTGATGATGGCGGCGGAAAGTATCCCCAAGCCATCACGACAGGGTGGAGGTGGAGGTTTTCCCCAATGTTAGGGTTCTTCAATCCGCTCGCGATCATCAGAGGCGGCGTGAGGAGCGATCCAGCTGCCGAAACCGTCACTCGAGCTTCGATCTCCAGCTTCTTCTTCCCCAATTTCGAATTCAAACATCTCGCCGTCACTCCCGAGCATCTCTTCTTATTCTTCCCTCCGCCGCCGTCGTTGGAGAAGACGAATTGCTCGGCTTTGCATCCTGAGATTATCACAGCGCCGTTGTTCTCCACGGCGTCGACGAGCCAGGTGGTGTCCGTGCCTTTCTTGTCTCCGATTCGGCAGCCGTAGCAGCAGGATCCACAGTAGTGATCCTCCGACGAGTTTCGCGACACCGATTCGACTTTCAGGCCGAGATTCTCGCATCCCTTTCTGAGGATTTTGTTCTGGAACCCTTCCCTTTTGCACCCGTCTGTAACCCCCAGCCTCTTCCACACGGCGTCCACGGCGTTCTGGTAAATCGAGCTTCCGAAGAGGGGAAGCTTGTCGTCGGCGGACCACTCTCTGAGGACGCAATCGGGCGTCTTGATGCAGGCGGACCAGTTGACGGCGGATCCGCCGCCGACGGTGGATCCAGCGAAGATCATGGTCTGGCCATCGGTGGTGGCCAATTTTCCTCCGCACTCGTACAGCTCCGCCAGCGAGGGTGCTTCGAGCGAGGAGTAATCCTCTGCGGCGAAGTAGTTCCCTTTCTCCAGGACGACGACTTTCATTCCCGAGCTAGCGAGAACGGCAGCGGCGACTCCGCCGCCGCAACCCGAGCCGACGATTACGGCGTCGCATTTGATCCTGATGGTGTTGTGCTGTTCGTCTTCACTCACCTCGAGACCCTTTTGGATTAGAGACTGGACGAAAGTGGTGTCGTCGGTTTCGTGGATCGTTTCCACAATCCCTTTCTCCAGAGGTCGTCTCTCCCCTCCTTTCTGTTTGATATGGGTTGTTTTCCTGGTGTCCACTTGATACCCAATGGCTTCCCAAGCTGGGTTCTTCTGAGTTTCATCGTCAATCTGCCGGGCGACAAACATGATTTTGGGGTTGATTGCATTGATGGGAAGAAATAAAGTAAGGAAGCGACGAGCTCAACTCTCAACTTACCCTGGAGAAGAAGACAAACAAGGAGAAGATTTTGATGGTTGCAAACACTACTCTGAGAGGTGTAAGCAGCCGCCGCGTTTCTCCACTCCATTTCTGGAGAAGTTGCTCTCTCTGTTGCAGGGGAATTTCAGAGAAGTTGTGCACAAATGGCCACTTCCGGTCCAAGCAGCAAAACCCGCAGAGCAGCAGTGTTCCCAACCTGGAAGACAGCAACTTGAGTACCAGTTTCAGTACCAACACAGCCTCTGGCATCCCTCTTCTGACAATCAGGTCTGCCACCTTTTAGAAAAGAAAAAAGAAAAAAACCAGACAGTACAATTATTTGATGCTGCTGAATGAGACCCAGAAGCTGCTGAATGAGAACCAGACAGTACAATCAGGTCTACCTCATCAGGGATAGGTGGGTGAGACCCAGAAGCTCCATAGAATGAAACAAGTGCTTGCTGCCTGTCAACTGGGATTTCCTGGCTCTGGTCAGGAGGTGTCAATGGAGGGATAAAGGCTTCACAGATGGCTGAAAGGGATCGGATCTGACCAGAACTGAGACCATGGCTGTAGGAAGAAGAAGTCATTATGCTCTTCCTTCCTCCTCTCAACAAGGTACGGCACTGACCTCTCTCAGTTTCCTCAACTAATTAATGAATGATCAGAATCTCTCTGCTCTGCTCTTCTTTCCCTTTCGTTGGTTTTCAAGAAGATGGTCTATCTCTCTGCCTTAAATCTACACGGAAGTCAGGAAGAAGTGGTGCAGGAAGGGATTTGATATTGCCTTATTTAAATGATTATCTGTCGTAAGAAGTTTCTGAACTCTGCCATTTGCTCATTTCTTTTAAGTCGCTGCCAAACCCAAAAAAAAAAAACAAAAGAAAGGAAGCAAAAGGACGTACTAGAGAGGAAGAGAGATGCAGGTTTGTGATACCAAATGGGAAAATATATATAAACGTGCCAATAAAAAATAAATAATATAAACGTCTGTCTTATAAAATAGGATGTTGCTCTCATTCTACCAACAAAAACCCAATAAATAAATGTTGCTCTCAAAAGCTCTATTGGTGAATTTTTCTATAGATTTTTACTAAAAGAATGGTGGTGAGCTTTCTGATAATAAGAAAATAGATTGGGTGCCTGAAAAAGAAAAAAGATTGGGATAATTGTTTTCGGCCGATGTGGCAATCTGTGATGACTCACTAATGTTTGAATGAGTTAATCATTAGTTTTGATTGTCAATTCAACAAAACGAGTTAAAGTTGTGTACTTGTGTATGACTATTATTATGAAAGATGGAGCAATCATTATTGAAAGTTGGAACCAAATATCAAATTTACCTAATTGTACAAAGTATGTGCCACGTTGCAGTATTAATCTAATCAAACTTCTATTCATGATCCTAGGATGGTTATTAAAATGTAATGATCTCATTGGCCCTAAAACGTTTATTTGGGTAGAACTTCCTCTTTTTCTTTGCTTTTTTTAAATTTTTTTAATTTTCTTATGTGTGATTCCTATATTCAATTTGAGTTACTATTCGTTAAGTTTATTTTTGGTAGTTCTACAGAACTTGAGAGGTCCATTCTTAAATAGGCAACATATGAAAATCTTTTAGTAGCATATTCTTTTTCTGTTTTTGTTTTGTTGTCTTGAAATCAACATCTTTGTTCGTATTTGGTTTTGTATCCTTACTCATTTCTCTCTCACTCGAACTCCAGAAACACCACGGGAAAGTCTCATTCTCGTCGAAAAACATGACGAAAGTGACTTCGAAATCGAGGAAACCATATAGTATGTTTATTTAGTCTTTTTCTTCTTTGTTCTTTTTCATTTAAGGTGCAGAAACTTCATAAATTATCTAACAAATCTAGCTCCAAATATGCAAATCTTCTCCCATTGAACCATAGTCGCATTGGACAACGAGTGCAAATGGCTATAAAACTCTCCCACAACAAGTTTGTGATTTTTCTTGCATCTTTTCAATTATATCTTATGAATCACATTTTGTTAATCCTTTCATATAACAAATGTGTATTGCTTTACAGGTTTTTCTATTAAAAAATTACAGGGTTCTTTCACTCGTCGTGAAGCGTAAGCGAGCGAGCCATCCCTAGTTGTTATTTACAGGGGTAAAATATTTCGGGTACCACTAAAGTATGAGAATTGGTGGAACTATACCACTTAATTAAGAATAGGGCATCGCGTACCATTGAACTCTATTATTATGTGCACCCGATACCACTTAAATTTATTGTTAAGTGCATTCAGTTAAAGTTGACAGATAGGGCATCGCGTACCATTGAACTCTATTATATGTGTACCCGGTACCACTTAAGTTTATGGTTAAATGCATTTAGTTAAATTTGACAAATATTATTGAAATATTCTGTTTTCTAAACTTCATAATTGGTCATTCTACTTTTCTCATTGTAAACAATCATTTGAATTATGAAAAAGATCATTTTTTACTGTTTAGTTGGGATCGTGTTTTGAAGACTTGATACCAAACCAATTTTTGAATAGAAAATTTAGAATCAATTATCATTATAAGTATTTTCAATTATCATTATGTGTTCTAATAATTAAATTCCCTGAAGCAAATATATCCTATGAATTCTGTTTAGTTGGAATCATGTTTTGAAAACTCTAATACCAAACTAATTTTTTAATAGGAAATTTAGAATCAATTATTAGTATAAGTATTTTCAGTTATCATTATGTGTTCTAATAATTGAATAATCCACTAAAGCAAATATATCCTAATAATTCTCTAGAATATGTTTAATTCTTTCTGATTGTGTTCCATTTATCCTTCTTTGGTCTTGATGTATTGATGATCGGTTATGTTCTATTTTAACTATTTTTAATAGTGCTTCTAATTGAATTAAGGGTTTAAATAGATATTCTAATGTTGATTTTAAATATTTATTATTCTTCTTGATATTCATTTATTATTTTACTAAAATATATGTTTTATTGGGAAAAAAATGATTAGTCATTTTAGTAATAATATGTTTAGAAGGTTTCTAATATTTGTATTAGATAAAACTTTTTGAATTATAGTTTTGTATGTTTTTAAAAGTTTTGGGTACCAAAAAGTAATTAAAAGTTTGGGTTGGATGGAAAACTAAACAGATGTATATTTTGACAACTTTAATATTACGTGACGCCCTATTCAAACTTAACAGGTATTTTTATCCCAATTTTCAAACTTAAGTCATACCCGGGATATCTTATCCTTATTTACCGAATGATGGACTTAAAAGTTCGACATAAAGTATATGTGATATAACAATTTATAATTTACAAATGAAAATAAATATAAAATATATTAATCTAGCTTCTTAAAATACATATATTAGTGTCGAACGTAAGATCAAAAGAAGGATAATCACACAAGGCACACCGATTTACGTGGTATCCTCAACGAGTATCGTTGAGACTAATCCACGGAGAGGAGCAGCCTCTCAGAGTCAATTGTATATCACCGAGAATCCTTAGGTTACAAGAGTGGTCGGCCGCTCCTATTTAATTAGCAGGCCCGTAAACCCTATCTCCCAATCCTACACAAATATGGATTGATGGTTAAATTACAATTGACCCCCAACACTTCTAACAGTTAGATGTGTTAAACATTTTGCAAAAACGAGAAAGACGACTCTACGACATTACTAAAAAATAAATATATTTAATGCATATACGAGGATTGTACAAATATCGAACAATATACATGTATTTTTTTATAATATCCGGAACAAAATTTTGACTAAAACAAATCTCCCATAATCCAAAAAGTAGGAACGACCAACTTCTTTTTAATGAACGAAACGACCAACTTTTTCCTCGTTTTTATTGTTGCTTAATGCTTTGTTCTTTTAGTATTCTTTGCTTCTTCTCTTTTCTATGGTTGTGTATACGTATGTATAGTATCTCGATTATTCTATAGCTTCGTGACTTCAAGCTAAGAAAGTTAATTGCTCTCACCAACAAACCAAATGCCTGGTGGGCGGGTACAAGAAATTATGTGTGTCGGAGTTACAAAATGGACCGAACCATTAGCTTGGAATTTTGCTTCAAACTTCTCGTTTCAGTCTTGTTGTTGTGTGTTCACTAATTGACTTCTACAAAGAGAATTTTTTGTACCTATAGTTTCTCACCAAATGTAGAGATGGCAGACGGGTGGAGCATGGCGGGTATCTTAATTACTATATTTGTTCCACACCAAGCGCGCGGGTCGGGATGGCGAGTGGGGCGGGTCGACCCATTCTTACATATTTTTTTTGAAAAAAATACATACAAAATTTAATTTTTACGATAAAGTGAAGGGAAAACATTTTACGAATGAAAACCAGTGATAATAGAATGTGTATTTAAGTGTATCTAGTTGAATGATAAAGTATAACTAGTTGGAAAAAAAATAAAATAGGAGAAATATAAAATAGATATTGTAAGAAATTGAGATAAAAATGAATCAAGAGTTAGATGGGGCAGGGCAGAGCTAATCGAAAGTAGATACTCATGTCCCCTACCACGCTAATGCGGACCGGTTTCAAATTGTCGTCGCTAAACAAATGACCTTTCTTATCCAATTAATAAATGTTTGATTGGTTTAGCTCAATCGGTTGTTTGTCGGGGCTGGGTCTATTTAAGAAATTCATGTTTACACAAAATGCTTTGGAATGGAGGGGAAACATAGACAGAGCCAGCCCAAAATTCTTTAAGTGAATTTCAGGACACCCCTAAAATTTGAAAATAACGATCATCTGATAGTAGTTTGAGTTTGGGACAGGGATGGACCAATGATCTTCTAGAGGCGCATTGAGACACCTCTAAAATTTGTGAATCTCTTATTAGTAGTTTAAATTTGTGCCGTAAAACTCAGCGATATGATATTTTATGCTGAAATTGTACTTTAACTATGGTTCAACCATTTCATACCGCTAAAAACTTGTCTACCGTTTTGAAAACACTTGCAACACATATTCGGATGGGTTTAACGCAGATACTAGAATACCAAAACCGAACCAAATCCATTATTCTCCGTAGAAAACCCAGCATAAATATTATGAGTTGAATTTTCCCCACCCAAATGAATTTGGACTCAATTGGATACCACGATGAAGTAGTTTTTCATCCCTAAATCAATAATCATAGCCGTACTCTAGCTACCAGTTTCCCTCGTGACTGCATTACTTGTCTTGTCAATGCGTATTCCACCAATTTTGACAGGAACAATGGCATCCTCTGGAGAGCAATCGAATCGAAGTGGCATGAACATAATAGATAGGAATCCTGTTTACGCTAGTTTCAATTATAGTAAAATGTCTTTAGAAGGATGTGAACGCTAGAATATAGACAGTCAATTAAGAAATTCCATATGAATTCGTTATCGAGTTATCTTCAGACAAACTGTAAGAGTATTGAGCAAGCATAAGAAAAGATCATCCTCCCATGTCAAACCAACTCAACCAAATCATATACTTGCACCAATACTTAACTTATTTTCTCAAATATAAAGAGGCTTCTAGCTCAAGTCACTTGAGCTATGAAATTTATCAACAATGTGATGACTTGACATTCTATCTGGCTCATTCCAGTACATCTGCAAGCTGTTCTCTCTTTTCCGAACTACCCGAACGGGCGTCTGTAATCGGTCATCTGCTACCGTGGCCTCTGCTACCGTGGCTTACGAAAACCAGAGGCAATCTCAGAGCATCTGAACCCAAATGGTTCGCTACACAAAAGAGACTACTCTCGTGACTACAGAAGGGGTGCAGCTAAATCTTCTTCCTTATTCCTCAAGCATATCTTTAGAAGGCGGAGCTGGTGCCGCAGATGCAAAACCTGCAACTCAATAGCTGAATATGAGAACAGAACGAAAGAAGGGAAAGGATAAATCGGACACAAGTCATGTAACGATTCCAAAAGATGTCAGCCATTCATTAAAGTATGCATTTAACTCAGCAAGGATCAATTGCACTCCTCCGAAAAGATATATGCCAGTGTTTTAATTCTTTAACCAGATTAATATGTAGGAACACACTTCTTCATGGAAGGGATAGGGACCAACTTGATTCTAGGTGAATAAAATCACGACAACCGCAGCCACATGAGTAAATGGAAGGAAGGCGACGACATCAAACAGCGTTACAACTTACAAGAGGACAGAACAAATTGGTTACCTCTTCTTGGAGCAAAACAGGGAGACTTTCGATGGAGACAAGAGTAAACACTTGTTTGAGAAGTTCCTCGTCTTTGATACCAGACCATGTTTCAGGAGGCAGAGCCAATAACAGTGCTGTTAGAACATCTTTGCTAGCTGGGTAAATCTGGTTACTAGGGCCACATTTGCAGGAATTCTGTTCCTTTTCAGATGAAGGAACCAGGACTTCAAGTCCCTGCTGACTTCCACCGTTGACTACTGTTCCAGAGACTACAGTGATGGGTTTTCCATCATGTTCTTTCAAGCATCTTACGCATGTTTCCATGCAACAGCCTCCTTTGAAAGACTTCCCAACCAAAATCTCGGCGCCTTGGCAGCAGAGCTTTGCCGCAATATCAGAGAGATCATCATCACCATTACCCTTAGTGGGCACGTTTCTACAACTAGACGTTGCAGAAGACAAAAGTGTGACAACATGTTTGAAAAGGCCAGTGTCTCTCACTTGTTGTAGTACCTCCTCCTGTAAAAAGTATCCAACAAAACAATCAGTTACTTGCATTTTGAACCCACAGTTAAAAATGACAAAAACAATCAATAATTAGTAGAGGTTTTGAGTTTGTAAAATACCTTCATGGCTAGTCGTCCTTTCTCCTCTTGGCTTATGTTTTCACCACCATCCTCTTGTCTTCTAACTTCAGCAATCCACTTTATGAAATCACCAAAATGTGATGGCAAGGACATAAAAACGACTTGAAGTACTTTGTTAATATCTTTCACGTCTTCTGACTTCAAGAGCACAGGAACTTCATCAATTAGATACTTGGCGAAGCCAGTCCAACTCTCTTGCTTACAGCTCTGTGAAATAAGAAAAAGTACGAGAGATGATACAAGAGTACCAGCAATTAAAACAACATGAGATTTCATTGGCAACATATTAACGTGAAAAATAGTGTTGTCAACTATATTTCTTTAGAAAAATAGTGATTCTAGTTACCAATAACTAATGAGGAAGTGGTGCCAACTGTAAACTTACAAGGGTATAAAGCAGTCCTGGCTCTGTATGCGGCCGTGATAAGAGTATGAAACTGTCGAATCCAAAATCCAAATACATAAGCAAAAAAAAAAAAAAAAACAAACAAGGAGAGGGGGGGGGGGGGGGACATGCAACACAAGTGATGGGCCTGTAGCTGACCATTCGATCTACTCTATCTAACCATGCAGGCTATTCAGATGCTACCAGCTAGCCTAGCGTGTGTGTGATACATAACCAATATTCTTGCAGTTATAGGTGAACCACATCAATTGTAATGCACTATGATTGAGACAAAACATATCACAAGAAAATGTGACATGAAGGTATACCAATGGAAAAGGTCCTTCTGCGCTCAGTTTTCACTTGCAAAGCAAAATACCATGGTAGAAACCAACAACCAAGCGGAACCTTGAAAAGGGCTCCAAATTGGGCTTGAAAAAGGGGATTGGTGTAAAACATGTTAGACTCAACGAAGTTTGATCAAGGGATATAGTGATAAGGGTGGTCATTTTAATGCAAATGAACCTTTTATGCACCCTTACCAGACTTTCCAGTATGTAAAATCAGAGGCTCAAGCTATATAGACAGAAATAAGACCCTACCCTCTATGATGTCCAGTTGTCACGTCAATTGCATCCATGGCTTCCCAAAGAAGACTTAGTGGAACCCAGTGTGGAGGATACTTAAATCGCGCCACGTCCAAAATCAAAGCCATGTCCCTTCCAGCATGATACCCACCAATAGGTGAAAAATGACCAGTCCCTGTCTGAAATTATGGGGTCAAGACAAAGAAATAATCAAGCTCTGTTAAGCATGATAGGCCGGTTTCATGCCTAGGTCTGAAATCAAGTAATATAGAAAATTGTTATCTATATTTATCTGAATAATCTTGCAAGCCAAGCTTTCTGATATTATTTATTTCTTCGCACAAACAGAGAAAAGCCGAAGTGTAATTTCTGTAACTGTCAAGAACAAGGATATGATTTCTACAGAACAACTGACCAAGTGATCTGAAATTATAGTTTCATCACATTAGATTGAAAAGCACCAAATCTGTCATTGGATAAGAACAAAAGATCCAAGGTAAAAGTTCAATTGTTTTAGTAATGTATCTCCCTAAAAAGAAATGTTTTTAGCAAAATATTCAAGCACTATAACACTGGCAGGACTCAGATCACTACTAATGATGAAGAGTTGCTAAGAGAGGGATCATTAACTAAAGAGAAATACCTGTTTAAAAACCCCTCTATGATATGATGAAATCACATGGCAATTATCAGAAGTGGAACATCTAATGTTTTTAGCAAAATATTCAAGCACTATAACACTGGCAGGACTCAGATCACTACTAATGATGAAGAGTTGCTAAGAGAGGGATCATTAACTAAAGAGAAATACCTGTTTAAAAACCCCTCTATGATATGATGAAATCACATGGCAATTATCAGAAGTGGAACATCTAATGACATGTTTACGAAAGTCATCAATGGTGCTTTGTCTGGTCCGGAAAGCTTCGACTTTCGCACCAGCACATCGTCCCAAACAAACAACTTTTCCAAATGAAATTCCGTCAGCTTTAACCTTTTCCAAAGGCTCACAACAATCCAGCATGGATTCGTCAAACCACCTCCATGGTCCTGCATTGAGGACAAGACCGTTCTCAATGTTTCCTATTTTATCTCTTTTCAAAATGGTAGAATACGTGAATAAATGTTGAACACAGGAAGAAACAACGCCCTGCTCTATTGCAGCTGTATTTAAGAAACAGGTTAAGTAATGATACAATTCAACCCTAAACATTTCCAAAGACATAGTATATGATTTACTAAAGCCTTACGCGTATACAGCTTGACACGGCAAAAGGAGTCGCCTAACACACATAATTACCAGTAATGACAACCTGTTATGTCCACATCACACCTCTACCTTAACCAAGACTCTAGCCTGAGGCAATGCATACTTGAGATTGAGAACACAGCCAGACTGAACTGCAGTAAACGACCAAATACCATTACCTTTCCATTTCCTCCCAGGGTCAATTGCAAGTGCATTCAAGACCATAGAAAGGCTCGCCAGGCCACAATACGCAGGCTCAGACTGCGTCTGGAAGTAGGATATCAACTTATAGAAACCTTCCATGGTTCCATTCTGAACCGCTTCAAGAAAAATTTGCTGCAACTCCACAGAGCAAACAATTTCAGATCATTGCATCGAAAACCACAAGCTGGTAAAAGTAGCCAGCCATATCCTCAATGCCATTAACACCGAACTTCGTGACTAGGCATGACTCTCGCCGTTGCAGACTAGACCATCAAAATCTGCCTCACGACAGATGACAAAACCCTAATTTCTCGAATTGAAACGTGATCGTAGGATACATGACCAAAAAAGGGAATCTTAGCTTCAGATAAAGTGAATTGCAGAGGTTTAAGTTTACCTTTCCTTCCGAAGAAGCGAAATCGATCGCAGGAGGGGAAGGGAGGACCCGGCGGTACAGTCCGGCCATTGCCATAGTTCTTAGCTCCCCGGAGAATCCGTAATTGACAGCGGAGCGTTTGGAGGTGCAAGGAAAGGAGAGGGAAAGCGAGCGAGCGAGCAGTGCTGGTTGGTTAGGGTGGGGGAGATTCGAGTTTTTGGTTTTTATGTGGCGGGTGAGCTAAGAAGAAATCGGAGATGAAGTCCAGCTGAAAGCAGGTGGACTTTTTTAAAACCGGAAGTGTAAGAAGATTCGCGGTTTCCAAGACGGCGGTAGTCGTCCGCGTTTGAAATCAGCCGTTTGAGGGAAGAGGAGGAGGCACTTCAAGACCATAATAATGAGCTCCACGAAGAGGTTGTTGAACTAATGGTCGAAAGGTTACATCTGAAGCCTGATATTTGCTCAGATGTGCTCTGTATGCATAGAAAGGAGGAGTTACATGAAATTAAAGCAAGGTTTAGTGTTCTAGAGTTCAAGGTGTCTTGTTAATGTAAGGTGGTCAAGAATGAAATTGTTTTGGGAGATTTTCTGTAAGGGGTGTTATGTAAGGGTTGAGTTGTAAGTGGTGGGTTGTAAGCTGGTGAATAATAAATTTGTTAATGTAAGATTGTCATTACTACCTTCAACAATTTCGTCGACTCTAATGCACTAATTGAACTCCCTCTTACTGGCAGTTATTACCCCTAGAGCCATGGAGTCGGTAGTAATTCCCAATCCTGGATCGATTGAGCTTTTATCACTGGCGGATTTGACTCCATGTTTCCATATTGAGTCTTATCTGCATTGGAGAGAATTGACTCTAATCACTATCCCCTTAATCTCAAATGGGGCGGCAATGGGAATATCAAAAAGCCCTTGGAAGTTCGAAAATATGTGGCTTGAAGACGAGCGTTTTTACAACAGTCTTTCCATCTGGCTCCTTTCTTCATTACAAGGGTCTGGACATATCTTTCGCTGGTCGAAGAGATTGCAGTCTCTTAAGCAACATATTAAGTATTGGAACAAACATGTCTTTGGAAATATTCATGATAGGGTTGATGAGCTGCTGAGGTCGATCAAGGAGCTTGACATCATTGGCGAAAACAAAACTCTTACTGAAGAAGAAAAGAACAACATAATCATGATGGAACTTGATCTTGTAATTGATATGCAAGAGATAAGCTGGAGGCAGAAGTCTAGGGAACTATGGCTTAAGCTTGGCGACAAAAACTCCAACTATTTTCACAAGGTAGCCAACTATAAGAAGAAGATAAATTTCGTCAACTGAATCAGTATTAATGGTCAGTTATATGAAGGCATAATCAAATTATCTCAAGGAATCGTGAACTATTATCTCAACTTCTACAAAGAAGAATTCTGGTGGCGTCCTTTTCCTGGCAGGTATGCTGGTCCTCATTTAAATGATGTTGATCGATCCTCCTTATGCACACCGTTTATTGAGAAAGAGATATGGGATGCTATAATTGACTGGTGGGAGCAAGGCTCTAGGGCCATATGGATTTTCTTTCGAATTCTATCATAGATGTTGGGATTGGATAAAAAGGGGCATCTTTCTTGCGTTCAGTGAGTTTCACGGCTCTGGTCTCCTTCCAAAATCCCTTTCCCACTCCTTCGTATGTCTAGCGCCTAAGAAAGACTCAGTGGAAAACATCAAAGACCTTAGACCAATTTCTCTCTTGAGCAGCTTTAATAAACTTGTCAGTAAAGTACTATCTAGAAGACTTGCTCCTCTTCTCCGCGGCTTGTCTCTGATCAACAACAAGGTTCAATCATTTGAAGGCACATATCCAATGCAGGGCTCATTGCTAACGAGCTCGTCGATAGCAGAAAGGAAAAGTAGAAAACCGTGTCTCAATTTTAAGTTGGACATCAAAAAGGCGTTTGACAACGTCAACTGGAATTGCTTATTTAAGGTTATGTCGAAGCTGGGATTCCCATCTCAATGGTTGAATTGGATCAAGGGTACCATGTGTTCCCCAATGTTCTCTATTCTGATTAATGGTGAGGCGAAAGGCTTCTTCCCTGCGGAAAAGGGTCTCAGTCAAGGCGACCCTCTATCGTTGAGTCTATTTACCCTCATCATGGATATCCTCTCATTCATGATATCTAGACTGAGCTCCGAAGGGCTGATCAAAGGCTTTCATATGAATGAAGAGAATGGTAGTGGTGAAGTTACACACTTATTGTTCGCTGACGACACTCTTCTTTTCTGTGATGTCTCACACGAACAAGTGCTCAATCTATTGGCTACGCTGGTTTGCTTTCAGACCATTACAGGGGTCAAGATCCACCTCGAAAAATCTATCATGATCACTATTGGCGATGTACCCCGAGCCTAGATACTATGCTGATCTCTTTGGTTGTAAGTGGACTAACGAGCTGCCGTTTTACCTTAGGTTTCCCCTTGGCGGAAAACCTACCAATACAGCTTTTTGGTCTCCTATGGTTGAAAGATACCACAAAAGACTAGACGGGTGGAAGGCTAAATACCTTTCGACGGGAGGCAAGCTTACCCTTAACAAAGTCGTCTTGTCCAGTTTATCCGTACGCTACTTCTCCATATTCAAAGCACCTAAATCTACAACAAACAAGATGGAAAGCACTATGTGGAAGTTCATGTGGTCTGGTGCTGGAGACGCTCAAAAGCCTCCTTTGGTTAAATGGGATGTTTGCAAGGCCTCCAAGACCAATGGGGGGTTGGGTCTTTTCGACTTGGAGAGTTTCAATAAAGCACTTCTTTCTAAATGGCTATGGAAGTATATAATAGAGAAAACTAGTTGGTGGCGTCATCTTATTGAGCTGAAGTACAAGAGCAGGCGCTCTTCATGGATCGTTGGTCCGATCATTATCGGTTACGAAAGTTCTTCTTGGGCCAGCATATCAAGAGAGTATAAATCTTTCTGGAACTATGTTTACAACGATCCGGGAAGTGGAGCTAATGCATCCTTCTGGTTTGATTGCCGGTCACCTGGGCGCATCCTTGCTGACGATTTCCCCGTGTTGTCGCCGCAGCCACCGCCCCTGACGCCCAAATCGCTGACATCTACACTCATTCTGGTGATTCTTTTCGGTGGGAAATTGACACTAAATTCAATTTGAGCGGTGGGACTGAGAGAGAGAGGCAGAATCTTTTGCATTTCATCAATTCCTTTGAATTTTATAATGTTGGTGCAAGTCCGTGCATACCCATCTGGGCTCCCAACCCAGACTCGTCCTTTTCTGATTCTTCCATGTACAGATATGTATTACTGCAGATTTTTTTTTCGGGAGTACCGGTATCGCATTAGAGGATTTCAACATCCCTATAGTGGTTCACCTTCTTCAATCGAGTGCTTTCATTCTATTGAATTAATGGTTAGATTGCGTTTGGTTTTGTTTTCCATCATCTTGTTTTTTTGCATTAGATTTAGAAGCCCGATATCGATAGGTTCATCCTCCCTGTCGTGGTCTACTTATGGGATATGATCATATCAAATTGAGCCTCAGAGTTGCCTTCAATTCCATCAAACCATGTGCTTAGTGTCTCAAATTGTTGCAAATGTCCATATAACCAAGCATTTAGTTCTTGAAGTTGATTCGAATGAAGTCAATGTTGATTACTTGCCTCCGTCATTTTTTTTTCAATGGCACTCATGTTACACGAAATCCTTCCAACTACATTTCTATGGTGGTGGTACAATTTGCAAAATAATCCTCATCATCGCCATTGTGTTAAGGCTAGACTCTGATACCAAGTTGCAATGCCCCAACTCAATGGATTGATGATGGCAACTCGTAACCCACAAGTCAAGGATTTTGCTTGTAACTCACAAACGAGAGAACGACGTAGAGTATCGAAAGAATGTTAGGTTTATTATTTCGATAAAATGGACTAACACCGAACTTACATATATATAATACATGAACCCTGCTTATTCCCCAAGCCTCTCGACCAACACCACCCTAATCCCTAACCGACTCGGCAACCTAACTTTATACTCCTAATAGACTACGGACTGAAGGCCCATGCACATCCGATTAGCTATGTAACTCAAGCCTAACTCTTCAAACTTAAACCCATAAGCATAACTAATTAAATAAATAAACACACTATTCGTACTAACCCAAAAGCCCACATGAGCACTTCGACCAGCCCAACTGCCTTCCCCCAATCGTGCTCCATCATTCCTTACCCCTTTGAATTCAACATTGTCCATACGGTTGATGATCGACATCCTCCTCCTCGAACAAGCACATAACCTTTGTTGTGTCGCACTTGTGCCCAACGGTGAACCTTTCCTCGCAGTTGAAATGCAATCCTTGAGCCTGCTACAGTTGTTGTTCTTCCAGCTCAAGCGTCCCCCCCCCCCCCCCCCCCGGGTTAGGCCCTCGAAGATTACCCACACCGGCCTGCGGTGCCGAGCTTGCAGTTCTTGACTCGTTGGTCCCTCCCCCGTAGCTTCTAGTCACAGATGAAGATGGCGATGTGGCTCGACTTGGTTGCGATTTGTGGCATTGCAGTTGATCATTCTTCATGCCCACCAGGCTGATTGCATTGCAGAGAGTTTGCGACCGAAATACGCGAATTTCATCCTCAATTTCAGACTTGAGGCTTCCCAGATAGGTACCAACCAGTGCTTGATTTGTCTAGCCTACACAAAGATTGGCTAGCTTCTCGAATTCATGCTGGTAGTCGCGTAGGGACCCCGTCAGATGTATTCGTGAGAGAGCTTTGTCACAAATTTCCCTCTCCAATGGCTCGAAACGTGCCCACAACTCCTGCGAGAACAACTCCCAAGAAATTGGCTCCCCAGCGTCCTTGTACGTGCGTTTCAGCTACTGCCACCACTGGTTAGCTTCTCCTTTGAGATGGAAGGATGCTAACGTAACTCGAAGATCAACCAGTACCTCTTGGCACTCAAAAAATTGCTCGACTCTTGGGAACCATGCACTGGGATCATCTTCAGCAAACTTTGAAAATTCCATACTCGCTAGCTTTGCAAGGAATGTGTCGCCGCCGCCGTTACCCTTCGACCATTACTACACTTGAGCCCGTCCCCGACCGGGACTTCATTGCTTCCCTTTGGCTCGCCACTGTTGTTGCTTCCCTTCACGCCTACCGACCACCAGACCCCTCCTTCGTTGCCATCACACTCTACTCCCCTTCCTTCTCGCCATCCTTCTCCTTGCCACCGTCCTTCGTCTTTCCATCCTCCCCCACCATACCTTTGTCGAGCTCTAGTTTGCGGAGAGAGCGCTCCACCATGTCAAAATGCCCGCCTAACTTGTTGACGCCGAGGTCTAACACATTCAAGCTATCGCTCGGTGCCCACAAGTTGTGGTTTGTCGCCTGCTATATCCCCCGCAGTTGCTCGATCGAATCCCTGGCGTTCTTGAACCGAAGCGTCTAGCGCCGTACAACGTTCTCCAACCATCCCCACCGTTGTATCGATTCAACCATGCTCTGATACCAATTGTCAATTGATGGCAACTCGTAACCCACAAGTCATGGGTTTTGCTTTTAACTCACAAGCGAGAGAATGAGGTAGAGTTTTGAAAGACATGACTGTCGATTTTCGTTGCTAATTAAATTAATGTCACTGTATGATATTTATAGAATTAAGACCTAGATTTTAATCTATAAGGGTTTAGGAATGGTACCAGATGCCAAATTTGGGTCAATTCAAGGTCTAGATATCATTTTCTTACTCAATGTATGTCATACCTTGTATTTTACCCAAGGTACGATAGAACCATCCATATATATATATATATATATATATATATATATATATGGCGAGTTCTACGGTACCCTGGGTAAAATCCGGGGTACCGCATACCTTGAGTATGAAAACACTATCTAGACCTTGAATTGACCGATCTTTCGGACATGATACTATACTCTAACCCTTAAAGATCAAAATCTAGGTCTTAATTCTCCCAATCTTATACTCCAAGATCAATTTGATTAGAAACAATAATCAACGGTTATGATTCGTCCAAATATAGGCAAAAAAATCAATGCACCATCTTAGGGTTTATAGTTTATGATTTAGATAATTAGGACCTAGGGTTCACTCATTAAGGGTTAGGGTATAGTATCATGCCCAAAAAATCCAGCTAATTCGAGGTCTAGATAGCGTTTTCATACTCAAGGTATGCGATACCCCGGATTTCACTCGGGGTACCGTAGAAGGCACCATATATATATATATATATATATATATATATATATATATATATATATAATACACGAACCCTGCTTATTCCCCAAGCCTCTCGACCAACACCACCCTAATCCCTAACGAACTCGGCAACCTAACTCTAGACTCCTAATCAACTACGAACTTAACTTGGCCCATGCACATCTGATTAGCTACGTAATTCAAGGACAACTCTTCTAACTCAAACCCCATAAGCATAGCTAATTAATAACTGAACATATAAACACACTATTTGTAATCGCCACTAAAATATTACAGTTTACTCCCTGAGTCATTTATTGTTACAATCCTATAACTAGACTACCTATACTTATGAATTGTTACAAAGAAGGACAATGTGTTACATATAGCCTACGGAGTTGGGCTGGACTCGGGTGTCAATTACAAGAATAGCCGGACCGGGCCCGTTCCGACCGAGCGAAAACCCTAGACGATATTCTTTAAAACTTCCCCCTAACCCTTTTCCTCACTTTTCCCTGCCAGTCTCTCCTTCCCGCCTCTGTGTTCGATTTCCCTAGCAGATCCGCGAAAATGGTGAGTTCCTCCGTCAATTACTCCAATCCTCCCACTGGTTGGTCGCCCGAACAGACTGTTGCGTCCGTTTGCTCGAGTTTACCTCGCCTCGCTAGCTTGGCTGGGCATAAATCAGTAGCTTCTCTGTTACTGGGAAACTCCGGTCTGCCGTCGTTGCAAAAACTTGACTTTATGGATACCCTTGAATGATGTGTAGGGTTTCAAGAGGTATGTGGAGATTGGGAGGGTGGCGCTCATCAATTACGGGAAGGATTACGGAAAGCTCGTGGTGATCGTCGATGTCGTTGATCAGAACAGGGTATTGCTTTCTTTCTCTCTTTCGTGATTTCCATTACTGCCGATGATGGAACGGTAGTTATTTCCCCCCTGAAATGTTGTAGCGATGTTGACTTGACAGCATCGTCCATGAAACCGTACCGGAAAAGTCAGCGGTAGGGTATTTTATGACAAAACCGTGGTTTAACCGTAATTCAACCGTTCATACTGTTAAATACGGCCTAACGGTTTAGCCTCCGATACTGGTATTTTGTGGTTGAACCGCCGGTACGATACGGTTTCATGGACCATGCTTGACAGTCACATTGTGAGAATTTGGATTCCAGTGGTTTTCAGGATTGTGCATGCTTGTCTCTAGAGTCATGATGGATGACTTAGTTTTAAGCGATTAGCCATTAGGGTTTGGCATCATTTCTTTGTGAATGGTAGTTGTTCTAAGTTCATCCTTAAAGGTCATAGAACTAGAATTGGTCTTGTCACTGTGAAGATTGTCTTGTTATTTAGAGGGTTTGAATATTTTGGTACAATGGATACACAGGCTCTTGTTGATGCTCCAGATATGGTGAGGAGCCAGCTGAACTTCAAGAGGCTTACACTCACCGACATCAAGATTGACATCAATAGGGTTCCCAGGAAGAAGACATTGATTGAAGCGATGGAGAAAGCAGGTTTGTGCTTCGGCCGCTCTAAATGTATTTTGCCATTTGATGCTCTGTTACCCATCTTCTTGTGACAAAAATTGTTTTCTATTTATGTTGGTGGCTCAGATGTTAAGGGCAAATGGGAGAGCAGTTCCTGGGGAAGGAAGCTCATTGTTCAGAAGAAGAGAGCCTCACTCAATGATTTTGACAGGTTCAAGGTCATGTTGGCTAAGATCAAGGTATGCATACAATATATCACAACTTCGTTCTCATTTCATTTTCATTAGTCCTCTTGGTTACGTGAACGCTACATCGTTGGGATGATGAATATACACGTATTTCCTTCCCTTCCCATTTGCTGCACGATTCCTTTGCTTCGCTTCTTGCATTTTTCGCCCCCCTGGCTTGTTGTAGTAAGATACGATCATGGTCATCACTAGCTGTGTATGCATATGCAATGGTGGCCTTCGGCTCGGCTTTTTTTATGACAAAAAGAACAAAATGCTTGTCTAATCGTAGTTGAATTGCCATTTAGTGGTAGTAATGATATGTATTAGCCGCCTGATTGAAAGTTCTTTGTGTGTTTGCAGAGGGGATCACTAGTCAGGCAGGAACTTGCAAAACTCAAAAAGGAGTCTGCTTAGAAAATTTCACCTTTCTTTTTAAGTTAGTAGTTACATGCCCTTTACTTTGTGGCTTTTTTCAGCACTTGGCAGTTTTGGCTGTGTCTTCACCCCAATGTAAGCATGATTTGTACTTTAGATTGAGATAGCGCTTTTGGTAATTCAAAGATCATGTGGAATGCAAGTAATCGCTCAACTTGTTATATTTCCTATACTTGACCAACGGGTAAAACTGCCGTGCAAAGGCCAATTCGCCAATCATGACAATGAACCAAAACTGAACAATATATGAAGGGAGTGCAGAGGCCAGAAGTATTGTAATAATAGTCTCCACATTTCATAAATAAGAAGAAAAAGAGCCACCTCTTAACATAAATAGACTGAAAGAACGAAGAAAAAAATCAAGGGGTTGTAAACAAAAATGGGGCACCTGAATAGGTACGTGAGTTACGCAAATTGTTCTCGAGTGAGTTGTCGACTGGGAAAGGCCGCAGTTTTTGCTTCAGAGGTTGCAAACCAAGTTTGGTTCTTACATTGAGGCCTGGTGCTTCTCAATTTGATTAGCGCCAAAGCTTTTCTGGAGACAACAGAACTGACCTCTTCCTGCTTTCTCACCACGGACCAACGAAATTTACACATTCAGGGGTGGGATCGACAATGCTGCAGCTGATGAGTAGCCATTGCCTTCCATCTCACGATATCGGACGAATACCTCTTGAGAAATGTAACTGGATTCAGGTGCTAGAATGGAGCCTCGAGAGATTCTTCCCAGACTTCTACGTTTCCATTTGAGACAGCCTCTGAATCCTCCTCCATTGAAAGTCTGACATATTCTCTATGTGCAAAACGGTCCCATTCGGTTAAAGTTGGATCCTCGCGTTCCTGAAGCATCACAAAAGGCAGACAGATGCATGTCCTTAATGCCAACCAGTTTACCAAGTGGATAGACAACCATGGGAAGCACTGAAGCAGTATCCATCAATTCAAATGTACCTGGTGAATGAGAAATGGGTCACGGCTTTCAAAGGCCATGAATTTGTTGAGATTGAAAAGAATGTTAAATATATTTCCCGAAAGTTTGCTTCTTTTCAAGTCGTGCAGCGTGATATAACCTTCCCTCTGCAACACATCCATTTTGAGTTCACTGAAAAAATAAACCATTGAAGGTACTACGATGGAATTTTTAATAGGAAATAGAACGAGAAATTCACCTCAGGTGAAATCATGTCAACTATTTGACACAATATATCTTCAAAGAGCACAGGTTCCTGGGACATGCAACTCATTCGATGCAGCTGCTCCTCATAGAAGTATTGCAGCTCGCTGGATGTTAAGACACCATTCCCATCCAAATCAATGCATTTGAACCTGCCCCATACAGCTAATAAAGTAAGACATGTGGCAAAGATACAAGGAGATGCTGCGAGTTCAAAATAGAAAATCATCATGAAAGTATGCTACTACATGAGTCCGCATTATTTAGTCCATTGTCAGACAGAAAAAAGCCACAGACAAACTGAAGCACTGTAGAACTGTCGTTTGATAATTGGCAAGACTAACTCCAAGTCTCCAACCCTAAAAGCTATTTTTAGCTTCCCAAACTCTCATGCATTTTTAACTTCTCGAAACACATTTTTACTCCAACTATACAAGAAACCAAATTTAGCTTCCCACAAGACACAACCACTCAACCGACCATAGATTTAGGAAGTACAAATTAAAAAAAAAAAAAAATTAAGGCTGGACCCACCGCTAGGGTCCACCTCTTCCTCCCACTCATATTTTGGCTACCAGCCAAATGGGAAGCCATATATGACTCTAGGTTTGCCATTAGCCCATTACCCTTTTTTGGTAGCTAAAATGTGGTCGGTTGGAGTGAAAAACTAAAAAGGGATTTATAGCTTTTTAGCACCCTATCTTGGAGTTAGTCTAAGGGTCTACTGCTAGTAAGAGACTAAATGAAGTACCAGAGTAGTAGCAAGAGATTTCTATGTTTAGCCTTTCCAGCTTGAGAATTTCATGAATTCTTTTGATATGTTATGATGGCCTCAATGTGTTTGATGAACATATTATTAAAATTCAAATTTCTACAAAGCTGAGCATTTTCTGCTGATTAACTGTAGAACATGTCGGAGTAATCGTGTGCTGTAAGCCAAACCAAATGGACCTAATAAAGAGACGGAGTAATACTATACCAATATTCAAGACTAGGTTCAGATGATTTATTCTCCTCTGCCAATATGAAATAAACAAAATCTTCATAGCTCATCTTTCCTTCCATATTGCTTGAAAACTTCTTCGGTACCTGAAATCAATTTAGGATATTGTTAATAGTCATCTGATGTGTAACTATTGCATCGAATGGTGAAAATTATCTGATTCAAATTTCGAATAATGAAGTTATAGATCAAGGCTGCCAACCTGTGAAAATATTCTATCAACAATCCTGTATGTAAGACAATGATTACCATATCTGATAAGATTCTCTCGGTCCAGCAAGTAATCATGGTCTGTATCCAGCTCCCAGAATTTGCAATATATCACGTAGAAATGCTCATAAGAGAAGTACCTGAATAAAGACAACAGATGCTAGGTAAAGAAAAGAGCTACCTGGTCATGAAGCAAGAGACGTTATCCAATAACTCTATGAATATATCATATTTATCACTGAAGGGAACACAATTGGCACCAGTGATTATATGCATGTCCGTTTTTATTTAGCTTGGCGCATGTTATATGTTAAAACAAATATAGTGACTTAAATGCAAATACAAGTATTCATAAACAGAAGCCAACCAGACTAAGTTAAAATTAAAAGGAATAGCTTCAAGTAGGTTTACAGTCAAATCCTAGCTCAAGCAACTAATCTAGAAATATCTGCTGGAACACAAACCTCAGAATTTTGTTAATTTCCTCTTCGTCATCAACTTGTTGCATGACAAAGATGAGATTGCTGCGTTTCAACTCCCTTAGGGTAAGACGGCCATTTCCTGATCTATTGATGTAGTAAAATATTCTGTATATGACAGTTTCGGCTGATACATCAGTAGAAAAATTTCTTAAGTCAAAATCATATGACTGCAACATGATTCATCATATAGAGAAAAATGACATATCCTCTGAGAAGTAGTTGCTTTCATTCATACCATATTTCTCTTGAAACTCAGGCGTTCCCTGTAAGAACTCCAACCCGGGGTGAGTGGCTAGCAGTTCTTCCAGAACAGGTTTGAAGTCAGACTGCACAATAAAAGTTCAGCAGTTCAGTCTCACACATGGTTTTGAATGAGAGAAAGAGCCATCATCAAAATGATTAGCAGTCAGCAAGCAAATGTAGAGACAGTTTTTCTGGATAAGTTATGCATCGGAGGACAGACCTTAGTTAGGTAGCGGTGGTTAGGCTGCTTTAAAATTTCAAAGACTTGTGTGGCCATATCCATAGTGAGCATATTGCTCTCCACCCAATATTTTAGAAATGCATCCCTGCAGAAAACCAAATGAAATAGGAACTTAGGTTCTAACTGAGACACACATTGGAGAGGCCGAGAAACTTATCACGTCTATAACCAAAACTACTTAAACAAACATTTGTTGCCAAGGAAACGCAGCAGAAGAAGTTCAAGAAGGGGTTTTTCGTAACAGGAAATGCCATAGGATTAAACTTCTAAGAGTCATAAAACTGGATACCTTGTGACTATCCCATAGCATTCAGCATCTATCCTCCTGAAAAGCGCAGGCGAGAAGAAGGAGGGAAGCTTGCAAACTTCCCTTGTAACAAGTTTGAATTCTGTGTACCGGGGAAAAATAGCATTAGCTGTTGTACTTCTCTCTTGCCATCCAAAGGGAGACACAGCAAATTATATTGGAGATGCAAGCAATATCTCCAATAATTGATGGAAATGGACAGGTTATAGTTCTAACCATCTATATGCAGCCCATCGAGATTATTGTTGAAAAGTTGATTGATTCGAGAAATACACTGTTCCTTGAGTTCATTTGCTGGTGGACGACCATGTTGGAAATAGAACTGCAGTAATACAAATAAATAAATAAATAAATAACAGGCAATGCACATTTCAACCTCCAGTAGCAGAGGAGACAGACACATGCCGATCACAAATGTAGAAATTGAACTCATTGAAATCAGTAAACCTGAGGTATAACTTCTTGGGCTGGTTCGGTAGCCAACTTCCGGGGAGACGTTAGAGAGAAAGGGCTTACTTTCTGCTTTAAAGTGCGTGGAGAAACACAGGAACTCCTGGGGGAAAGTGGAGGTGGACTGGCATTAGTCAGTGGATTGCTTCCACCTCCAGCACCACCACTAGAAGAGATACTGTGAGGATTGATTGGAAGGCCAGCCTTCCCATCCCTAATTAAAGCTTTTACCTGCAATCAGGACATATGCAAAAAAAAGCAGCAGAGCTGAGCCCAACTCAGAAGAATCACTATTCACTACTCTAACTAGGAACTGTAACAATCTGATGAGCAGATAACAAGTTAACGCAGAAGACGAAAAAGATGTACCAATCGGCTAGTGTCAGGTAGAGAGAGCCATTGAGAGAACAATTCTTCAGCGATTTGAGTAGTCGGCTTGAGCTCAAATGAAGAAACCTCGGGAAGATGCAACAGTTCAGGCTCCAAATAGCTAACAACATCATTTCCTCCTGCTGTATCAATATCCATAACTAACTAATACGCGCTCGAAAAGATCAAACAGAGAACTAGCAAAACCTCCAAAACCCTAATTCTTCAATCCTTGAAGAAATCCTCCTCAATAATTCCCAGCAGCTTACAAACTCCAAAAGCTTCTCCACCACAACACAAACCTCAGTTGCCGTGTTTTTACCCCCACGGTCGTCCCTACTCCTCAGCCTCACCGTCGTCTTTCCAGCGCAGTGATACTCAGTTCACACAATAGCAGCAGAGACGCACGACTCAATGACCGAGCAAAAAGTAAGAACTAAGAACAAATGATCGTCCGAAAGAACAAAATAAATACTCTCGACCAAAGCAAACCAGTAACCTCAGCGCTCACTTCTCGCTCCCGAACCCTAGAACTTCAAACGTGAGCGAACAGTTAGACGCGAAGAAGAACCGTGAGGTCTAGTTGAATAATTCGACGAAAACTTGAATTAGAAAAGAGATAAGAGGTGGAATTGGTAGCTCGAAAACGCGCAAAAGCAGAGAAGGTGGTGCAGATTTGCAGAAGGATGATGGGGATAGATGGTCCGCCGAAGAAGAACAGGAAGCAACTAGTCCGCCATGGTAGAGCAGGAGGGAGCTTTGAGGAGGAGACGAAAAGGAAGAGCCGCGCTCCTTTTTTTCCTTTTTTGTTTGTTTAAAAAAAATCGACTTTTTGTGAGAGGTACAGTGATACTGCAGTTATTTTTACCCAACCACTAGGAGGCCCGAGTCGTCCCGTCCATGACCTTTTTTTTATAAGTCGTCGATTACTCGTTACTAGCATGTTGGCCGGAATGTTCATATATTTTATGTTATGTGTAAATTTATTAATTTTTTTTAATTTTTTTAACCATTTTTTGATCGAGATAATACATAAATAAAAAAGGATAAATGTCAAATTTGGTCATTGGGATTACTAAATCGTGTTATGTTTAGTTATTAGAAAAAATTAATATAAATTTTGGTCACTCGAATTACTAAAATATGTCACATTTAGTCATTTTTTCTTCCGTTAGCCTCCGTCCAACTCCAGTCACTCGAATTACTTTTTCTTTTATGAATGTCACTCGAATTACTGAAACATGTCACATTTAGTCACTCTCCGTTAGCCTCTGTCCTACTCCGTTAACTCTGTTAATGGAGTTGGACGGAAACTAACGGGAGAGTAACTAAATGTGACATGTTTAGGTAATTTAAGTTACCAAAATTGATATTAATTAATTTTTTCTAGTGACTAAACATGACATGATTTAATCATCTTAGTGACCAAATTTTTTCGAGTGACTAAACATGACATAATTTAGTAATCTCACCGATTCTTTGCGTTTTTTCACTTCTTCTTCTACTAAGTCTCTTTATGCTCATCTTGTGCATTATTGATTGATTGTTGGATTCCAAAATTGGGGAGCACTATTATGCGCTTCCTATATTTGTAATTGAATTAGTTCACAAAGTAGAAGTTCAATTTTTTTTATGCATTAGATTTGTTTTTAATGAAAATTTTGAATTTTACAGGAAATATAATTAGATAAATGTAACAAGGTAAATTGTGTTGTATATCCATAAATCTAATTCAACAAAAATCCATAATTATACCCATACCCAACAAGCAAATATAGACTTGTTCAAATCCATAATATCACCAAATCCATCATAAATTTATGGTTTTCCAAAACCCTCATTTTTGAAAGCAAACGACTTGAAAGTAGGTAAGCAACTTTTGGGTTTTTATCGTTACAATATTCCAGATTCTGTGCACAACAAGGACATCCACAACATCAACTGATTCATGATCCAGCTTTCTTTTGGTTTCTTTCTCTTTTCACTGGCCCCCTACCATGATGGACACGTCATCTCCTGTTCAATGTGAGGAACTCGAAGCTCTTTAGACTTTCCTCACGGGAACTTTTACCAGCAGCAGCAGCTCGTGCACCTGAGGATTTGACGACAGGTTCATACCCGGGTAAGATTCTTTGTGTGGAAGAAGTCGTGTGGGCACCAGCAGCACCAGCAGTGTGGTGTGTTCTCGCTGCTGCACGCGCTTCACCATGTTCACCAGAGGAACCTGGCCTCCCATTGGGGAGTATGGCCCTTCTTGAGTTGCTGCCATGCCTCGATGTGCTGCGCCCCTTCTCTGCCTCTGGCTGCTGCATATCCAAAAACCCAAAAGGACATACTCAAGATCATATCTTTCCTTCACACTAGCAAGAACTAGCATGGAGTAACTTACTGTTTCGTTTGTCCTAGTTCTGGAATTGTCAAGCGGACTAGATCCAGTGATTTTTCTTGTGGAGAAAGCCTCAACAGCACCTGAGAATCTCTCGCGAATTTCTTTTCCAACTGGAAGTAAAATCGTAGTGCACAGCAACAATTAATTGTGAAACTTGAGGCAAAATGGCGGGGAATGATATGAAAACATACCTGAGACTCTCTCTGGCGGCGGTCTTTCTGCAGAAGGTCCTGCAAGAGCATGACCCGGTTTCCCAGCCACCTACAAAGAAGAGAACAATGATAAATAAAATCGACCTTGTTCTAGAAGAGGATTTATAGCAACAAGCCTACAAGCCCATTCAGCCTTACTCGTGCTCTAGAGCTGGAAGTACCAGCTTGAGGATACTTCAACACCGTCCAATCAAAGACATAGTCAAATTGATAACCTGTATTAATACATTTTTCAAGGAAACTGGATGCATGAATACCTTGATGATAGGAGAGGAAACAATAAGCAAACTAAACAAAGACAATCACTCTTGCAGCTATTACCTTCCCGAATAAATAAGTCGCGGAAAAGCCTCTTCAAATATGAGTAATCTGGCTTGTCTTCAAAACGCAATGCGCGGCAGAAATGGAAATATGATACGAACTCGGATGGATACGATTTACAAAGAGACTGTTCAAACAAAAATTTGCATTTATAAAGTCATTAAAAAAATTTGGTGAAGAAAAGTAATGAAAAGGAAAACATAATTATTCGGCACAGATGTGATCTAACTGTCTCAGGGACAATGAAGCGCGAACAAATCATTATAAAGTGAAATATTGCAAAGTTTAGCATGATGCAGAAATGTAAAAGGGTATCTTATAAATGATCTATGATATCTACTGTGCTAAGACGAAGTGCTAAAGACCATTATCAAGCGGCACCTGAAATGTGTAATATAATCTTAAAAGATTGTTCTTGAATCTTGCCTTGCAGCCATGTTATACTGTCCCGAGACAATCCTAAAACTCTAGCATGTAAGTGCACAGTTAACTTTGTTATCATAACTACATCAATATCATGGCATCACAACATTCACTATATCTCTTGGACCGCCCATCAGGAGAAGCAAACAGCAGATAAAGTTAAAAATTGCTTCGAAGGAAATAAATGCTACCTCTATGGAAGTAGAAACTTTCTTTTCACTGATCTTGTCATATTTCTGTTTTTTTGTGCCAGCCTTTAATCCTTGCCAAGGGAGGCTGAATAGAAGAATGCATGAAATGAGCAATGTGGACAAGTAAAACATTAAGGGGATGGGAAACATATTAGAATGACTGCACAGCTAGTCAACCTTCCTCGGATGAAATACATCAGCACATAACCAAGAGACTCCAAATCATCCCTTCTGCTTTGCTCTGTCCGAGGAACAGGAGAAAAGTAACTCAGAGTTGAATAAAATAAAAAAGGTAACAAGAACTAAAAAAAATAGGATTCTACTAACCAATTCCAAGGTGGGTGTTGACACTTGCATAGCGAGCAGTGCCTGTGAGGTTCTTATTCTCTCTGCAACAACAGATAGTTTTGAGATGTCGCATCACGAATCGGTTGTACTGCTTCGACATGTCAATCATAGATAACTAGAAGCATCTCATGTTACTGGGATTCCAACAAATATAGAGATTCAAAGAAACCATAATCTGCTTGTACCCGGAACAATCTCTATCTGGCATTAGAATGTAAACAAGTTTAGTCTGCTCATTTAACCCTTAACAGCAACCCCAACCCAAAAAAAAGGGTTAGTATGCACTATGCTCGTTCTTAGTGACATCCATCTGAAATTAGTAGATCACATAGAGAAAACCGAATGGTCTGCATAAAGGAAAAGGTCACTTATTTATGTTCCCGTGAACAACGCAAAGTTGATTTCACTTTTCAATTGATTGTATAGCAAGACTAGTCCTTGTAAACATTCTCAAGATAGAATCTGCGCTGCATTGCCATCAACATTGAAAAATATCTTAATCCAGAGCCTCAAACCCTAACCTCGGAAGACGGGCAATTAACAATCTTGAAGTTCAAAATGCTTTTCTGAATACAACAAAAATCTGCAGCCTTCAGTACTCATTGCAGTTTCTCCTGTATGTTGACTTTTGACAAGCTGCTTATATATCTAATCATGCCTTGCATCAGTTCTACAGTCATGTAAATTAGCAACTGGCCTAGAACTAGACCCTTTAGATCAACAATCAGGCAACTAACGTTCGCTGCGATGACATTTTCGTTTCAGGAGGCAATAAACTAGCTAAGGCTTCAAAACTAGGCTCTTTTCAAACTGATAACGCTATAATTATCATTTAATTTGTTCTCTTGCAACCTTGCCGACTCAGCCTAAGACACACCTGCTACTCAGATAAAAATTCTAAATTTGTGCATCACATATTCCAATATGATCATTCGCATAAACATGTAAATTCATTAAAAATGCCAGTTAATGATAAAATTTCTATGTTACCTGTATGGAATGTGCTTATGAGTCTGAAGATCCCTGTACTTCTTTGCGAGGCCATAATCAATAACATAAACCTGTATATAACCAGAAACCAGACAAAGGAAAGCGTAAAGCAAAGCAATGTTAAACAATCGTGGGAAGACCTTATGCTAACAATAACATGTAAGCCTCCCAAAAAAGACACAGGACAAAGTCGGTATAAATTTGAAAGACTTCAGTGAAAGAAATCTATGATATAAAGAGGCTTGAAGTTCAGTGCACTGAAGTCTAAGAAGGATCAAGATCAGAATGCTGACCAACTTTCCTGCCTACATAATATACATCTTGCCATGCAGGAAAATCTTACACGTATATTTTAAAGTTTATGGTAGATACAGTAACATACATATAACCTACTCTCTATTCTGACAGTTCAATTTTTCATTTTAAGTCTGTCATTTCGTTTGGATATTGTAGGACAAGACTGGGTCCAGAATCAAGAATAAATTGATGAATTCAACAGTCCAAAAAGGATTAAAAAAACCTTCTCGACACCAAAAAAGTTGACAATACTAACAGTTCCAGCACTAGCTGTGCAAATAACATCAGGGAATAGCTCTTCTGCAAGACAGTGAAAAAAGTAACGATAGAAAGCAACTACCTGATTGGCTTTGCGACCTAGGCCCATCAAAAAGTTGTCAGGCTTTATGTCACGGTGAAGAAACCCTCTTGAATGCATATATTCAACTCTGTTAATCTAAGGGGATACAGTGTAAAGTAAATTATTCTCATGCAACATAACATGCACACTGCTTGTACAAGAGTTCAACTCTACTTACCAGTTGATCAGCTAGCATTAGCACTGTTTTCAATGTGAATTTCCGGTTACAATAGTTGAATAGATCTTCCAAACTCGGACCAAGAAGATCAATAACCATGACATTGTAGTCTGCCTCAACTCCAAACCACTTCAGATGGGGAATTCCAGCTTCATTAAAGAAAGACAAGATCAAAGTACTTGTAAGTTGTAAGAACCATATAGCAACATTTGTAAGTCCTCACAGATACTTTACTCGAAAGCCTCGCCAACATGGAGTAACAGAGTTACAACTAACAAAATAAATTGTGGTTATGAGACTGAGTCCAGAACCTTTAAGGTTCAAAGCAGGATTATCCTATGGATAAGTCCTTGTAATTTTTCTTTGAAGAAGAGAAACTTACTGCCTCCTTGAAGAAGCATGTATAATTTTGACTCATACTGAAGCTGAGGGTGCTTGGTCTTCACAGATTCCTGAAAATAAAAGAAAAAGGATAAAATCAGAATAAAAGGATACTGTTGCTTCAGCTGAAAAGAATAAGAAGTGAAATCTCTATCATTGCAAATCTGATGCCAAAACCAATATCTGTCCAAGAGGAAACCTCAGGCAAACAGTGCCACACATAAACTCCTCATCAAGAATTGCAGAAGTTGAAGATAGCAGTCCCTTCTTGGATAATGGTTCACAGATATCACATGGATAGATCATAGAAGGTATAAATGATCTCATACTTTTTTCCATCAAGATGTGACATAGTGCATTGGCTAAACTAACTTGAAATGCTGAATAGGAACCGACTCGCGAAATCTATTTGTTTCAGCTGTAAACCCTCATCATCAAATAATACATTAATCAGCCTTGGAAAGAGTAAGTAAAAGCAGAGGACCATTACAGCCAACTGGTAGCAAATATCGTTGTTTCGGTAACATATAGACCCTGCAACATTATCTTAAATAGTACAACCATGCAAATCGAAACCCTAAGCAACAAAGTATTGATGAATCTGTTGTGGAGATTGAATAACGATCTTTCAATGATCTATATAAGCACAAACATAAACTCTACTTTGCAAAGCAACTTACCAGCTTAACAGCAACTTCTTCTCCAGTTTGCACATTAACACCTACAATACCAATCCACCATCAGCAGACAATCTAATTGCAGTTAGTCTAATCCACTCTTGTTCACAACATTATAATTGAGGCACACTATCACACAAAACAGAAGTCAACCATACCTAGATAGAGCTCTCCGAAAGATCCACTTCCAATCTTCCTTCCCAGTTTAAATTTGCCACCAACAACCTGGTCAACCTTTAACTTATCCATTGGTGTACACCAAAACCCGGAAGCACAATCTTACAACAGTTCCTTCCCTTCGCCTGAACCCAAATAGTATCTCCCACAAAGGGCCAGCAAATTCACGAAATTCACAACCCCTATTGTTGATAATTAGAGCACCAAAGAGCTCCTGCGTTCGACAACCTAATCACCTGATCCGCGTTCAATTGAAGGTAAACGGAAGAAGAGAACCCAATAAAAGAGAAAGCTCCAAACCCAGATGAGAAGAAGCTACAAAAGATCAAAAACTAGGATGGATAATCAAAAGCAACGATTTTCAGTCACATGCTTGGAAGTTGGAGAGGACAAGGAGGGGACACAGGATCGAATCACAGATTTAGAGATCCAAACCCTAGGAAAAAATTACGGGAGAGGACCTACATTGACCAGAAAGCGAAACGGACAGAGAGACAGAGAGATGGGCGAGCTCGAATTGGGAAAAAGGAAGGATCGATCGAGGAAGGAAGGAAAAATAAACTGAAACAATAATACGGCAAAAGAGATCAAAGGAGCTTTGCTTTGGGATTGACAACAAAAGCCCGAGGCGAGGAAGCAAACAAAAGAAAGGTTCAGCCAGAAACCACGAATATGTGTTTTGTTTGTGTTGTTATGGAGGTTGGAGAGGAATAGAAAATGAAAAATTAAGAAAACGAGAAAGAGGAGAAGAAGAGCGAGACGAGGAAGACGAAAAAGAAAATAGATCGACTTAACCAGTTTATCGAACAGATAAATAATAATAATAATAATAATAATAATAATGTTTTCAAAAATATTTATTAAAACAATTGGAAAAAGGGAATATCCTGAATTTTGTTTTTAACAATTTAGGGGTGCGTATTGCTTCGGTTTGAGCATACCGGTATCCTTATTACTCCCAAAAACCAAACTGATTTTGAAACGAATTATATTTTGGTTTGATCTGACCGAACTGAAATATAATCGATTTGGAGTCGAAAAACCCGATAACCTCTGTTTTTCAGAACTGGACCAGAGGTTGAACCGGAAAAGTTAGTGGTTTAAGGTTCAATGGTTAATCGTTACAAAACCATTGGTAAAACCGTTCATAATATATAACATACAAGACTTGTATATTACACTAATTTAAGAATGAACTTAGACCATAAACAATTTCAAATTCATATCATCACCAAAATATCTAATAAATTATTCAACCCGTCGTACAAAAGATATCATAAATTTTTTTAATTAGAGTTAATAATTATGGTGCCAGTTGGTAGTGGACCACGTAAAAAATAAAAATGACAACAAGGTTGGAAAATTAGAAGAGGAACCATATATAAAATTAATAATCATGGCTTGATAGTCTTAGTTTATGTGGAAAAAAAATTATTTTTATGGTTAAAATAGTGAACTAGTGGACCATTTAAATTGTGATGCTCATCTTATTTTATATTATGGCCGTTGTGGATAAAGTTTTTGCCTACCTATGAAGAAAGCTCCACATTTTTCCATGTCATTTATGATTTTAACATTTTAAGTTATTAATTACATTAAAATAAAACTAAATAAACATGTATACCAATCATCATGACATAGATTTGAACCTATGACCTATGAGTTCAAGCTATTATCGTTTCAAGTGTTCAACCACTAGGATAAATAAAATATATTTGATTTTATTAATTACAACGAAACATGTATATCAATCACCAGAATTAGAGGTGGCAATTCTCAATCCAATCCATCCACTTAAATATCTAACTAATCAAATCCATTTGATCCAAATCCAATTGGATTGGTGGATTCATGGATTGATCCATGGATGATGGATCCAAATTATATTTTAGTATATAATCTTTTTACATTTTACATTAGGTACCTAAAGTTTATTTTTATACGAAAAATGTCATTGGAAAATTACGTTTTGGTATCTAAAATTTTTAATTATGACATTTTAGTACCTAAATTTTTTAAAAATTACATTTTGGTCCAAGGCTTGGATGTTATTTGGACCCATGGATCAATCCACTAATCTATATGCTCCAATCTATGAATCCACTAATCTATTTAGTCCAATCCACTTGATCTATGAATCCATCAATCACAATCCACCAATCCATTTGCCACCTCTAACCAAAACTAATATTTAATCATGCAAACTAAGAGATCAAACTGTAATCATTTGAATTGTTAACAAATATAATAAAATCTCTTTCATGCAAGTAATCACAAGATTAATACTCATGTTATAAAAATATGTACAACACATAACATTCTATTTTTATTTAATGGTTGATGTTTGTGCATTACACAACAAAAACTATCACAGTTAAAATTATGTATTCTATTTTTCAGCAATGATAGAAACCATTTTCAACTACAAATAACCAATTTTAATTTTTAGTTTATAATATATTTGATAATTTTTTAAAAATAATTAAAGAATCCAAAAAACATGATTTAGTTGGTTCACATTTATAAACTCTTACATAATTTTACATGTGATTTTCTTTTAAAATTAAAAAATGAAATGCAAAGAATAACCTTCTTTCGTATTCTAAAACACAAGAATTTAATATTTTGTTTGTACGTAAATATATGAACCAATACAGTTATGTTGCAATTTGTTAGAAAATAACTACTATAAATATTTGAACTAATACACTCTTATCATGATGAACAATAAAATAATAATTTTTTTGCTTACTAGATTATTCGTAAAAATGATGGTTTGTTAAGTAAAAACCATAGTCATAATAACCTATTCATGTAAGATGTTGCTATACTTTATGATTAATGAAATATATCAACATAATTCATTCATATGCTACAGTGATGCACAACAATTTAATGTGTTTAAGAATATCACGAGAAAGGGATGGGATCATGCTAATTAAGTTTCCCACCGTTAGATATAATATTAATCCAAGGGTTACAATTTTGTAAAGGTCAATTATGTCAATATTTATTTCACACTCCACAAACCCTAATATATATTTGTTGTTTTCGCCGCCTACTTCTGAAACCGTTCCTCTCCGGCTAAATTGCAAGTTTGGTCACTAGAATTACTTAAAAAATTCACGTTTGCCACTAAAATTAATTTATTCCATCGGTAGTCACTTAAATTAGGTTATCAGTTCAAGTTTGGTCACTGACCGTTAGTCTCCGTTAACTTTTGCTGATGTGGCGGTCAACTCTTATAGTTGACCGTTAAATGAGTGACGTGGCAATTAAAAAAATAATAAATAATAATATTTAATTATTTTTTAATTTCCACCTCATTATTACAATGAATTAAAAAATAATTTTTAATTATTTAATTTTTTATTAGTCATTTTGCTCGACAGTTAAACCCTGGTTAGGCCGCCGGCGAGGACCTTAGAAAATCACATCACCGGCAATAGAAATGGCTTCCAGGTTCCTTCGTACTGCGAACAGAGCCTTGATCTCATTCCAGCACAATCACCAAACTCCTCTTTTCCCCAAGCCGCCCACCGCTAGTTGTCTCTTCCAATCCAGAGCTTTCGCCACTGACAACTTCCAAATCGCCTTCCGAAGCCAACATCCTCCGAATCCTCGACAACGAGATCGAATACCAGTATGATTACGCCCCGGCGCACCGGGTTCGACCAATCTAATCCCTTGATTTCTCTGTTCCTACTTCCGCCCCAATTCGTTTAGGGTTTTAGAGCATTTTGAAAACAAATGGAATCCAACTGTTGATTATACCTTGGTTCTAGCCGACGGTGGAATTCGATTCGTTCGTCGTGGAGGATTGACCGGGGTAGCAGTGGATGACAATGGCGAGGAAGTTTGGCGTTGCTGAAGACATCAAATTTGAAGCGACAATGTTCGATTCTCCCTGGGTTGCAGTTACTTGAAAAAGAGGGCGAGGATCAGTTACTTGAGGATGTAACATTTGATCAGTGCTTCTATATATATATATATATGTGGAGGTCCAGAGCATTTGGAAGTTAGATTCCTTTCCTTTTATCGTACCCATCGTCTCCGCCGCTAACTAGCACCACTGCTCCTGTTGCCTTTCATACTCGGCCATTCCTCTGCTACCGGGGTTTTCAACCTCATTTTGTTACCCACAACTTCCTTCTCAGGAGCTACTGCTCTCCTTCTTGAATCGGCCATAACCAGCATGAAACAGAGCTCCCCTGTCACATTCTTGAAGCTCCACATCTCAATTTCATCCCCTCTCACCAGGCTCAACCCTTTCTGCTCTATCTTCCTCAGCAAAGATCTCCAGACCCGGGTCACAGCGGAGACCTTGCTTGTGCCCATGTACCATTTTGACAAGTAAGCTTCAGGAACGATTTCGAAATATGGGTCCAAGAAAATCCTTCTCCCCCACAAGCGTTGCCGCCGCGGCACTCCAGGCATCCTCATGTCGCCGAAACCACAATAACTCGATGTGGGCCACCCCATCGCTTCTTCCCCGATCTGGACCGCACACCCTCCTTCAATTCTCGCGGCAAACACGCGGCGGCGAACTCGGCCACCTCGTTCACAAACATAGGGACCAGCCGCTGCGTGGGCTCCAACGACGGCTGGTTGGTCCTTCTTCGGCCCCTTCGGCGCCGCCGCGTCGACAACAAGTGTTTACCTTCTTAACCCGGTGACCGAACAGAAGTTAGCGGCAAGTTATGATTTTCTTTTTTAAAATTTTATAATAATAATTAGGTGGAAATTAAAAAATAATTAATTTTTTTTATTTTTTTTAATTGCCACGTCATTCATTTAACGGTCAACTATAAGAGTTGACCGCCACATCAGCAAAAGTTAACGGAGACTAACGGCCAGTGACCAAACTTGAACTGATAACCTAATTTAAGTGACTACCGATGGAATAAATTAATTTTAGTGGCAAACGTGAATTTTTTAAGTAATTCTAGTGACCAAACTTGCAATTTAGCCGTTCCTCTCCACTCACCTTTCAAAAACCCTCCCAACTTCCCAACTAGATTCTCTCTTTCTCCTCCGGCGCCGGCATGGTCACAGGTCATCGATGGCGATGGAGGAGGCAGGCGCCAAGGGCGTCGATGACGATTGAGGAGGCAGGCAGCGAGGGCGTAGATGGCGATGGAGTCGGCATAGGAAGGGTCGGATCTGGAGACTCACTTTTTTCTCCAGTGGCGACATGGTCCCGTCGCGTCGACGACGACCAGCGGCGGATTTGGGGAGGGGGGGGGGCACACTGGGCCTGGGCCCAGCCCTCTCTGCCAGCCCGAGACCCCTCCCCCCTGCATCCCACTCCCCCCTGCATCCCATTACCTTGGGCCCTGGCCATTTCCAAAGCCCATGCGGCCAAACTGCCAAAGGAGAATAGAAAAGAAAAGGAATAAAACAAAAACTTAATTTCCAATCCCACCCAGGCCCTGTCCTTGTCCCTCGATTCCCATCCCCAATAACAAAAGCAAAACTTTCCAGGCCCCAATTCCCATCTGATCGGCGATTTCGTTTTCCACCGCGATTTCGTTTTCCACCGCGGTGATCAGTTCCAAATTTAAAGTCCGACCAACCAAGACAACAACACGTAGGCAGCAGGAACAGGTCAGCACCCATCCCAACCTTCCAAGTTCCAACTTGTTTGTTTTCTTTTGACAGCTCCCAAATCCCAACTTGTTTGTTTTCTTTTGACTGCTCCCAAATCTGAACTTTCGTTTGTTTCCTTTTGAATAATTGATCATACAGGTGTAAGATTAATTGATTATGTTGTGTTATTTTGTATGATTAATTGATTATGCAGGTTTAATATACTTTATCATGACATCTTCTCAACCACCAAATAAAAAGGCGAAAACGACGTTGTTTTCTTACTATCAACGTCAGGAATCTCAAACGAGTCAAATAGAAGACATTCCTCCTATCGAAGGTCAACCATCTTCCTCTCTAGAGCAAAACCAATCATCTACTTCTCCTCTATCTGGTAATCTACATCAATCATCTGACGGTGGAATTGAAGTTGAAAGAGATCCAGGAAAGAGGAAACAAATATGTGATTGGGCTATTGAGTTGAGAGATGAGGTCAGGAGAAAGTACCCATACACAAGACTTATCAACCAAAGCTCACGGACTATAAGCCCCGAGAATACCCAGATAAAATTCGTCGCTTTCAAGAAGCATGGTATTCACAATTTGATTGGTTGGAGTATTCACCTACAACACATAAATCATATTGTTTCCCATGCTTTTTGTTTAGAGATAAGATGCATGGAAGTCAAACTTCTGCATTGGTGCAAAAGGGATTTGATAATTGGAAGAGGGTTCAAGGTAAGAATTGTGCATTCCTTCTTCATGTTGGTTCATCATCTTCTTCAGTTCATAATAAATGTGTTGCATCGGCTGATGCATTGATGAAACCCTCCGGTCATATTGATAAAGTGATTCAGAGAATTGGTGGAGAAGAAGTTCTAAAACATCGATTGCGGTTGAAAACAACAATTATGGTTGTCAAACAATTGGCTTTACAAGGAAGTTCTTTTAGAGGGCATGACGAATCTGATGATTCTTTGAATCCGGGGAATGTTCTAGCTTGGATTGGTTTTGCATCAAAGTTGAATGATCAAATCAATAGTGTAGTTCTTCGGAATGCACTAGGGAATGCGAAGTACACTTCACCAAGCATTCAGAAAGAGATCTTGGGAATCATAGCAAATAGAGTGCGCTGTAAGATACGTGAGGAAATTGGGGATTCTTGTTTCTCTATCCTTGTTGATGAAGCAGGAAGGGAACAGATGTCTATTATCTTGAGGTATGTCAGCTCTTGCGGTATAGTAACTGAACGCTTTTTTGCTCTCAAGAGTGTTGCTGAAACTTCTGCAGAAACACTAAAACAAGCTATTTGTGACGTTCTCTATCAGTATGACCTTCAAATTGAAAAATTGAGAGGTCAAGGATATGATGTGCTAGTAATATGGCAGGACAGTTTAATGGAGTCAAGGCATTATTTCTTAGAGAATGCCCATATGCCTACTTTGTTCACTGTTTTGCTCACAGATTACAGTTGACATTAATTACTTCTGCAAAGGTATGTGATCCTATATGGGATTTCTTTTCCTTATTGGAGAATATCATAAATGTTGTGAAGGCATCTCCTAAACGGATCAGAGAGTTGCAAACAATTCACAAAAGAGGTCTTGATGGATTGTTGGATGCTGGAGAAATTCAATCTGGACAAGGAGCTAATCAAATGACATCCTTAAAGCGTCCAGGACCAACTCGTTGGGGATCTCATTATCATTCCATATTGAGCATTATAAACATGTTCAATGCAACTTGTGTTGTGCTGGAGGATCTTAGTCATTCTAAAGAAGGGGCGCAGCGAGCTCATGCCAGAGGTGCTTCAAAAAATATCAAGACTTTTGAGTTTGTATTCAATCTACACTTGATGAAAGGGATTATGGATATAACGGATTTTCTTTGTCAAGCCTTTCAACAAGAATCAGTTGACATTGTAGCTGCAGTTGGATTTGTTTCCATAGCAAAAGTTAAACTTCAAAAGCTACGAGATGAAGGATGGGACAAGCTACTCCAAGAGGTAAAATATTTTTGCTCGAAACATGCCATAAAGGTACCTAATCTGAATGCTACACTTGGACGTGGTGAGAAGCAAACAACTCTTGAGCACCGCTACCATTTTGAATACTTTAATCAGTGCATAAATTTTCAGTTGGGAACGTTGGATTCAAGATTCAACGAGTCATCAGTTAGAGTGCTTCAGTTGAGTGGTGCACTAGATCCTAAAAGTTCTTTCCGGTCATTTGATGAAGAAAAGATTTACAAACTTGCTGAAGAGTTTTATCCTCAAGACTTTGAAGGTAATGAGTTGCATTGTTTGAAGAATGAGCTAGGATATTATGCCGACCATGTGGTTCGTAGTCATGCATATGAGGTTTCTTCCCTAGCAAAATTACTAGAGAAGCTGGTGGAAACAGAGATGGACACAAAGTACAAATTGATATGCCGGCTGATTCGTCTAGTGTTAACATTACCAGTTTCAACAGCTACTACAGAGAGATCCTTTTCAGCAATGAAGCATGTAAAGACTGATTTGCGCAACAAAATGGGGGATGAATATCTGGCTGATTGCTTAACTATTTTCTTTGAGAGAGAGTATGTTATTGGTATGGATGAAGACTCAATTATTGATGAATTTGCTAAATTGAAAGACCGTCGTGTGCAATTGATATTGTAATGAAAACTATAATTATTATTATATATTTTTGTTTACGGTATCTAATTTTCTGTTCAAATCCGGCCCAGTGCTCTACTATATCCTGGATCCGCCGCTGACGACGACAGAAGAGCCGAGTCGCGGCGACAACGACAACTTGTGATATGAGGGTGGCTGTCGGGTTCACCGTATTGGAAGTCGGGCACCGTCTCACCGTTACCGCCAATGACGATCTGGAGAGTTTATGAGCAGCTCTAGGTCTAGATCTATTCACCGATAACATAGATCTGTCGTTTCCTCCAGCAGCGGTGAGGGAAAATAGTGGTGGAAGCCAGATCTCTTGTACTCCACAACATCATCGGAGTAGGACTAACGGCAGGATATATGGATTATGGAGGGTCTGTAGTCTTTTTGATTGCATGAGGAGTGTATTGATTTGATCGGTAGTAATTTTGTAGTAGTGTTTCATATTTTGTAATACTGATTATATGTATTAGTTGTGGTTCTCATTGTAATAAGCATTTGATTTTTTGTTAGCCAGTAATAGCGTTTTGGGGTGTTATAGTAGTTTTTTCTTCGGTAATATTTTCATTGTTTTTAGTAGTGTTTCTTACTAAAAAAAAGTGCAAATCACTACTAATTTATAGTAGCTAAATTATTATTAATGACCATAAAATCACTACCAATGATCATGAAATTACTACAATAAACCACCAAATCACTACTAATTTTAATAGTAATTGTTGTACATAATTTGGAGTAGTATTTTTATTTTTAACGGAGAGAGAAGGTAGAAATTTTATTTATTTAATAATATTCATTTTTTAAAATACCAATAAAGCCCCTCATAACTTTTCACGGTGAAATTCATTTTAAAAAAATAGATGGTGATTAAAACAGTTAGTATGGTGCTAACTATTATGAAGTTAGCATCGTAGCTTCTCCCGAGTAATGGTCACCATTTTTTTTTTGTATCTACCGAATTATGGTTATATGGCTTAAATATGTCTGTGCCCAATTGGTACATTTCACGCATATTAAAATGATATCATTATCTTTTCTTTTATACTATTCCAATTCCTTCTATTTTTCTTTCTATTTTTATTTTTATATGTGATTAGATTTTCTTCCATGCGCAATTATAAAACACATTGTCTTTACTTTTTTCCTGGTGTACTTATAATTCATTTCTTTTCTCTTTTTATTGGTTGACATAAGCTCCTTTCTTTTCCTACATGTGTGTAGATGTGCAACTTTGAAACATGTTCAGGTGCATAGATATCTAAACGAATCTTAACCTATTGGATATATATAATGGTTGAGATGTAAATAACTATTTTAATCTTTACTTAATATGACATCCGAATACATATATTACTATTGGTGGCTTCCATTGTACCTTGGTTATAATCTAGGACTTACCCTGAGTAAGAAAATGCTATTAGATCTTGAATTAATCAGATTTTCGGGCATGATACTATACTCTAATCATTTATGAGTGAACCCTAGGTCTTAGATACCTAAATTATAGAGCCTAACCCCTAAGATTGTGCACGTAATTTTTGCATATATTTCGAGTAATCAAGACCGTCAAATTTTGTTTGTAATTAAATTGATCATAGTGTATGAGATTTTTATAGAATCAAGACCTAGATTTTAATTTTTAACAGTTTGGGAATAGTACCTGATGCCAAACTCCGGTCAATTCAAGGTCTATATATCATTTTCTTACTTCTCAAGGTATGTCATACCTTTGATTTTATCCAAGGTATGATAGAACCACCCATTGCTATTACTATTTTTAGTAACCAGTTATACTAGCCGGATAACTCCACTCATAAAATACACCCGATATGCTATATCTCATTCAGTCAAATAAACATTCATTCATCACCACATGCCATAATCATGCATCATCTCAAACTCAAGGAATTCATATATTCACAACATAAGGATCATCAAATAGTCTTTTGATAACTCATTGTATAAATATGTATTCACTAAGTATCACGTCATATTGACATCACCATGTAACCTTGTCCCAACATAACGAAATATCACACCATCTAATGGTAAATCATTGTATAAAACACCATAGTAAACCATCATCTAAATATCATCATGACATGCAAATTTCGTATATCACATAATAGGAAGTTATCACTTAACCACATCATAAGTAAGCTTTATACAATGATTCAATCACAAGCATGGTTAGGTTGATTCAGTGTCCCTTTACTTCTTAATTTGCCAAGTCATACACTTCCCGGGTAGTACACTAGATGTCATGTATACCACCACGGATCGTACCTATATTGGTGTCTTGTAAATCCAGTGTGAGATCATAGTTTGGTTGTACTTTAATATAATGATGGAAAAGGCTAGCGAACACTCGAGGTGTAATATACACCTTCATTCTCATCAATTTGTTGTACTTTCATATATTTTGTCAAATAAGAATCGTTGGTTATTATTTTTGCATTAAATGAATAGTATGATTTGGATTAGAGAATTAGAGATTGAAGTTCACCCATTAGAGACTATAGTATAGTATCATGTCCAAACTTCGTTAATACATGATTTAAATAGCAAAACTCGATAGGAGTACGGTAAGGTGGCGTACGCTAGTTTAAACCACGTACAACTTATGAAGTTGAAAATGGTTTGTGAATCAAAGATCAGATGGTCATGAAAACCATTTTCCAAACTGTGATGAAGTTACAACGTTGTTTGACATTATTGTTGATCATGGTTAAAACCTGGATCATATTAGATAAAACACGGATAATAGATAACAATAATATATAAATATGAAAAGTAGGAATTCGATGCCATTGAAAAAATTACAGATAATAGAAGAAAAAGTAGACACAGACGAAACTCACCGCCCATCGGGCGGGGACAAAACTAGTATGGTTTTATGCTAAACCGTGAAAAATCGCTTGTTCCATCAATAACCGTCCAAGCAATGAACTGGATCGCTATCATAAGTGGTTTGGCGGTTCTACTGGCCCAGCCGTTGATCCGGTTCGATTCTTATAACAATACCGATAACCAAGCTCTGGCAGAGACAACAGATTCGATAGCCGGCAGAGCACCCATCAGTCTCCGGCCAACTGGACTTTGCCATCCCTTCTCTTTGCATCTGCTCTCTCCCCAACGAGCTAACTAATCAAAAAATCCATCGCTTTCGCTGCCACGATGGATTCAAATTAAACCTCTAATCCGACAACAAACAATAGTGTTTTTGAAAGAGAAGGAATCTCCGACTGGACTACCGTCGAGAGCGCCCTGAAAGATGCACCATATTGTCAGAGACCTTGTTGCAACAGCCGCACAAAGCAGATTGGGCGACGACGAGTGGGGCGGTGGCTGTCGAGAGAGTAGAGGAGGAGAAGTGGAAAGATTGTTATTTGTTAACAGCCTGGGGAGTAGGGTTGGACTGGTGGCTGCAGAGAGAGCAGAGAAGGAGAGAAACTCTTTCTTCTTAGTTGTTAATCTGTTAGACTAGGCTGGGGAGATTATAAATAGAATTTTGGTTGGTCGATTCGGAATTCAAAAATTTGGTTCGGTCTTGACTATCCTGATTTCCAAATTAGGCTTATTTCCCTTCTGAATTTCGAACAGAAAAACATTATTTTGGTTTCAATTTAATTTTAATTTGATTTGGTCCGGATTTACCGAACCAGATGGCCACCCCTACTTAACATCAAATCATTTTTTGTTTTCATTCTTTTGAATTGTTACCAACTGCTTTAGGCGTAGCTTTTATCAACTTATTGGGTTCCCCGAGCTGGCAAGCGCAGCTTGGAGAGAAGCAAAGCAAAACTCTCCGGCTAGCAAACACACAACAACCAGGGGGTGAATGCTTGGCATGCGACGACATTTGTTGTGTCATTATCGATCAAATACCTGAAATAACAGATTATTCATTTACATCTTGATAAACTGGCAACGGGAGAAAATACCCTTTTTTTGCTGTTGTTGTTGTGGTACACAAGAATCGTTAAACTAATGGTGGTGGTCAAAGGAGGGTGAAAAAGGAAAAAAATCAAAATTTAGAGTATGATGATTCTGCATTGCAGGGTTAATCATAGAATGTTGAATTAGAGCACGTATTCTGCAATTCTTGGAACGGAACTTTGTGCTACACTCCTCGTGCCCAGGCTGGGACCATAACTTTACAAGCTGAAGTAGTTGCGCCAGAAACCAGCAACGTTCCATCAGACAGTTCGCACAGGTTGGAGCAACAGAGGCAGAGTTGGTTGGAGAGGCCTTAAATATCTACGCCACCAGCTCGGATTATGTTAATTGCTCGAAGAGACTGGAAAAGGACTGTGTCAAAGGAAATGCAGTCTATAAGGTCACTGTAAGGGAGCCCTGGACTAAACAGCATCGTGCTGTTTCGGAGTAACTTCCAGTTCTGGAGGCAACAGGTTCAGAAAGCTCCCCTGAACCGGTGGTTGATCGCTGGTGGCCGTTTCTGATGATTCTGACGTTTCCGACTCTCCTTCTGAGCAATGGGCAGGGGGGAAAACACAACAAATGTACAGTTAAATTGAATATGGAGACCCTCAAATCATTTTTAGGAGCTTCAAGTGCTGTTTCCTAAAAAAATCCTTCTTTTTTGGCCCAAATTTCGTTCACTACTTGCTACCATTGATCCTCCTCGGGAAGAGAGGTGAAACCAATACTTACAAGCACCATTTGTAAGCAAAACAAGAAGACAAGTTTTGGAAATAGATATGCGTGAGTTACTATCTGTGAGAAATCCGGATCAAAAGTTTAGCCTTACCAAAAAGCGACTTCACAGACGGCCTCTTTGGCTTTGTATCTTTCTTTTTCAATTCGGCTGCCACATATAAGTCAGAGTCAGCTTCCATTAACATATTTGCGACGAAGAATATTGTAATGTAGGGAATAGATGACCATCCAAGCAACAGACCGAGTAAAACTGAAAGCAAAACACAAAACAAATCAAAAACTGAAAATGGGGGGCAGGATCATTTTCAGGGTTCTCGGAGAACTACATGTGGCCATTTCCTGGACTTGGTACGTTTCAGGATATCCAGCAATTAGAAACCGCAGAAGTAACAGGCTAGCTACCCTCGAATAACTATTCCAGTCAAGTCCAGCAAGACACAGAAAGAGACTCATGTCATTGAAAGCCATAAACTAAAGTCCAAAACGCCTTGCCTTGCTAGGGATCAAAGATATGGAGGTCCAAGATGCTGACTACATAATTCTTAACAAACAAAGGTACAGCAGAAGCGAACATGACCGGACATGGTAATATGCACAAAAAATGTTTCTCCCCAACAAGTAACAAATCACATCAATTACTTAATCTACACAAATTCATTACTAATTACTTTTACAAGCTCCAACCAGAGTAGGATCCCACCAAGAACTAATCGTTTCTTATGCATCATAAACTAGGAGGCTATGCATGAGTGACTGCCATCTAAAGTAGCCGAACAACCTTATAATGCTTCCTAAAAGGAGGAAAGTAACTACGAATGTCACCTTTTTCATTTTAACTGTATCCCAGAATCCATGAAAAGCTGTGTATATCTCTTTTAGGGGTCGTTTGCTTCAAGGATTTTATAACGAGGGTTTTGTCATGGATTTGCTAATTAAAAACCTTGGAATTTATTAGGGATTTTGGGCATTATGGATTTGAGGAAATCTTTTGTTTGTTGAGCTATTTTATCATGGATTTGATGGTTTTTCAACTTGTCTCCAAATCCCAGGGTATGAGGTGGGATTTACAAATCCGTGGGGCCCACGGATTTGGAGCCCCAAATCAGTGGACCCCACGGATTTGGTACCCTCCATTTTGGCTCAACAAACAATGGCTTTTGGACAAATCCTTCATGTGTTGGATTTGAGAACCAAATCCCACGTTCAAATCCTTGAAGCAAACTAGTTTTCACAGGTATGCAAAATCAATGGGTGTTCAATGCAAAAAAAAAAAAAAAGGCAAGGAGAGACTGTTACCCATTCCAGGTACTTGATAATCATTCACAATTTCAAAGTTTTTGTAAGTGTATCCCACAAAATTTAGGTCCTTGGAGGAAAGCATCTGCAGAATCCAATTAAATTGTGAGCAATATTAGCAAAGAAAATAAAGGCCAAGCCTCTTGTCAATGTGGTTATACAAGTGGACTCCATAAATGAGTCCAGGATCTGTGCCCCTTGATAAAAAAAATGTTATTTGGGCCGTATTTCAACCATTTTCTGATTCCAAATCACACTTCATAAGCATGATCCCAGTAAAATATTGCATAAACGGCAAGACTCGCTAGACACTTAATTGCAAGAAAAGCTCTACCACAAGTACTCATCGAAGAAGGGAAAAATAGACAGGTGAAACATTGAACCAATCTCATCATGAGATTATGAAATTCTGGCTGAAAAAAAAAGAGCTTGTAAGTTCCTCCCATGCTCTTATGTTCAAAGGCATTCGAGCACAGTAAAGCATTCTACAAGAACCTCAGGCTTAATAACATGCAAGTACCATCAGCATCTAGCGGATAAGGGTTTGCGCTAGCGGTATTATTGCTGGTCTTCAACCTAGAGGTTTCAGGCTCGAATCCACTAACTAGCAATTAACAACAAAAACAAACTGATCACTATCATAAAAGAAAAAAGTGCAGTGTACCAACTGCATCTACGATCACCTAAATAGATGTTGGCAAACCATGCATCTTTTTGCATGTGTTCTGTCTGTTTGGGAACATATGCATTAATTCCCTTGATATGTAATATCTAAAGGTAACACATCTTGGCAGATTCTAAAAGCAGACCCAGAAATGGATTGTTATGGAAAATTATTCCTGACAATTTTTCTAGACACCCCCCCCCCCCCCTTTCCTGGAAACTGCTTAGACTGCATCAACCACGTTATGTGCAACTAAAGTAAAAGCCCACTGGTAGGCGATCTGAGTAAATTTTACTCGATCAAAATCGAAGTTCCTAAAGAAGAATGCTATCGACCTTGGATCAATAAACAAACTTAAGATATTGTGGAAATCATTCTTTATGCAATCACTGAAGGAGCAATGATCAATGCTAACCTTTCTCCATGGACCAGTTTTCGATGATGTTTGGGGATGGTGCTCCGACTGAAAAACAAGTCAACAGGAAATATTAGAAGAGGAATAGCATTTGCAGGTGCACCTATATGTTGAACAGAGAATTTTACATACCTCATCAAACTTTTCAAAGTTTTGCGTATCCAGCTCATCATTGACTTCTGGAGTAAAGGCAGCTTCCATGTGGTAAATATTATCCCAGTCAACACCGTTGAAGAATGGATGCTCCTGGAAACATAATAGATAGATGGGTAATTCTTCTGATAAGTAACCAACTATATCTCAAGCCATAGTACTCAGAAAAGGACACACCATACAACACCTTTATTTCATCTGCACCATTTGTCCCTAACCTCTGGTTTACATTGCACAAGAGTTTGCTGATGAGGTCCTTTGCCTCTGGAGATAATCTTGCTTCTTCTGGAAATTTCAAATGGGTTTTCCAGTTTACTATCTGGATAGCAGGAAAGGAAAACGTTAGAACACCAAATCATGTATTTAGCAAGTCAATGTCATTCTGTGAGGAAAGACAGATAGTCTTTTTATATTAAAAGCTGGCGATAACTAATGTTGAATGCCATGCTGAGGTCTTAACTTTGAATTACAAGAATTAAAGAGAAAAATTTACTCGAGCAAGGAAACCAACAGTAAACCAGGAGACCTGGAATATAAAATTTGGCAGAACCAGACAGTTTGACAAGTAAGGTTCATAAAAAGCATATCCATGTCAATAAAACTGTTGGTACATCCAGTTTAGCAATCAACAGTGCTGAGGACAGGTTAGAGTAGTTATCATTGTGAATTAGAAATCCAGCTTTGGAGAAATGGTGTGACCAATTAAAAACCGGGGAGCTCCTTTTTCTAGAACGGAAAATGGAGATGAGCCTGACTGAATTTGCGGAAGAAACAGACACATAAAACAAAAGAATGTTGAATAAATCCTTGGCTGGTACGCAGTGGGAGCTAGAGTCTTAAATGAAAGAAGGTTTCCACAATAAACATAAGTCAGACATCCAAAACTTCGATGAAACTGAAGAAGAAAGTTTTCTGTGTCTCGCTCTACCTTCCTACATGTTGACATCGGATCATCTGAATAAAAAGGTGGATAACCCACAAGCATTTCGTACATGATTGCTCCAAGTGACCACCTGAGGTTAATCACAGTCCCTAAGTTAGTTGAAAAGAAACACATACATATTAAAATATACAATCCATTTGCAACATTTCATAGATATAATAAATCCAGATGTACTTTGATGGTAAACTAACCAAAGAAACTAACATCATTACAGATGAAACTAACTTGTAAACGTTCTCCTTCGAAGATTTTGAATAACTACTCACCAGTCACATTCCATTCCATATCCTTTCTTCAAAAGTACTTCAGGAGCGATGTAGTCAGGTGTACCCACAGTGGAATAAGCCTACAAAGCCAAGCATCAACCATTAAAGTCGGGGGGAAATTAATGACGACAGACATAAGGAAAACAGTCTGTCGCCACAAGTTGAGGAAAACACATTTGCTTTCCAGACTGAGGAGCATATGTTTCAGAATTCTCTTTAGCATAGACCCAGTTGAGTCAACTTTTTAAAAAGCAACTTAAGACATCAGCCAAGGAAATACGCATCAGCTAAAAAGGTAGCGCTCGAGCTGGAAGATAGAGGAATCTGAGAATAAGTCCAGGGAAGCACAAGTCCCCATGGTACACAGAAGCGTCAAATTAGCTTCACACGGCAAGGGACAAAACTTACGAGGGTCCTCCGATTCTTCTGCCAATGTTGTAATTGCTCTTGTTGAGTGCGCTTTGGAGCTGCTGGGCGGTCCTCGTTTGGTGTATTGCCATTAGGGTTGTGGACTGAAAAATCTCCTTCCTGGATGGTACTGCAGTCTAATGGTTTACATAGACCAAAATCAGACAGTCTCAGATGACCATGTCTATCAAGAAGTAAGTTGTCAGGCTTGATATCCCTGCACCAATTGATGCCAAGAAAGAACAAAATAGATTCAGCATGGACACAACCATATCTTTTGGTGGTGACTGCTCAACTACAAACTTGTAGCTTTAAGCACAAACCTGTGGATGTAATTATGCCTGTGAATAGACTCAATCGCCAAAACTGTTTCCGCAACATAAAATTGAGCTTCATATTCTGTCAAGGTGTCTTTTCTCATAAGCAATGTCATCATGTCTCCACCCGGCAAATATTCCATAATAAGGTAAAGAAACTCCTCGTCTTGGAAAGAGCAGTATAATTTGACAATACAATTGCTGTCAACCTCAGCAAGCAGATTTCTTTCAGCTTTCACATGCTCAACCTGGAAAGTAACAGGAAGCCATAAATGTGTTACCAATAGACAGATCCTGTTATTAGGCAAGAAAAATACTAATTTGTACCTGGCCTCTACGAAGCATCTCTGATTTCTTTAGCTTTTTCATAGCAAAAACATGTCCTGATGTCTTTTCTCTGCAGACTCTAACCTGACCAAGAGGGAACTTCATATCAAACTTCCATGAGAAATTGAAGAAAAAAAGAGCACCCCAGTCAGCAGCTATTTCTATATCCCACAACAAGAAACAGGAAAATGGCATCGACCATTTCTAGTACAACTGTAGGGGAAAGTCCTTTTCTTGGACCTTTGGGCCGCAATGGGGTGTCCACTTAGTGGCAAAATAGCCCTCACATGCAGCATTTGGTTACTGAATTTATTATGACTTGTCTGAAATGATGTCCTTATTGGATGCATATGTTAAAAGAATGCATGAAGAAGCACGACTAGAATCAGCAAGCCGTTTCACACTTGTCTCCCTCTTTTGTTTTGGAGGTTAAGTACATTCCACTTCAATCTAGTACTATAAAAAGCAACAGATCAGTATAAGACGCTGGGCCTCCGTGCATTTGCTCTATCAAATCCCTTGGATTATCATAAAAAAAAAGGGAAAACAAGCATCAGGAAATCTGAAAATTCGAGAAGAGACGAAACCCAGAACGACAGATATACCTCTCCAAACGCCCCTTTGCCAATCATTGTCAAAAGTTCGAAGTCATCGACGCCCATTTTATGCCTTTGAAGGCGCATGTATTCAGTTTCCTTCTGCTCCAAGAATTTAAGTAGGTTGTTCTGATCCTCCTCTGATACATCAGCATCAGCCAATTTCTTCTCCAACAAATTCCGGCTATCAAAAACACGCAAAAGCTTTACCGTCGAAATCCACTTTCAGACACTATCATCATCCACAACCGAATCAGAAACAAAAGGGGGAAAGAGTAGGAGAGGATATTTACCGCTCCTTGCGCTCCTGGAGATTCTTCATCTGCTCCTTGTAATGGTTCTCAATGTACTGCTTAGCGGCGGCAACCTTCTGCTTAGTGGTGCTGGAGAGAGCTTCGTCATCGTCCCTGGGAAAATCATCCCTGCTGTCCCCGCCGCCGCCGCCGCCGTCGCCGAGCTCCTTCCGCCTCGTGTTGGACCTCATTTTGTCCCGAGGCTGAAACTTGTGAAACCAGCTCCTCGCTGAATCCATTTCCGCCGGTAGATTCGTGATTTCAAACTTCTATCAGAATCATACTACAACTATTTGCCTCGCAAATTCTCAGAGAGAAAAAAACAAACTCAAGGGGGAAAAAAAAGTAAACCACCAGATTCGAAGACAATGGAGGAAAGAGAGATCGGAGAATCAGAATCTGGCTGAACGACAGAGAGAGAAACGGGATCGACAAGAACTCCGCACCAGAATCATAACCCTAGAAAATATTCAGACTGAGAGATGCCAGAAGGAAACAATGTAGTAATGATTCGAGACACAGAGAGAAGGAGCGAGGAAGGAAGAGGTGACAAACAATCTGAAAACAGGAAAGGGAAAGGAAAATTCTCACAAATGGAAAGAAACGGGAAAACAGAGAAAGAGAGAGCAGAGCGCGGGAGAAGCCGAAATTTCGGGTTACCGCGAAATTACTCCGATTTGGGATTTGGGAGAAGTGAAAGGAAGGGAAAGCAAGAAAATGCAGAGAGGAAAAGAGTGGAGGAGAAGCGCGCGAGATTGGTGCGGGATTCACGGGAGTCTGCAATAACCAGAGAACAGAAAAATCTATCAACCGCCTGAAGAAAGAAATTTGAGAGCTTTTCCCTTTTCCTCCAATGTACTGGAACGAAGGTGGCTGACCTAGGCGGCCGAGCCGGTGGCGGAAGGTAGGACTGTGCGGTGTGAGTGAGAGAGATTCTCCGGCGGGTGGCAGTTGGGGATCGTGCTGACCAAACAACAGAGAAATGGCAGAGTAGCAGACAGCCTTCTCTGTCCCTCTCATCCCTTTCGGATTTTATTATATAGTTTTCCCCACGTCCTGCGTCGTTTTGTGTTTCTCTTCTCAGAAAGTTAAAAATTGTCCCGCTAGAATCGCTAGAACATGTTACTTCCATTTCCTCTACATCTATGAAATCTATTATTTAATCCAACTTACTTTTTAATACATTTACTAGATTGTGGCCCGGCCGATTGGCCGGGTAGTTTATTTGTGAATTAATATGTAGTTTTGCGTCTTTTGTTGATCAGGCGACACCCGGATTTGAACCGGGGAAAAAGGATTTGCAGTCCACCGCTCTTAGTTTTCGTTAGAAAAATATTAATTTTTTTGAAAATTGCTATAATTGGACAATTTAGTGAAAATATTTAGAGACAAAACTACATATTAAATTAATAAAAAATTTAAGCTCCATCTAAAAATTATAAGATACCTTGTATTAAACTAAGTGGGACTTTGAAGATAAAAATAATATTATTTTACTTAATAGATGAAGTTAATGAGGAAATAAACAATTTCATATAGGCACAATGAAAAGAATGCATTAATTATGATAGACACAATAATATTCATTTTGCTACATTTTGCGCAAAAATATTAGTGATCATATCACTTTCATATTATGAAAATATTAGTGATCATAAGAGCCAAATAAATTAAAAGGAGGAAACCTACAACAAAAGGGAAATAATAAATTTAGTGTCCAGGTGGCTTCAATAGAAAGATTGAAATTCCACAAAAATAGTGCTTTTTTTTTAGTATAAGATATGGAATAGTGGTCGTGGCCTTGTAGAAATGGAGAAAATTAATTCGTGGGATTGTAAGATGTTAAGAAAAAAAAGTAACCGCTGCGGACGGTTTTAGCGAGAAGGCAGGGAGAGGAGAAGACTAATTAGTCCCTCTGACTTATGCGGTTTAAACACCACCGGCTGATGTGGCAATACTTGTTTATTGACATTGCCTTATATGTTTGTGTAGATACATTTATATGATTATATCGGGACGAGATACTGTGACAACCCCTAAGGGGGTTGTCAGATTCACAACCCACTTCATAGCCTTTGGATACGCTCTCTCTCCTGTCTCTTTCTTTTTTTTTTTAAATTAACGGTTAAGATTAAAGGAAGGATATTTTTGGAAGGGTAAAAATTTACCACACCCAATCATTCACTCTACCATATAAAAAGAACAAAAACCCTAACTCCTCCATCCTCCCTCTCTCTCTCCTCCCTCTCTCCCGTAGACATCACCGTCTCTCCTCTCCCTCTCTCCGCCGCCACAACCCTCCCACCACCGCGCCTGCTGTCCCCGCCGCTCCTGCCGCGCCGCTGTCCTCCCCCTGCCGTGCCGCTGTCCTCCCTCCCCCCCCCCCCCCCACCGCGCCGCTGTCCTCCCCTGCCCCGCCGCCGCGAGGTCAAGACTCTTCCCTGTCTCCCTCTTTCCTCATCCCTATTTTTTTCCAGATCTAATAGTCTCTACTGGTACCAATACCACTGGTAGCACTATTGGTACCAATACCACTGGTAACGCTATTGTTACGCTACCACTACTCACTGGTACCAATACCAGTGGCTCCCCTATCATCTGGTACCACTATCATCTGTTTTTTTTTTTTTTTTTTGTTATTCTCTACTGGTACCGCTACCAATGCTAGTGGTAGCGCTACCAGTGCTAGTAGCGTTGTGTTATTCTCTACTGGTAGCGTACCACTAGTACTGGTACATTTTTTACTGGTACCGCTAGTACTGGTACATTTTTTAACGTACTGGTAGCGTACCACTAGCACTGGTATATTAATTACCAGTAGACTAATAGATTGGTACACTTTTTAACGCATTGGTACATTTTTTCAAGTTGCCGGAGGGAGTCTACCTGAGAGAATTCGCCGGAGAAAAAGTTTGTCGGTCGATGCGGAGTGGCTGCTGGAGAAAGGAAGAGAGAGAGAGATAGATAGAGATATTAATGTATAGGATTTCAATTTCAGAAAAAAATTGTATTTAATATGGGTATTTAATTCCCAATATAATTAATACAAAAAAGGTAATTAATATATTCATTTTTTTCATACCCAAAATACCCTTGGTTGTGGTCACCGTATCCTGTCCCGATTATATCTAACTTATATGATTTCTCCCACCCCACACAAAAGGGAATGAAAAAAAAAAAAATAGAAAGCACATAAATTGGAGTGGGACCCACTATCCATTCCATTTGCTCTTTCATTAAATGAAAGTTGTCATTATATGGAAGAGGGGCTATAACCATGAAATAGGTAGCACCCCATGCCACGTCAGAATGGAAGAAGGGAATGACAGGCGCTGCGGATGCTCTTAGGAGTAGGTGCGGTGGAGAATGGTCCGGTATCGGTATTGGTATTCGTATCGATATCACAATATTAAATGCTAAAATAACGAATATTGAATCACTCTAAAATCAATCACAATCCTATTTTTGAACATAAATTATGAATTACTATTTGGTATCCGTATCGGTTCTTAACATAGAACATCATTCGATAGCGAACGACTAACTAAATTATGAATTAGTATTTGGTATACTTAGAGTGATATTTTTGATACTTTGGGCTACTTATGCATTTTAATTAGTACAAAAATTAATTATAAGATTATATTATAAATAATTAAAAAATTACCAAATGCTATTTTATCATGTGTATTTTTTATAAGTGACCCACACTAAACGCAATTATTGCCACGCCTATGTCTTTGATCCCTTCTTTGTGTAGCGATCCAGTTCAAATTTGTGTATTTTTATAATTGTTTGGAAATTTTTTTGTTAAAATTTTTACAAGAAAGTGATTTTGCCGAAAAAATCCCGGATATTAAGATGAGCACTTCTACTATGCTTTAAAGCATTTGTGATTTAAGGTACAACTTGAAATTGTATAATAACGTTAAAGTTACGAATTTATGTTGTAAAATAAGGGAATTTGCACATTTATGTTATGATTCAACCTAAAATTGTACAATAATGTTAAAGGTAGAACTTCAAATTTTACCACAAAGACAAAAAAAAAATCAAGTTGTCTCATAACATAAATATACAAATTCATATTGTACCACAAAAGAATTTGTACAAAAGAGTATAAGTACAATCTAAAGTTGTACAATAATGTTAAAAATACAAATTCAAATTGTACATAAAGACAAAAAGCTAAAAGCATTGTAAAATTTCTCTATTTTAACTTATTCGTTGTTTCTGGGAAACGATAAACCTCAACCGAGGTTTTATGTCATCTCCATTTGCAATTCTACTAAACACTTCACGCCATGCCTGGTATTGAAACTTGCAAGTCATTTTATTGAAAAGGGATGAGATACGGTGACAACCCCTAAGGGTTTGTGAGATTTACAACTAATTTTGTAGCCATCGGATACGTTCTTTCTCCTGTCTTTTTTTTTTTAATCAATGGTTAAGATTAAACCAATGGCAATTTCAGAATGGAAAACTTACCACATGAAATCCTTTCCATTTTCCATATAAATACTCTTTATTAACCCAAAAAAAAAAATCATACCCTCCGCCCAATTTCCTGCGTCTCCCTCCTCTTCCCCTCTCACTTATCTCTAACAAAAAACCCTAGTCGTCAAGAGCTCTATCACCGACCTCCATCATCGTCGACCTCAATCACCACGCAGACCTCCATCATCGTTGTCGCAACCGCCTTCCTCCTCACGTCGACGTTGTCCCCGCCGCCCCCGCTGCCCTCGTCGTCCCAGTCGCGCCTGTCGCCGTCTTACACCACTATCGCCGCCTCTGCCTCCCCCTTCCTCCGCCTCTCACCACCTCCCATCTTCACGGCGCCGCCACGAGGTCACAGCCTCTCCCCTGCCTTTCCCTTTCCTCATCTCCTAAATTTTTTATTTTCAGATCTGTGATTTTTCAGATTCCAGATCTGGTTTTTTGTGTTAGTCTTTAGTGGTACGCTACCACCAGTGGTACTGGTACCCATCAAAGATCGTGGTACGCTACCACTACTCACTAGTATCGTACCAGTACCACTAGTGGAGTACCAATACCACTGTACGCTAAATAAAATCACTACCACTAGCACACTCACGAAGTTGTACTTTTTTGTAGGTGGCCGGAGTGAGTCAGAATGAAGGTTGTCACCGGAAAAAAGTCTGCCGGTCGGAGTAAGTTTAGCGATCGGAGCGAAGAGGCTCCTCGAAAAAAGTAGAGAGAGATATAAGTGTATAAATTTTAGGGTTTTTTAGAAAAGCATCTATTTAATATGAGTTTTTAATTCCCAATGTGTAATTAATACAAAAAAAATTATTAATACATTTATTTTTTTGTTATACCCAAATTACCCTTGGTTGTGAATCTCACAACCCCCTAACGGAAAGTGATTGTATCCCGTCCCATTGAAAATAAATGAGTAATGACTATTTATTAGTCAATTATTTTATTTTTTTTTATTAGACAAACCTAACGAAATACTAAAAATTAGCCAAACGTTTTGTAACACGTCAAAGTAATAGCCATTAATCCGTTACCGTTAACTATTTCTTAACGGTGCTCCACGTCAGTGTCCAACTCACCTACCACCTCATCAATGAATAAAATAAAAATGGGTAAACACTAATTATTAGCCAAACTTTTCTCGCATTCTTTTTTATTAGCTAAGTCTATTGAATTACTAATAATTGGCCAAATCTTTTGTAATGCATCAAAATATTAGCCATTTTTACGTTATCGTTAATAATTTTGTAACTCTTTTCTTAGTTAAAATACTAAAATTTTGGAATGTTGACCTTCATGTGTATCTTCCAAGTCAGTATCATGTTAACAAGTCAATATTACTAACAAAATTGTTAACTTGAAGTTAACATTTGACTAATTATTAGTGATTTAATAGGTTTGGCTAATAAAAAAGAATACGGAAAATATGATCGATGATTAACCGACTGATGTGACATTTTCTGAATGCCACGTCAGAATATTCCTTTAAACTCAACAACACGTCGGACAACTCACCATTATCAAACGGAAAAGTTAACGGAGAGTTAACAATTTAGGATTTTGCTACGGTGACATGCATGTCACCATGACATGGACTTTTCGGTCGACCTAATCCAAAATGCGGTCGACCGAATTGACTAATTCATATATGTGAGGTTCCTAGACGCGGTCGACTTTTTACATAATATGGTCGACCTCTTTGGTGGTCTTACATAATATGGTCGACCTCTTTTTATGTGTGAACATTTATGATTTCTGTTTTATTGTATTTCTTGTTAATTTGTTTAGTTGTTATGCTATGAATTGATGAGTCCTTGTTATCATTATTTATGACTATTTATGATGGTTTGAAACATAATTTATACGAGCAAAAGAACCACACAAATTGACATACATAAGCAAAAAAGACACGGGCATATGTTGACTTTCTTGCATTCGGTCGACCTCGAAACCAACACTTGATCTTCATTTTTACCTCAAATGTTGGACACTTTGATAGAACACTTATCTTCTATCTGGTCGACCTCTTTCCTTATCTGGTCGACCATTTTGTTAATGACTGCCATCAAGTGGTCGACCTATATACCTTTTCGGTCGGCCATGTTGTTTCTGATCGACCAAAAATAACAACTTAAACTAAGTGCGGTCGACCAGGTGGTCGTTGAGGTCGACCGCAATGCTTTCTCGTGCTACCCAAATTAGTCAATTCGGTCGACCGCCTTCAGGAATAGGTCGACCTAAAAGTCCATGTCACGGTGACATGCATGTCATAGTAGGCATACCCTAACATTTAACTAATTAATATTTTCAATAGATTTGGCTAAAAGAAATTTTACAACTAATCAGAAGCTTGTACAACTGTAGATCGTTGGTTCAACTTCCTATCTCCCCTCTCCCAAGAGTATTTCTTGCAATAGTTAAAAAAAAGTAATAACAAAAAAAGAGAGGGGGACCTCACATTGCATTACATATTTAAAGCTTATGCAGTAAGGGTCAAATACCTAACCAAAAGAATAGGGGTTAATTGCATGGTTGGTCACTGAGATTACAAAAAAAGTTCAAGTTTGGTCACTCAAAATATTAAAATTCATTGGTGGTCCTTCAGTTTACTGAAATCGTTCACGTTTGGTCACTCTCCGTCCAACTCCTTTAACTTTTGCTTATGTGGCAATTTAAAATAATTTTTCAAAATTCATATAAATTCAAACTATTAAAAATAAAATTATTAATTATTAAAATTAAGAACAAAGGCTCATAAATAATATAAAAAATTAAGAACAAATGCGGAGATGGAGATGAGAGCTTGAGAGGATGTAGAAATCGGTCGCGACATAATGCCGACGATTCTACCAATCTCGTTCTCCCTTCACGACGCCTTTCTTCACTGCTCCGCTTGCTTCTCCCCTCTCTTCGGCCGCCGTTCCCACCCCGTCGCCACCGTCATCTCTCCTCGTCCATTTTTTACTGTTTTTCTCTTTGCTCCGCCACCGACTCGCCTCTCCACTTCTCCTCGGCGGAATCCCATCTCCTCAACTCCGTCGCCCTCGCCCGAGTCCTCTGCGGACCTCCCCGCCATGCTCCGCCTCCCCCGTACGAGCTCCGCCTCCGGAGATTGGATGTTCGGTTTGCTAACCAACCGCGAGAAATTGTTGGCGGAGGACGACGAGATCTCCGATCGCGTGAGGAGCGGAGCTGCCGCGATGGCGGCTGCAAGGGGAATGAGGAACGGTGCTGGCGCCGGCGCCGAAGAAGAAGAGGAATCAACGATTTGCTTGGTGATCACCAACGGAGTGGAGGTTGTGGATGAGAAAGGGAGAGGAATCGGAATCGCCGTTTACGATTCAAGAGGATCCCTTTTGTTTTTAATTTTAATAGTTTATAATTTTATTTTTAATAGTTAGAAACGAGATGGAAATTTCAAAAAAAATTATTTTATTATTTTTAAATTGTCACGTCACACATTTAACGGTCAACTTTTAGAGTTGACCGTCACATAAGCAAAAGTTAAAAGAATTGGACGGAGAGTGACCAAACATGAACAGTTTCAGTAAATTAAAGTATCACCAATGGATTTAAATATTTCGAGTTATCAAACTTGAACGTTTTTTTAATCTCAGTGACCAACAGTGACCAACCATTCAATTAACACAAAAGAATAGATATGGGATACTTTTCCTATAAAAAAAAAAAATATGGGATACTTTTTTTAGGAGGACCAACACTTCCCCAGATTTCTCTCTCAAATTAGCTTTCTATAACTTTTGTTTGATAAACTTTCCAATTCTGGCATCAAATCAACGATAGTAAGCCATGTGTCTACTAGATGACATGAAAGGAGAACCGGAGGAAGCCTTCTGGGTTTGGGCAGTAGGGGGTTTTATGGGTTCCTTCTTCTTCTTCTCCTGCTTGGTCTCTGAACGTAGCCAGTTCTCAACTACTGTAAGCAAGTTCGCAGATGTTCTCAGCTCATCCATCTCCACCAACTTAGCGTACCTCTTAAGCTCACCATCTTGTATGTAAGCAAGGTCCGTCGCCCATGCCTCTAAACCGTCGAAGATGTGAGTTGCATATATTAATGTAGCTCCTCTCTGCCATTAACTAAATAGCATCAGTAGAAAACAGAAAGAGAGTTATGGCGGCTGTGGCAGAAACTCGAGATATCGATTTTGTTTCTCCTCCTGGGTTGGGATGGTACTTCCCTAAAGTGCATATCTATTAATCTCTTAAAAGAATGCAATCATCGAAACCAAGTTGCTCTTGTATGAAGAACCCATACCTGCTCAGTTTCCTCCCTAAAAAACTCCAGCAAATCCATCCTAGCAACCACATCTAGATCAACTGTCACCTCATCTAATAGCAGAACCTGCAATCAGAAATTCATCTGCTACTTATTTGGTAGAAGAGGTGATAAATTATGAGACGCTTGGCTTAACAACAGAGCTGCTAACACAAATCTGTTCAAATGGGTCACGATCACGAAGTAACCAAAGTGTCATGGATAGTACATGAATAACTCTGAACTGTTTTAGAGTCAGAAATGACAAGTCAAGACACTCTAGTCATAATGGATTTGGAAACTCATACGTACATATCATACAGCCGAAATGTAAGCTGTTATTACTACCATAAAAGGGGAGAAATGTTCATTGGGTTTTCCACATCAATCTCGTTTCAAGACTCAAAATTTACCTTATACGGATGAAGAAGCCCCATACAAATCTGAACCCGTCGACGCTGTCCATCAGATACCTTATGCATACGCCATCGGAGATCGATATCGAGTAGATCAATTAGCTTTTCTCTCCTATCTGGATCAACACCCTCAACTGACACCAAAATAAAGAGTGTGGGGTGAGGTAAAAAAAAAGACCTCAGAATGCAGATCCCTGTGCATGTACTGCATACTTAATATCCTTAATTGTAACTATGCTAATTGCTAGATCCATTACCTCCAAATATCATATGCTCCGCAGAGAAATCTCCCTGCAGTGGAATTTCTCCCTGGAGGTTGGCAAGGACAATGATCAAATTCAAAGTAGTAGTTTATGCAGAATGAAAATGTGTGAAGTCTTGTGGAAAATTTGAGAGCAGAAATGCGCAATTCCTCATTCCAATTCCACAGCAAACCAGCAAGCAAATTGAAACCTCTGGAATGACAAAGAAACAACAAATTTGAACAGCAACTCACCGCCGATCCCACAGTTTTACTCCAGGAACCTCCCAGATAGGCCAAGTCGCCGCTACAAACGAGCTGGGTGTCATGAAAAGCCGAGCTGTTCAGCACTCTGACCACGTCTTTTCCTCCCACCATATGCTTCCCAGCCAGGATCCGCAGCAAAGTCGACTTCCCTGTTCAGAACCGACAACTACTCTCAGTTTCTGTTCTTCTTTTCAAATCCAGCTCTCCATTCCAAACGTAACCTCGACGAATCAATCGGATGAAATGAAAATTTCGTTACCTGATCCATTTGCGCCGGTGAGCAAGCAGCGAGATCCGGGAGCGATGTCGAGATTGAAGTCGAAGAAAAGAGGCGCCTGGTTGGAGTCGTACGAGAACTGCATCGCCGATACGCTAATACTGTTGGACTTGTCATTCTCCAATCCGCCTCTTCCTGCCGGTGGAGTCGCCGAAGCAGCACTTTCCGCCATTTTCTTTTCCCACCGTTAAGCTACGGGGAAATGAACCGGCTTACTCTGGGCCGTCTATCGTTGGTCTCTGTATTTCCATAATTGGGCCGTTTGGGTGGTATTAACTTTTTAAGTTTTAAGAATTAACGTGTAGAGTATGGTCTGGTGGACGGCGACTTGGACGCACCGTTTTGCTACACGTCTCTCTTCGACGAAGGGCAGAAAGGGGAAAACAAGTACAGCGGAGTATGGTTTTTTTTTTTATAACCCAGGAACCTCAACCCCACATGCCACTTTGTAACAGCGTGATCTACTAAACCTGGGGAGCACCTGTACAAGACACAATATCGGGAGACTTCGTCCCCGACACTCAGGCATGCCTCCGGGAACACACAAACGGCGCCGCTGGAGATCAAACTCAGAACCTCTCACATCCTAAGCCAACCAGACCAACGGTTTACCGGTAGGCTATATTACCTTTGGCAGCGGAGTATGGGGTTGGTGGTCGGCTGTTCATAGTTTTTTTTGGTGAAAAATAGAGCCTAGAGGGGCGTTGTAAACCTTAACCATTAGTCATATGGGGAGTCTGAGCCTTAACAAACAACGTATACAACCAATATCTCAAGAGAGGATTTGGGGTATGAAACACATGGACCCAATAGGTAAAGAGTGACCGATAGTCGGCTGTTCATAGTTGACCCGCTTGATGTCGCCTAGCGCCGGTTTAAGCGGACCACATTTTGCTTCTAGGACTTATCTATAACTTTTCTAATAACATGGCTAAGCCTCACTACATAAAGTAATAAAAAGATAAGGTGGTAAGGGACATCCTGAAGAGTTCAGACTCTCCTTCATTTCAAAGTACTTGCATTTCCACCGATGTCCCACGTTGCGTGACAAGGTCGATATAGGATGCATTCGTCAGCCTAGGAAGGCTCCTCTTTAGATAAAGTGGCGAAGATCTTTTTTTTTTTTTGTCATTTCATGGAGTGAAATTGTATCATATATTCATATGTCTATAGATTATCCATCTGTATCCAATCCCAACCAGAAGTGTGGTAAGTATGATATTTTGCATTCATTCCTGACGTAGGTTATGCTAATTCGCATCATTATGCTCGATAAAAGAAATGAGGAAAACATTACGGTCTTAAGCCAATTGGCGTGTCATGAGGTGATATATACAAATTAATAATTATATGCATCATTAACAAACTAACTTATAAATAGATTGATTTTCTCATAATTTGTAGTCGAGTTGGCTTCTTAGTTACAATGTTGGGACATTTCATAAGCTCAAAACGAAACAGTTCACGAGTTGTATTAACGAGGCACCTAATCGAGCTAGTTCACGAGCTTCACGAGCCGAACAAGATAGACCTCAAGCTTGGCTCGTTTAATCGAACGAGCTTTTATCGAATTCGAGATCGAGCCGCTCACGAATAACTTGGCTCATTAACAACCCTTCTCATAAGTCAATAACCAGTTATTCAATAGCTTGGCTCATTAACAATCCTACTCATATGTCAATAACCAATAATGAATAACGGTTACTAATAGTATCCAAGCCTGCAAGCATAGATAAATTTGGGAAAGTTCGGTGAGTTAGGTTTGATTTAGGCATGTCCAATCTTTCCTTGTCAAAGAAGTCTTGACTTTTAACATGCTTTTTTTTTTTTTTTTAAAATTGAAAAGTAATGAACGAGAGTACGAGAGACTGAGAGAGCAGAAACTAGAGACGGTTTCAAACTTGAACTGGAAACAAATAAAGCGAGAAAAAAAATTAAAAAATAAAATAGGTGGGGCGGGCCGCGGGACGGCGGGAGAGAGGGAGGCAGAAAAGAACCGAACTACAAGGGCAGAGAAAAGACGGTGGAGAGAGAAGATAAAACCCCGGGAAAGGGAGAGATTCCGGGAAATTCTAGGTTTACTCTCCTGCTTGATTCCGTTTCAGGTAAATAAGACGAAGGCTTGATAAGTCATAAGAGCTCGTGATTGCAACTCTCACTGCACTCGCAACCAGGAATCTGAATCACAGGTATGGCTACCGATACCGACTCTCCCCCGAGAAATTGGCTTAATCCGTTCTTACTCGCCCGTTCTCCCTTTCATTTCCTTTGTAACACGATAATTCGGGTTTGGAAGTCTGCAATTGCATGTGCCCTGGTATTTTCTAGGAAGCATGCAACATGCGGAGCTTGTGTATTTCGCTGATTCTGCGTTTGGAATGGCTAGCATTCCCTGGTGGTGCTTGAAATTGGATAGTAAGTAGTTAAACGAATTAGCTTGTTCATGGATTCATTGGAAATTGTTTGTACGTGTTTTGGGGTCGAGGTGAATGTGTAGGCACATTCACTTTTCAGTTGATGCATATTTGAAACGGAACTGACAGACTGGTTATCTTTACTAGCTGCTGTTTCTGTTCATGGTTTTGCGGTGGTGTATGAGGAATGTGATCTGTGATCATGGAGGACAATGACGATAAGCTTTTACTCAGAAGTTTGGGTGTTACATCTGCGAATCCTGAGGACATTGAACGGCATGTTTTAGCTGAGGTTTGCCGCCCCCTTTTAATTCGGGTCATCTTTGTTTTCACGAATTATTATAGGATTTGGCATTTCTAATAAGCATTTCATGTCGATGAGATAAGCATTGCATCTGTATGATTGTAGAAAGAAAATTCAATGGTGCTCTAAAATGAGGAGGAATCTAATCCAAGTTTTGTTTATTTATTTTCTCCAAGTGGCTATAATGGTTGTTTGGCTTATATTGTGTTGGTGAATTCTTATTTGTTTAGTTTTCAGTTGTGATGTGCTTTTTATGACTAGAGAACTCCTAAATGACAGGCAGAAAACCATGGCAAGAACAGTTCCGACGAGGGAAAGAACATAGACGAGGAGCCTCATGAGAATTCAGAAAGTGTTAATCCATTGTCTACGAGCGAGGCCACACTCTACCATAAACTAAGGGCTGTTAAATATGAAATAGATGCCGTAGCATCCACTGTTGAACAAGAAAGGAAAGTAGTTAGTGAAGATGACTCAGCTTGTGCTAATGATGGCACGACAGACCAAGAAGAGGAAAAAAATTGCGGATCCAGTCCACTGATTTCTTCAAATGATTCAACTCTGCAGCAAGCCCTAGCAGCTGATAGACTTAGAAGTCTTAGGAGAACCAAAGCTCAAATTGAAAAAGAACTATCAGATCTACATCAGATTACTGTGGACAAGGATGGAGAGCATGAGAAACTGCTACAAGACATTGTGAAGGAGCGCAGACCCAAAAAGAAGCCAAAATCTTCCAAAAAGACTGAAAAACATGAAGATAAGCGTAAGAGAACAGTTTCATTTGCTGATGATAATGATTTTGATGCTGCATTGGATGCAGCATCCAGGGGATTTGTTGAAACAGTAAGCCTCTTTATCTTTTATCTCCTATAACTCATCACAGTTTGCTTATGATGCTCACTTTAGGATAAGGAATCTGAAATTTTGATACCATGCTTTTACGTCAGGAAAGGGATGAATTGGTCAGAAAGGGAATTTTAACTCCTTTTCATAAGCTTAAAGGGTTTGAACGGCGGCTACAACAACCAGGGCCGTCCAATATATCTGAGAATGAAGAAATAGGTGCTGGTGATCTTACCTCTGGCAGTATTCTAAGGGCTGCTCAGTCAATATCAGACTCTGTGAAAGCTCGTCCAAGAACGAAGCTTCTTGATCCTGACGAATTGCCGAAGCTTGATGCACCTACTCTTCCCTTTCAGAGGCTGAAGAAACCAATCAGAGTTCCTGCCTCCCTGGAAAGTGATGCAGAAAAAAGTAAAGCTTCAGGAAAAAGGAAGCGTCCATTGCCTGGCCAGAAATGGAGAAAGCGTATTTCACGAGAAGAAATCCCTTTGGTTGATGCTGGTGTGTTTCATTGCCTGCTTGCTTATATTTTTTAGTTTTGACAACCGTTTGGCCAGTGACTGTGCTAAATGTTCTGTATGTTGGAGATAATTTGCTTCTACCTAGTGTTCATGCTTTACTTATCATCATAACATATTTGTCACATACTCAGTCCAGATCTGACTAACCTGGAAATGAAATGTTGAGTTTCATTTACCATGAATGGGATTGTTTTTCTTGTAGCTCTCTGGCAGTGCTTTCAAAATGTGTTTCCGCTGTGATTTCATATATATGTACATTAGGCGTGAAATGAATTTCCACTCCTGGCGTGTTTTTTCAGTTGATTGATAGATTGCAGACTTTTTCTTGATAAATTACAACTTAGTTTCACTTTATCATTTGATATTGCCAGTTCCTGTGCTCTAAAAGAGTGCTCTAACATTGCCAGTTTCTTGTTCAAAGGAGATGCACAGGTCGAGCTGGCTACATCCAGCAATGAAGAAGAGCTACTAGATGATTCTGGAGATGTTGATGGCACTGACTGTCCTTTCATAACACTTGAAGGTGGACTAAAAGTTCCAGATACAATTTTTAGTAAACTTTTTGATTACCAGAAAGTAGGAGTGCAATGGCTCTGGGAACTGCATTGCCAGAGAGCGGGTGGCATTATCGGAGATGAAATGGGTCTTGGCAAAACGATTCAAGTTTTGTCTTTCCTTGGAGCATTACATTTTAGTAATATGTACAAGCCAAGCATTGTCATTTGCCCTGTTACACTACTGTGCCAGTGGAGAAGAGAGGCACGCAAGTGGTATCCCAGTTTTCATGTCGAACTACTGCATGATTCTGCTCATGATCTTCTTTCTAGAAAGAAGAGAGCAAAGTCTTTTGAAAGTGATGAAGATAGTGATGCTTCTTTTGATAGTGACAATGATGCGAGTTTAGCATCTAAAAAGGGCAACAAATGGGAGTCATTAATAGACCGAGTTTTGAAGTCAGAATCTGGGCTGCTCATTACTACGTATGAGCAACTTCGGCTGCTTGGGGATAAATTGCTTGACATTGACTGGGGATATGCAGTTCTGGATGAAGGACACAGGATTCGAAATCCAAATGCTGAGGTCACTCTAGTCTGCAAGCAGCTTCAGACTGTTCATCGCATAATAATGACGGGAGCACCAATTCAGAATAGGTTAAGTGAACTGTGGTCTTTGTTTGATTTTGTTTTCCCGGGAAAGTTGGGGGTCCTTCCTGTTTTTGAAGCAGAATTCGCTGTTCCAATCTCTGTTGGTGGTTATGCAAATGCTTCACCACTACAAGTATCTACGGCTTACAGGTGCACTTTGAATAGTCTGTTAAAATATTTTATTGACATTGAAGCTTTTTGTTCCAATTCAGTGACATAACCTTTTTCAGTTAAGTGTCATAAGGATATTAGCTGAAACCTTAATTTGTCTCATCAGGTGTGCTGTGGTACTTCGTGACTTGATCATGCCTTACCTGCTACGTCGTATGAAGGCAGATGTTAATGCCCATCTTCCTAAAAAGACTGAACATGTACTCTTCTGTAGCCTTACATCGGAGCAGCGATCTGTGTATAGAGCATTTCTTGCGAGCGCTGAAGTTGAACAAATTCTCAATGGCAGTAGGAACTCCTTGGCTGGGATTGATGTAATGCGAAAGATATGTAACCACCCTGATCTACTTGAGAGAGAGCATTGTTATCAGAATCCAGACTATGGAAATCCTGAGCGTAGTGGGAAAATGAAAGTTGTTTCACAGGTGCTCAACGTCTGGAAGGAACAGGGTCATCATGTTCTTCTTTTCACTCAGACTCAGCAAATGCTTGATATCCTTGAAAATTTCTTGGTCTCTCATGGTTACAACTACCGGAGAATGGACGGTCTTACTCCAGTGAAGCAGAGAATGGCCTTAATTGACGAATTCAATAACACCGATGATATCTTCATTTTTATTTTAACTACAAGGGTTGGTGGTTTAGGGACTAATCTAACTGGTGCAGATAGGGTGATAATTTTTGATCCAGACTGGAACCCATCAAATGATATGCAGGTACTTTTCTTTTTTCATGCAAGGTGTTAAATTAAGTTCTCACCTTCTGAATACTTGAGATGATCTGCTAATAACCTGTATTGCGCCCCTAGCGAGTAATGGTTGAATTTTTCTTGAAACAGGCCAGGGAGCGAGCATGGCGCGTTGGTCAGAAAAGAGACGTGACTGTATATAGGTTGATTACTCGTGGGACTATCGAGGAGAAGGTGTACCACCGACAGATTTACAAGCATTTTCTGACTAACAAGATACTGAAGAACCCTCAGCAAAGGAGATTCTTTAAAGCTCGTGACATGAAAGATCTGTTCATTTTGAGTGATGATGGTGACGGTGGATCAACCGAGACATCTAACATTTTTAGCCAGTTGTCTGGAGATGTCAATGTTGTTACTGCGCAAATGGAAAAGCTGGACAATCGTAATCAACACACCATAAATGGTGCAAGACATGTTGCTGATGAAAGGCATAACTCGGAGGCCCTACTCACCAGGAGGAAGGTGAAAACTGAGGAGGTTTCTGATCACAAAGACCCTGAAGATGATAAGGAAACAAATATCTTGAAGAGTCTTTTTGATGCTAATGGTATACATGTAAGTACCAATCTTAATTCCTTCATTCTCTCTGTTAGTTGCTTATTTATTGGCCATTTCTGTTCGTTTCGAGTTATTTGATTGAGAAGTTGGTTATTTGATCAACTGGAGGCAGCCAACTGGTTGGGAAGTTAAAGAAAGCACTGTAGCTTGCTTTGCTGTTGTTAGTTTGTTACCCAGATCGCCCATGTCAACCACCGTTAACTTTGTCCACTCTTTCTTCCTCACCAGAGTGCATTGGACCATGACGCCATTGTGAATGCGCCCGATGAAGAGAAAGTGAGGTTGGAGGAGCAAGCATCTCAAGTCGCACAAAGAGCAGCAGAGGCATTGCGTCAGTCGCGGATGCTACGAAGTCGTGAAAGTATATCAGTGCCGACATGGACAGGCAAATCAGGCTGTGCTGGGGCACCACCATCCACGACCCGTCAGAAATTCGGGTGTACCATCAGCTCTCAAGTGATCATCAAGAAGACATCATCCAACGGAACCAGCAGCAGCAATGGGACAACCAGTAGCGGCCTTAATGGTATAGCAGCTGGAGCATCTGCTGCCGGGAAGGCGTTATCATCAGCCGAGCTGCTCGCTAGAATTCGTGGGAACCAAGAAAGAGCTGCTGGCGCGGCTGCGGGGCTTCATGTTGCAGCATCATCCAGTTCAACTAGCAGCACGAGATCTGGGGGTAGCGGAACATCCAGCGTCCAGCCGGAAGTATTGATTCGTCAGATTTGTACTTTCATACAACAAAGGGGTGGGAGTTCCGATTCTGCGACCATAGTGCAGCACTTTAAGGACAGGGTACCATCTAAGGATCTGCCATTGTTTAAGAATCTCTTGAAAGAGATAGCAACTCTGAAGGACGACCCAAATGGGAAAGTGTGGGTTCTGAAATCGGAATACGAACAATAGAGCATTCTGACTGCAGGTGCTGCTCTCGCTGCTGAAGATCATACTGGTACCCTAATGGTTACGTGGTTTCATCTGAAACTCGGAAAGTTTAGATCATTAATGCCATAGAGACAGAATACTTCCAGTGACGGGTAATGATGATTCCAATTTCCAAGTCCATGGCAGTTGGCACCCAAATCCGACGACAAGCCAATCCCAGTATGGAAGTCGACAGTCGTTACGAGTTTCTATTGTTGGGTCGCCGGTTAAGGCGTTTGCACTGTACCGACAATTCATTCTTTACATGATTTCATTGATTTTTTCAGGTGCAGAGTTCCAGAAACGAAATATAAAAGAAATCTTTGCTATTTATGGAAATGAAGCGGATTTGATTTGATACCCTTTTCCATCCAACACTTATTCCCACCGATGAACACTCATTAGCTAGCCGGCCTTTCCTCTTGCTTCCTTTCCTTACACGTAAAGGTAGGATCACAATTCACAAGTCACAACTCTCAAGTTCATCAGTTCTCTTTTTCTTTTTTTGCTCTTTCTTCTCTCTGATAAATGGAAACCCAAAACGGGGAAATCATACTATAAACTCACTCTCACATAATAAACAGGTAACCAACCAAAGTCACAAACACCTGAATTTCATCACCGCCATTTACTTCATTCATGTCTAATATTAGAAAGCCGCCCATCCCGATGCAGTTTTTGTCTTTTCTCCTCTTGTTGATGCCTTGGTCGCCGGCGGGAGATTCCTCTGCCACAAAGAAAACCCAACCCTCAGATTGAACTACATGTTTGTTTGACTGGTTGCCGCCGGCAATTAGGCTAACAAGAACCCACAACGGAGAGAGTCTGGCGTTTTGTAATTCGATTGCCAGAAGCTTGAATTGAGCTTTCATTCACGCAATTCTTAGAAGTCTACTAAAAGAGAAGAGATGCAGACATACCTGAAGCTGTGAAAAATCTGATAACGAATCGGTAGAACTCCTGCTATTACTATTGCTACTGTCCTTGGTTGCCCTCCCACCAGCTGTACTGGTTATCCGAACAACCGCCGGGTCGTTAGGTGGCGGCGGCAACGGCGTCCTTATCTTGCCGGCCGCAGCCGGAGGTGGGGCAAGGCTCAACGGTTTAGCCTTCCCTGTCGCTGCAGTCCCGCCGGCTAATCCCGCAGCAGACAGCATTCCGGTTCCACTGCTAGTCGGCTTAGGCTTTACATTTATCCGAATCGTCTCCCCTTCCTAAAAAAAAAAAAATTAGGATAAAATAAAGAAATGAAGCTGCGGAAAGGTTAAAATGCGCACAACTCAGATCGAAATCTGATTTTCATTTTCCCCAATTCCCATTTCCCTGACCTTGAGCCGGTGATTTACGGCGGGGTGGATGTCGATGCCGTCGGCAGCACCGGCGGCACTGCTCTCCCCGGTTTCCTTGTCGTGCTCCCTGCGGACGTACTTCTCGTGATCGGAGAGGGCGACGTTGAAATCGAACGCCTCGTTCCGCTCGGCGAACCCCAGGCCGATGAAGGCGTGCTTCCCTGCGCCGTCCTCGATCTTGAGCACGAAGTAGCGCGACGAGTCCAGCACCGGCTCCACCGACGTCTCCCGCTGCCCCCGCGGGACGAAGCAGGCCGCGAACAGATCCCCTGAGTTCGGATCCTCCAGCCGGATCTCGCACCGCTCCTTGCAGGAAACGACCCGGAGCCGCCCCGACCAGATCTTGTCCGACTGCAGCCACTCCCCGCACTTGTAGCCGCCGGAGGTGGAACGCGGCGGGATTTTGTACACCGCCACCTCCCGGACCACCAGCAGGGTGTGCTCGAACGATTCTTCGTCCTCCTCGAACGACATCGTATTCCTTCCTTCTGCTGCCAACTCTCTCTCTCTCACTTGAGCTGCCCTCTCTTTCTTTCTCTCTCTCTCTATACCACGCGCACAAAAATGGAGCAGAGAGAGAAGGCCGGGGATTTGAAGGATACGTTTCCTGGCCAAGCGAGAGATGGCGAATCGCTGAGACGTGGGTTTGAAGAGTGTGGCTGATTGGTCAACTGTCGTGCACCAGAGAAGAGAAAAGAAAGAAGAAGGTTCTATTACCGATTTACCCCTCCTTGGTTTCCGGCAAGATTTTACGCTACGCGTTTCCGCACTTTTTTCTCCTTCAAGGCTTTTCGTTTTGGGCCCCAGATTACATCTGGGCCGCAGGCCCAATTCTCCTCAGTTTAAAACCCTAAAAACCCTAGCATTCCCCCAAGTTTCTGACTTCTGAGCTTGTTCGTCAACTTTGCTGGGATTTTGCCGAGAATCGCCTTCTGCCTGCGTCTGTGTTTACTGGTATAGCTCCTTCCTTCCTTCCTTCCTTCTGTGACGTTAATTGTTTTTTCTCGTACTGTTTCTTTTTTCGTGGTCATCGTATGTACTTTCGATGGCTGAAATTGTCGATTTGAGGGTTTAAGCTAGTCCCCCTGATTCCGAGTCCGTTTAGCTTACGTTACGCCCCAGTTTCCGCCCTCCTTTATGCATTATGTAATTCCGTAGCTGCTCTTTTCTGTTAGGTGTTGACAGCGGAGATTCACGATGTTGCTTCAGTGCTACATAAACGAGAATGGTGATAAAGTCTACACCACCAAGGTGCGTTTACGTTCTCTCCTCCTGCCCTTAATTTGGTTTTCCCTGAATGTCGAAGCCCGCTCATTTCTGTGGGATTGGATTTGTTTCTTACAGAAAGAATCGCCGCATGGATTGCCTACGCAGTCTGCTCATCCTGGTAAATGGTCCTTTGCCTTTCCGAATTAGGTTCGGATGTAGTTGAACCTAATTCCATATCTGTACTTGTGCGACTACTATAGTTTTCCTTGGGAAATTGTGAAGGGGGGGTTAAGCAAGGGAGAAAGGGAACTAGAAATCTTTGTGCTCTTCCTTCGGTGTATTTCTGTGGTTTCTTCAATCTAGGATTATTAAGTGAAATTTAGTTGCTGACGAGTATGCTACCAGGGTTTGTATGGCTTTGGGGAATCCATATGATATTGTTGTCTGTTTGACTTGGCTGATCAAGTGATAGCTTCTGCTTCTTTTAGCCAAATGAATTGCAATTTTATCCAAATGTTAGTCCGTGTAAGATGTTTCTATGGTTTTTGCAACCTGCTGCTCGGTACATGGTTTTGGATTCAGTTTCATATGTTTCGAAGACTTAAAAGTGTGTCCATTTCTTGCAGCTCGCTTCTCTCCCGATGACAAATACGCAAGGCAGAGGTATCTGCTGAAGAAGCGGTTTGGGTTGCTGCCAACACAGCAGCCTCCTCAGAAGTACTGAGAATGGTTTTTGGGTCTAAAACATGATGCAGTAAAGGTTTATCTGACCCACACAGGTCTTCCTCTTGCTATTTGGATTGGACAGTTGGCCATTTGTATGGTCTTTCGGATGTAGCTGTGTAATAGCTTTCAGAATGTGGGTGCTCAACGGTTTGGATTCTCTATCAAGATGGATATCTGGAGCTCTGACTCTGTAATGCTTGAAGCCAGTTGTGTAATCTAGATGTTTGGACTCTTGCAGGTTTTGCAGCTATGCGTGTTATTTTATTTCGTGTCATTGGTATGGCTTTTGTGGTTGCTGATATAACTAACCAGGCTGTGGGTCCATGGAAGTAAGCATTTTATTGATAACTGGATCAGAGCTCAGCCTATTGACCGGGTTGGCATAGTGAGGGGCTGCAATTGAACAAATTTGCTTGCGAGCAATTCCCATTCAAAATGGGAAGAACTTATTCGGTACTTGAGTCGTGGGTTGTCTCTTTGAATAAGTTGATTTGTGAGTTGTCTTGTTTACAAATCGGTCAAATTCATGCTAAATTATGCTTAGCTTCCCAGGCTCACAAGCTAGTTCGATTTGGTAACTCGTTAATTTTAGCTCTCGAGTTAAGCTTGTTTAGATCTTATGCCGATGCTTAATGCCCACAATACCAGCACAGGACACAACATGATCCCCGAAGACATCGCCATCAAAGACACGGGAACAAGCAGAACAGGGCCTAGATACCAAAAACAGCGGGACACCAAATCGATAACTAAGCATACTACGATATGTTCTGCCATTCATAGTATGGCCCAAACCAGCAATAGGAACATCACGCAACCAATCAGAAGAGTGTGCACTCTGTTGGGACTTCCACAAAGCAACCTGACACGTAGTCAATGAGAAAACAGAATCTGAAGTAGCAGCAACCTTCGCAAAATATATGTCTGTCAATTTCTTCATAAGTTTTGGGGTAGCAACTTCACTAGGGTCACGTAAGATATAAGAACTTGTAAACTCATTGATTGTGGGTGGGGCATCATCAAAAGCAAGGTCAGGAGAGAGAATTCCAGAAGGGCATAAAAGCTTAGACTACAACTCAGCAGACCGCAAACGAGATGCCAAAAAAGAATAATGTAGGACATCTCCAGTAGTATAAACCCCAAGTCTACTTAAATGAAAGGGGAAGGTGGCAAGCCGCCATTGCCAATCACTCAACCATGCCCCAGCAGCAGTGACAATACGTTCTAAACTGGAATGAAGGGCTGTGTCAAAAGCGAGCTGAGCCGGCCCAAAAACACGAGGGGAGCAAGTAAGCAAAGTAGAGTTTTGAAATACTAGTGCAAGCCCAAAGCAAAAGCAACTCACATTGTGGGTCATCAATCCTTGCAACCAAGTCCATCAACTCGACGGTCCTGGTAATTCTCTTCGCCACAAGATAAATTAGATTATATAGCAGACACATCCAATTTTCGCGGGTAAGGTGTTCACCCTTTGAAAATAGGTCTTTTAGAACACTCCTTCTCCACACTCTACGAGCCCGCACACTCCCTAAAAATAATGAATTTTAATAGTTAAAAGTTGATGGTATTTGTTGGATTATAAGTAAATTGTCCACAAATAAGTTTTATATATGATTAAATATCTTGGATATTATTTGTTTTCACATTTTTTAAATCGGCATGAACCTACACAAATTGGTTATACCACCGATCGTACCATTCTACTTGACAAATCGACATAACGATAACGGTATAAACCTATTTGACAACCTTGATTGGGGTAGAAGTGGTATTCCGGATGACGTAATATGGGCAATTGTGGAAACATACAGGCAAGGGGTTTTGCATCATTTTTGCCTACTCAGTCCAGTCCGCCAGTCCCTGCAAGTAACAACACTTCCGAGTGGAGACGCGGACAAGCTCTCTCTCTCTAGGTACCAGTGGTGTGGCGGCACTTCTTCCGACTCGTTCCTCAGTAAGCTGACTTTCGCCTAACCAGAAGGTTTCCCCGCATCCGCAGTCCCCTCGCCAACTCAAATCTCTCGTTTTCTTTTCTACCTCCTGTCGCCGGAATGGCCAGAAGCCTGCCCGGATTTCTGGCACAGATCGTCGCGGTGGCTTTGATCTGCTGCTCATTCGCCGCCGCTGCTTCAATCTTCCAGCCCATCTCCGACTCTCACCGATCCGCCGCATTGGAGATCTTCGACCGATCCTTTGGCAGGTTGTTAAACCCTATCTCGATACCTATTTTCCGTACTTCTGTTTTCCCCCCGAATTGGAGAGCTGGAATCTCGTTTGGTAGAATTCCTGCTCGGTTCTGAAATTTGAATTACCGATCTACACAAATGACGTGTGTACTTTTGCTCCGTCTTTCTAGCTTAGAAGAAACATACGAGGCATTGCGAACATTTGACGTTCTTGGGCTCGAGAGAAAACCTGATGTAGGAACTACAGCGTGCCAGTCTGTTTCGCAGACTCTGGCTTCATCGTCCTCGAATTTGAAAGATATATTCTATGCTTTGAAAGTCAATGGAGTTTTGAAGTGCGAGCTAGATGCGGAGAGTGTAGAGGTAACTGTTGTGGCAGCATTGTATATTGCCTGTTTGTGTCGAGAATGGTTTCATGGAAACTTATGTCTTGCCTTTTAAAGGGAACTGTTTCCACATTTCAAACTGCCGTGGGGAGTGCCAGTTCGTTGCTCGAATTCTATCATTCAATTGGAGGCTTGGTACTTGTCAAGGTAACAACGTTTTCTTTTTGGTGTGTTGCTGTGCTATGAACCATTTCTTTGCATCTTGTATTTTCCCCAGCCCTCAAGCTTGTGGCTTGTTTTCGGCCCGATAAATCTTGGCGCAGGATCAAGCTTTGAAGGGTGATCTTTTTCTTGCTGATGCTGAAGGAGCATTTCGTTCCATCAAGGTTTGTTCTTCATTCACTTTATTATTAGGTACATAGAGCCGTTAGGAACTCCATCCCTTGATCAGAGACAAGGATTGATTGGGCATTCTTCGGAATATCCATTGTTCTTCTCTTAGATTCTTCCCCTTTCCCTCTCTATTAGGAGCTGTGACACTCTCTATCATAAATTTGATTTGGTCTTGTTATTTACAGGCTTTAAGTCAGAGTGATGGAAGGTGGCGATACAGTTCCAGTAATCCTGAGTCTAGCACTCATGCCGCAGGTATTTATTTTCCACGTAATCGATTGTCTACATTTATTAACATGCTCTTTTTTCATAAAATCATTATCCACTACATGTCCTCGGCCATGGTGTTCTTTCCTGAGTAACCCAAGAATGTGTGTGAGTTTCTTGAGGATATCTTAAACGTTACACTAACAACACTCAGAAAAGTGGTAGGGTATCTGACGATGTCTTAGACTGATAAGTGGACTGGTTTTATTGCCGTTGACAATTTTGTTGTTACCTGGCTGCTATATTTTGTTATGCAATGTATTCTATATTCTTTTACAGAAGCTGGTTTGCACCAATCTTTCTGATTTGTTCTTTTTCTTAATCTCTTACGTCTTTATCAGGTTTAGCCCTTGAAGCACTAGCTGGAGTTATCTCGTTATCATCTTCCGAGATCGACCAGTCCCTGGTAAACGAAAATCCTTACTAACCAGCTCGGAGAAATATATAAATAGCTAGTTAGTTACTGCCTGAACAGTCCATTCCTATTTTCCGTTGCTAAATTGGTAGCAAAGGAAGTTCAGTGTGTCAGTATCTGGCAAGCCTTTGACATTGCTCTAGAGTTTCATATTTTTAATAAGTTACCTGTTCAGGCAGGTTAGATTGTGCATCTTTGCTGATTTGGTACTTGTATTGCATACTGTATACCCCCAAAATGGGCGGCATGACTTCAAGATCTAGCGAACATCTTCTGATTGGCTAAGGAACTTGCTACTTGAACAATTGAATCCTTTGCTTGACACTTCACCTGAGACTCAACGGCTGACCATTTTCAGTCCCGTATTTCTTACACCTTCATGCAACTGTTACACTTGCTGTTTTGTTGTTATGTCATCCGTAATGTTTTGGAATACACCTCCATTGCTTTTTGCAGGGAGGCATTGTAATGTCTTTAAACCTATTTTTTGAGTTTGATGAGTTCTTGCTCCAATGGATGGCTGTTGGTGGTTCAGAGTTGTTACTATGCTCTTTAATTGACTCCTTGTCTTTGTACATGTGTGGCAGATTGGTACAACGAAAAATGATATACTGAAGCTTTTTGAGCAAGCTGAAAAGTATGGTATGTGTAACTGTTTTCCTTGACTTTTTTTCTTTCTTCGGTTGGACCTTATCTAGAAGATATGTGGTGGAGAATCGTACTTCCATTGAATCCTTTGAATGACTATGTAATTTTCTGTGTGGTGGGTATTCTATTGAATGTGGCAAATTGAGTGATTGTCATACAATGTAATTGTGATTTCTCTTGGAATTAGTGATCTGGATATACCATAGCGCATGATTTTGAATAGTTTCTGTTCTTTCAAATTTGTGACAATCATCATACAGTACAATAACTTCTCTTTGGATCGCTGATCTGGACATTATCATAACATGTGGAAAGGTTATCACTTGCAGCAGCTGAGCCTTTTTTCAGTTCTCTTGTCAACACTTCTTCTATCATTCTCATTGATATGCTATGTTCACCAGACGCCCTTTTAGTATTTTATGTTAATGATAGTCCTTGTTTGCACTCCTGGGAATAAACTAAATGTTCTTCTCATATTAACCCTAATATTGTATTGCTGCTTTTTAGGTCTTGATTCTTGGAGTTATTAGAGGCCCAAAGCTGTTGAATTATATTGTCATCTGTTAGTGCATTGTAATTACTTATTTACATCTGCTTGCAGATGATGGAACCGTCTATTTTGATGAGGAGGAGATTGATGCTCATGAGAGTCAAGGCCCTCTTACATCTACTTGGTCTGTTGTCAGAGGTATAACATCATTTGCAGCAGTGACTTCAGGAAACCTAAATGTGAGTAACGATTTGCAGTAGTATTGCAGGCTCTTTTATGTTTTGACATGAAGGAGAAGATGTTTGATTCTTGTGTTTCATTTTCCAGCTTCCAGGGGAAAAGGTACTGGGTTTGGCTAAATTTTTCCTTGGGGTTGGGATTCCTGGTGGTGCTAAAGATTTTTTCAACCAAGTAGACTCCTTGGCTTGCTTGGAGAGCAACAGGCAAGTGCTTTCATGGAATGATTCTCTCTGTTTGTTTTAATTGATGGGGAAGCTGCTGTCATGTTACATGTAGAGATATCTGTTAAGTTACAATGCATAGAATGGAACATTTCCGTGTGAGTTAACAACTGAATTCTTGATGAAGTGGCAATTCGTTGTAATGCTAGCATGTCTTTCTCCTTTTGAGTAGAGAGTACGTGAACTTACGGCTGGTGTAATGGTCCCTGAAAGCAAGCTATCCCACCTGAAGATCTAACATGCTTGTTGCCTTATCTCATATTTTGCCCGGGTGCACATTCTCAAGCATGCAGTAGTTTTCAATAGTGCAATCATAATTAGACGTGTTAATTTCTCAGTGGTAAAAAACCCTTAAGTTGGTATAGCGGGTGTTTACTCTTCCTGTGATGTACTTTCTAAACTAAAACTATCGAGTGTATGTGGCAATCTCCTAAGCTGACGATGCTGAGTTTTGCTTGTGCTCGCAGGATTGCTATCCCATTAATTCTATCACTTCCAGCTACTGTGAATTCGTTGACAAGGAAAGACGCACTCAAGGTATATTACAAATACACTACACAAAGTATGGAATATATATGAACTTCATTGGTTCTTTCAGGATAACGATGTGCATAGTTAGCCATGTATATTTTAATATCCTTCTCTAAGTAAATAATCAAGGTGTCCAAATAATGATCTTTTCTCTTTCTGGAGCTTTTTGAACTCATATAGTTATATTGCAGCTATGGGTAATCTGTTCCATGGATAATTATGTATCAGGTTAAGGTCAGTACTGTACTTGGTTCAGATGCTCCTCCTCTGATGGTGAAGCTTGTAAGAGCTAAGGATACTCCTGCTATTGAAAGCCAGGTGCAACCTTTTTTTCCTTCTATAACTCCTAGATTAACTTTTGTGTTTTTGGGGCTCAATACCTAGCTTAATCAAATAGGTTATTTGGTTTAAGTATTATCTGAACTATGGTTGATCATAATTCCTTGACTCTCTTTGGTGTTGGTTTTTTGTAAGCATTGACTCATGTTTTTGTTATTTTTATTTTGTAGGAGCTCAAGTTTGATTCCGAGAACAAGGTGCATGTCTTGGAAACTTTGAAAAAGAGTGTTGATGTGGGCAAGTACATATTCGTTTTCGAGGTACCCTTGCTTTTTTGGCACAGTGATATTCTTTATCTGTCCCTTCATTCATTGACCAACTCAAGTCTTCTTTTTGTAGATTGTATTTCATGATCCTGAGCATAAGAAGGTTTATGCTGTGGAAAGTAAAGCTGAGGTTCCAATTTTCTTAACTGGAGCTGTCAAAGTTGGAAATGCAGAGATTGCAGTCCTTGATAGTGATCTTGGGAGCACAGAAACTCAGAAGAAGTATGTTTCCTCTTACAATGAATACCTAGTTTCATTCGTCCTGCCGGAAACTATAGCAGCTTTCTCAGTGGAATAGCTGTTATGATGGAGGCAAAACATCATGACTTGTTGCATTGATTTCTGAATTCTCTGTAGTGTTTAAGAATTACTAGCGACTATATGTCTGTCAACTATTTAATTTGAACTTTTGTAATTTCTAGTCTGGATTTTGCTGGAGAGAATCTTGTGTCATTGTCAGCAAATCATCTCCAGAAGTTGAGACTACGTTTTCAGTTGACCACTCCTCTTGGCCATCCTTTCAAGCCGCATCAGGTTTGTGAATCATCTGTTGTCTTGTTTGGTTGGAGTTTTTTTTGAGATGTCTTCCCAAGTTTTGTTGGTTTTCAGGCAATTTTGAAGCTGACACATGGGAGCAAGGTGGATCATATCTTTGTGGTTGGAAGCACTGGGAAGCAGTTTGAGATCATTCTGGTTAGATTCCTTAGTTCATGTTCTCTTTGTTTGATGTTCTATTACCCCTCTTCTGTTTGATTTGTGTTTTTTCATCAATAATTTTTTGAACACAAACCATAGTTTGACTAATTTACTTATCTAGCTGGAGAAAAAGATAGTAAAATGGTGGCTGCAGGATTCGAGACTTGGCCTGAACAAAAACTCATTTGATGTGGAGGACTTTTGAACTTGAACTTAAAAAAGGTCGTTGGGTATCAATTTGATCACATGTCTTTCGCTTGAGAACCTATGATGACCTAGATGTATCAGGGGCAGAAATGAACAAGCTCTTTATGTCTAGTCAGAGGAAATATCTTCTTGTACTAGTGGAATGTTGTTTGGTAGCTTCATGAAGCTATTGATGACTTGCTCTGCTAAACTTCCATTTTGATTATAGATTAGTTCTGCTACTAAAGTTGGTAAATGATCTCTTGCACATTTGGGTGATTAGATAGATAATATCTGGGACTCTGAGTATCCATTATCAGGTGCCATGTATCTGATTTATTTGGCCTGTTGTAGGATTTTCTTGGACTCGTGGAGAAATTTTACTATCTATCTGGTAAATACGAAATTCAACTCACAGTTGGAGATGCTGTCATGGTAAGTATCCATTTTCCTTTTGGCTTTTGCTTTTGTTCATAAGTAAAGGACAATCTCCGTTTTGCTTTTACTATTTGTTTACAGTGAATTGGTTTTTCCTACTTCACCATCCAAATATAACATATTTGTTTTCATTTCCTTATCAGGAGAACTCCTTCTTTAAAGTTATTGGACATCTTGACCTTGATCTACCGGAAGCACCCGAGAAGGCACCCCGACCCCCTGTGCAGCCTGTTGATGCATACTCAAGATTTGGACCTAAAGCTGAGATAGCCCATATATTTAGAGCTCCAGAAAAGCGTCCTCCTCAAGAGCTCTCTCTGACTTTCTTGGGACTTACAGTTTTGCCTCTCTTGGGGTTCATAATTGGGGTGAGTTCTAAATTTTCTTTAGTTGGCAATACTCATATGTTAGTTCAGTGTTGACTAAAAAATTACAGTAAACGACATTACAAAGCAAGTGTTTTAGCTTTGGAAACAGAGAACGAAAGGAAGATGAGGAAATAATTAATGTTGATCGGTAGTATTAGGCATAGAACTGAACTGCTGGTATTTTTACAAGTGATCATGATCAGCTTAACTATTTCATTTTACAGCTTTTGCGCCTGGGAGTAAACCTGAAGAATTTCCCTTCTGCTGCTGCACCTGCCTTATTTGCTGCTCTTTTCCATTTGGGCATCGGAGCTGTTCTTTTGCTCTATGTTTTATTCTGGTTGAAGGTTAGCTTTCAGATCCCATAATTTCCTTCCGTTCTCTGCCTGATGATGAGCTCATCTTATAATTCCATCTGATTATCTTTTCTGCTGGTGTACAGTTGGATCTGTTCACGACGCTGAAAATACTTGGGTTCTTGGGAGTGTTCCTGCTGTTTGTTGGACACAGAACACTTTCCCACCTAGCGTCAACAACATCCAAGGTGAAATCTGCGTGATTCATGGTAGAAAGGAGGTTAGATTGTTCCAAAAACTTGCAGTCCAGAACATAATTTCAGGTTGTATGTTTGAGAGTACGTTCTTAGGGACACATTTACTAGAAAATTTTGTAGGACTGCCTTCTTTGGGCGCCGACTCTTCGATACATTGAGAATCGCAATACTCTTAGAAGCTTCACCCAAACACAGCTTATCGATTGGTGGTGTAGTTCTCTCTTATTTCTGAGCTTTTGTAACAGCCCTCAAGCAAACTGCGTTGGCATATAGTCTAGCCTATCAAACTTGAGCAGTAGCTCTTTTTCTATCGTGTTTTTTAGTCCCTTTAGTGATATTCATTATCATTATCTTACATTTCCCGCAAAGCACGAGAAAAATCAACCTTTTTGTTTACCACTCACTTCGTGTGCTAAAATCACATTATCAAAGGGGGAAAGTAATCTGTGTGATCTGAGTTTGAGTTTTGGTTGAAGGAGCCCCTTTCATGTAGCTTTTGTGGATAAGACCACTAGAGAGTTCCTCTTTGTCACTTAGGGGTCGTTTGGTTTTGGTGATAGTTGAATCGATGTATTGTCATGGTGATTGCATAGTAATAGCTAATCAGCGGACGAGTCGATCATACACAACATTAATAAGGGTCTTTTGTGTCGCAAGATATGGAGCCTCAGTGGCATCAATATGATTCTAGCCAATAAGTTGTTCAATACTTGACAATTCAAGTAAGCAAAAAACATGACTCAACTACTTCAGAGTACTACAAGAATTAGAGCACCAAGCATAACTAAAGTGACTCACGGTAAGCACGATCACTACAAAAAAGAAAGAAAGGTTTGGGGACAATCGTTGGGGGACAACTATGTAGTGTGTAAAGTTGTCCTGATAAACAAAGGAAATAACTTTTTAATAATTTTAACATTTTTTTGTTTAATACAAGCTATCATTTGGGGGGGGGGGGGGGGGAATCGTCCTCAAAGAAAAGATGTAACATCTTAGGCGTATCTTACATCAGCAAAGCATGGGAGAGATTCATGGTTCATAAGTAAGAAATCGATCTTAACTGACAAGACGCGTTTTGGGATGACGTGGAGGTAAGAAATCGATCTTAACCGACAAGACGCGTTTTGGGATGACGTGGAGGAGTTCTTGTGAGAACTCCGAAGTTAAGCGTGGTCAGTGTGGAGTACAACAACGATGGGTAACCTTATGGGAAGTTTTAAATTGCACCTCAAGTCGAAAACCGTGAGGGTCGAAGCCCGAACGAGTTGGAAACTGACGCCAAAATTTTTGTATTTCCCCAAAAATAATGGAAAAATATTTCACCCTCACAAAGAAAACTCTTTTGGAAGCGGATTGGGTATTTAGCACCGTAGTAACACTTAGTGCTTGTTTGCTTGATGAATTTGGTGATAGATTTGGGTTCACGAATGATTGCATAGAATGAGGTCCGCAAACCGACCGACAAGCCCACGGGAGCGCCGATCTACTAATTTACCAAGCTGAAAGAAGTAACGGACCAAAACGGCCGTCAGTTGTTAGTGCTACACGCAAATGGCCCTTTCTGTCTGTCGTATACGTCCGCAGCTTTTCGTCCTGACAGTCGCTCTCAACTTCCGCCGGCTTCTCAACCTGCGGCGCTGATATCATCCCGGGTGTGTGTTTTCCCGTCTCTATTTTTCGATGGGTTTGTTCCAAATATGACAAACGAAGAATTTTCTGGTATTTCCTCCTTCTCTACCGAAACTTTAAGCGACCTATGTATTTATCGTTCCCCCTCGTTTGCTTTTTTTAGCTTTTCCAAAATGGTTTAGGATGCCGGGGAACCCATCTGCTTAAGGCGGCCGGTGGATGCAGCGGTTGTACAATAGTGTCATTACTTTGAAACCAATCCATTTCTAGTAATAGCGGGTTGAAGAGTTACAGCAAACCCACAAGTTATTGAAGTTGGCAATCGTGGGTTCCGTCCCTTATTTGATAGTTGCTGGTGGATGTCAGGTTTCCTTGTATGGCTATGGGGAGTTGGCTGCTGAATGCTAATTCTGGGTTCAAGTATTCAAGCCTAGAGAATGGCTGTTAACTGCAGTAGAAATCAAAGCATTTATTAGCTATCAATTCATTTTGACCTGATTCTTGGTTGGCTTCTGGTCTATTTTCAGCACAAAGAACATCAATAATGAGGACAAAAAGAGTAGCCCGTAAAAAAGGTTCTCTGAAACGTCCTCGGTTGCATCCTCGTGTTGCGTACCAGACATCCTTTAAATTGAGGAAAGTCGACTCCATTGAGCAAAGGGTTGGCCCTGTGGCTTCTGTAATGGATGAAAATGCATCTGCCGTGATTGATGGTGCAATGCTGAAGAGTTTGTCAGCACGGCGGCCTTGGATACTCCATGACTTGGGTGCTGGTGATCATATGCAAGTGGAGGCAAGCACGAAAGAAGAGGATACGGTTTCTACATTTTCTCTTCATGATTTTAGTCTTCCAAGTTTTCACTCAAGTTTGGGGATAACTGATAGTTATAGACTTATTCCCTTGCTTCTGATCAGGAAATTACAATTTAATATTTCACAGGAGCATTCTTCAAAGACTTGCCTTCCAAAAGGCGTTGCTAGGGGATGTCCAGATTGTAGAGATTGCGTGAAGGTATACCCATCCTAAACTTTTTTTCATCTGATAACTAAACCCTGCACAACATTTCCCGACTATCCACTGAATTCTGATGCTGGCTGAAGTCTGGAACAGGTGATGGCAAGGTGGCAGCCAGAAAAAGGAAAGACACATCTTCTAGAAGAAGCTCCTGTTTTCCGCCCCAATGAGGAGGTCCTTCCTGTCTAATTATAACGAAATGAGATTGTGCATTTCTCTTCTCATGTTCTTGCTGTTTTTTACCCCCTCTCATTCTGGGAGGCATATGCTTTTGAATTGTTATCTAAATGAGCATACCATTTTCTGCTCCAGGAATTCAAGGATGCACTAAAGTATATCAAAAGTATATGTCCAATAGCTGAACCCTATGGTATCTGTCGCATTATCCCTCCTACTTCGTGGCATCCTCCTAGCCTAATTACTGAAAAGAGTATGTGGGAAGATTCAACATTTGAATCGCAAGTTCAGCGGATAGATGGACTGCAGGACCAAAATTTAGGCGAGATTTCTGTGTGTTCTGACATGGAAGGTGTTGAAATGGAACCTGGTCCGAGGCTTACTCCTAAAAGTTTCAAGAAATATGCCGATGATTTTGTGTCTCAGTACTTCTCTGTAGATGGCATCTTGGATTCAGAAGCGGATTCCAATGAGTGTGTCAAGCAGAGGGAACCATCTCTGGGGGATATTGAGTGTGAGTATGGAAGAATTATTGATAATCCTACAGAAGAGATTGAGGTATGTTGGGGTGACATGTCTTTGTGCTGGGTTTGCTTGTCCCGTGTCTGATAGACCCAGTTAATGTCACTGTTACATATAAGCTCAGGTCGTTACTTTCCCTGGCACATGTTCTTATTTTGGCTCTTGGCTATTGTAGGTGATTTGTGGTGATAATTTGGATAGTCGGGTTTTTGGCAGTGGATTTCCCGTCTATAAATCTTTAGAAACTTGTACCAGTCAGGAGTACTTGAACTCGGGCTGGAACTTAAACAAGACAGCTGTGCTTCCAGATTCACTTCTGTCATTTGAGATCTTTAGTACTTCAGGGCTCTTACGACCTCGACTTAGATTAGGAATGTGCTTCTCATCTTGTCCTTGGGTAAGATTCACAGAATTCGTCATAAGATAGTGCTAAGATATGCTACACTCTCTTATTTCCAGCAGAACGGATCAGAGTTGTTCATTAGTTTTCCTTTTGAATATGAACACATGGTTTCAACTATTGATCTCTTTGGTTTGCTCTGTTAATTTTCAAAAGCAGAAACTTGCAGTGCACCATTTGTACTGTCTCTCCTACATGCATATTGGTTCCCCCAAAATTTGGTATGCTATCCCTGGAAATCATGGTTCGAAGTTTGAAGTTGCTATGAAGAATTACCTTCCCGAACCGACAATGGAACAATCAGAGATGCAACACTATAGACAGGTAAGTCAGAAGCTCCAGCATTTCGTTTTTTTACTCTTATTCTAGTGAAATGATTTGTCTTCATTTTTTTTTTTTTTTGGGTAGAAAGTCATCATGTATTGATACTCCTGGAGCAGGTTATAACTTCTACTTTTTTAATATGGAAGTTCATGTCTCTCACTTTTGGAGTTAGTCTCAAGTCGGCTTTCAATTGTGGCCAAATATGTTGATCTTCTCATCACTACTAGCAGAATAAAAGTGATTCTTATGCAATGCATGCACTGGTGCAGCTAATGAAACTGACGCCAACTACATTGAAGTCAGCGGGATTACCTGTGTATCGATGCATTCAGTATCCTGGAGAGTTTGTTCTTGTCCTGCCAAGAACACATTATTCAGGGTTCGACTGTGGCTTTAATTGTTCTGAGAGTATCCATTTGGCTCCAGTTGAGTGGTTACCACATGGGCAGAATTCTGCTGAACTCTACAGTGAACAAGCAAGAAGGACTTTTATTTCCCAGGATAAGCTGTTGATTGGTGCAGCTAGAGAAGCTGTGAGGGCGCAATGGTTAGACTTACTGTCTTGGAAAGATATCTCAATAAATGCAAGATGGAAAGAGGCTGCTGGGAAGGAAGGGATTTTAGCAAAAGTGCTCAAGGTAATCAGACCCTTCATCGCTCTTGTTAGTGTGCTAAGGGAACTTGAGGACACTTGAGTTAAACCCTTGGTGTTTCTAGTATTATATCATCACGGGTACCACACCTGTGTTCTTATGATTTGATTCTCCATATTTGTATTTGGCTCCAATTTTTTCAGTTACGTATTGAGTTGGAGGCCAATAGAAGGAAATACCTGTGCAACTCTTCACAGTCAAAGAAGATGGACAAGGACTTTGATTCCACAAGTAAAAAGGAATGTATAGTATGTTATTATGATCTTCACCTCTCTGCAGCCACATGTCCCTGCTCTGCTGACAGATACTCGTGCCTAAACCATGCGAAGCTGCTCTGCTCTTGTCCTTGGGGCCGAAGGATCTTTCTGTACCGTTATGAAATTGACGAGTTAAGAATTCTTATTGAAGCCGTGGATGGCAAACTGAGTGCCATTTATAAATGGGCAAAGAATGATCTCCAGCTTTCCCTGCAGTCCATTGTCTCTGATAAGAATAGCTCGCCAGGAAGGAGGCAGATAGGTGAACCAGGGTGCAGCACTGGAGGATCAGAAAGGAAAGGAAAAGAGAAGTTTTATGATGCATCAATACCCTATGAAGGCTGGAACAGTACTTCCTCTGCGATCAGGGAAGAACTGAAGGCACGAATGCTCCAATGGAAGTCCTTGAAGGAAAAGAGGCTGAAGGGCAAAAACAGTCTGAAGCCTACGTCTTTATTTTCTGATGCTGATGATGCTTGTAACACACATATGCCCGAAGTTTCTTCTGATAGCACCAGCGAATCAAGCTCATCTTAATAATATACGGTAGCACATTTTCGTTTCTCCTCCACGCCCGGAAGATCTAAGCAATGATGTATTCCTGGTTCATGATTGGAGTATAAGACTAACAGGAAGATCAGATTTATCAGAAGTCAGGTTGGCCTATACCCCAGAAAGCTTGTTCTGGTCAGGTGAGTAGGAATGGTAGATACAGAAACAAGTTCATTACTATTTTTGTTATTTCATAGATACTTCAGCTCCGTCTCTTAATTGATACGGTACATCTTTAATGGCCAGGTCCGTATTCTTTATATTCCATTTGGTTTTATTTTTAGCTCATATTAATTTGTTTAGATGGAGGTCGCCATTGGAAATGGAGGCAATCTTGCTTTGACTTGATGGCATCTTAGTAAGTTTATGTATAAAAAAAATGGCTTCTTTCTCAAGCTCGCTCTTAATATATAAAAACCAACGTGAATTTGGAAGTGCAGGACGAACCGGGAAAAGAATCCTCATTCTACATGTTCTATCTGCCTCTCGATGAACTACCCAATGAAATGACTAGTTGACTACATTACACATTACAACTATCAATGGTACAGTGAAAGGAACGATGATCGACATCCCAATGCAGAAGGAAGAACGCCGTTGCTGATACAATCACATCAAAGCCCTGCTGAAACTAGTCCATGGAGGGTAATGATTCCAATCAAAACATTCTGATCACGGATCACAGGCAGAAACTGTACAGGTGATGGTGGTGATTCCATCTTCTTCATTGCTTCCACTGCCATTGCATCTGGACCAATAGTTCTTGGGTTCCTGGAATGAACGGCAGACATACACAATAAGTTCAAGAAACCCAGAATCAGCCATTGGGCATCATGGCTACCCAAATCATGATGATAGTCGTGATCAATTCACTCGCGAGGCATCAGACATTTTTCCTACACAAGTATATATGCATATGCAGTTCGAAAGGTTCACAGCAGAATGCAGCAAAAAAAAAAAAAAAAAAGAGCAGAGAAATTGCAGTTTCCTTTCTTGTACCTGTTGCACATTTCCCCAACTGTAAGCTTGAATATGGCTTCCCCACTAGCCTTGAGAGTCCGCCGGAGATCACCATCAGTAAAGGTGCCAATAAGGTGATGATCAGGATCAACGACAAGAAGGCAACCGCAGCCTTTACTTGTCAGCTCAACCAGCTGATCCATAATCAGATCTCCTTCCCTGCACACCGGCAGCTCATTTTGCTTCTTCATAACATCCTTCACCTGCAAATTGCAAACATCATCATCCTGACTTCTTACTCCTCCAGGCGGAAGATAATTCGAGGCTATCTATCGTCAGGCTACGACCAAATTAACCCAGATTCAATTAACTACTGTAGTTCTCAGATCAATTCGCTACGTCGTGAAAGATAGTCCATCTCCATCGTGATATTTATCGAGCTAACGTTGAATTCCAAAAGCGGCAATATATCAAACACATTGTGGGCAACCAAAAATTCTGAATACCCAATTTCAAACGAACCTTGAAAATCAAGCTCTTGCCGATCCTGCCAGCAGGGTGGTTAGTCGCGTACTCCTCCTTGGTCAAATTCCTGGCCCCCATAAGCGCGATCGCCACCGTATCGCCAAACACCATCTGGATCGCGGTGGAGGTTACCGGAGCCAAATCGAAAGGGCACAGCTCCCTCTCCAGCGGCAAATGTACATTCATGTCGCAGACGGACGCGAGGGAGTTCCCTTCGACGGAAGTCACCGACACCAGGTAGGCCCCTTTGGCCCTGGCGCAGGGGACCAAGCGGAGGAGCTCGTCGGTGTTGCCGGACTTGCTGAAGAGGACGAGGACGTCGAGGGAGGAGAGGGCGCCGATGTCGCCGTGGAGGGCGTCGACGGGGTTGAGGAAGGAGGCGCGGATGCCTAGGGAGACGAGGGTCTGGGAGATCTTGTTGGCGACGAAGCCGGACTTGCCGACGCCGGAGAAGAAGATGGTGCCGGTGGTGTTAAGCAGGGTTTGGGAGAAGGAGAGCGCCTGCGAGAGATCGAGGTGGCGGAAGAAGTAATTGAGATGGTTCTGTTGGGCTTTGAAGAGATTCAGGAGGGTGGATTCGTCGATCTGCCGCTGCTGACGGTGCTTGGGATTCGCAGGAAGATCGAGAAATGGCGGAAGAGAGCCCATTGCCGGACTTCTTCCCCTGTTCGAAAAAAAAATGAATTTCTCTTTTGGAAGGTGGGTTTGGATTCTGATGTCGAGAAATGCGATGGATTTAGCCGGATTCTTTGCGAGATGTATATAACTGGCGGAAAAAGGGCGGCCTTTGAACTTCCGGGACCGGCGGGATCGTCAGCCGTCGGGAAGAAACGGATGGTCGTTAAGCATGGTTGGGCTTTCATCACTTATGAAGCTGCCTGCTTTTTTCTCCCTCTGTTGCGCTATAACCGTGGGCTCTGTTTTTATGGTCAAGCTTCTGTTTTTATTTCCGCGGCAAAGATTTGCCCGGAAAGTGGCGGAGTAACGACGGAGTGGTGCGCTGTGGTCCTGTGGATACTTTCCGGCCGTGCGATGAAATACCAGCTGTATTTTGTAACTTTTATTTTTTTTATTCGTTTGGAATGATGATGGAGATTGCAGCTAAATTACACGTTTGGTCACTCGAATTATACAAATCTTTCACGTTTGCTACTCGAATTACTTTTCTTTCTTATTCGCCACTAACTTTACAAATTATTTCACCGTCAGTCACCGGCCGTTACACTCCGTTAAATTTGTCCTATGTGACAGTCAACTATAAAGTTTGATCGATAACTAGATGATGTGGGAATAAATAAAAAAATTATTTGTCCACCTCATCATGCCACTTACTTTGTGTATATAATTTATCATATAATTTATTTAATAAAAATTAATTAAATTAAAAAAAACAAATAATAGGAAGTGTTTTCTAATATTTTAGGCAGAGTGGATGAGGCGAATCAGAAAATGAAATTGGCTCAGTTGCAGACTTTGACAAATCCCTCTGCTGATAATATAAGCACTGAGAAAGAAGCTGTGCAGAGGTTTTTAGAGCTCAAGCAAGCAAAAGAGAGTTTCTATTATAGGTGTTAATCGGGCGGGTTCGGGCTGGGTTCAATCGGTTTCAGGTTCAAACGGGTTGCGGGTTAGTCGGGTTGCGGGTTCATCGGGTTTTGGGTCGGGCGGGTTGCGTGCGGATCGGGTTTCGGGTTGTTCGGGCCAGCGCATCAAGTGACTTAACTCATTACTCATTACCAACTTACACATTTTATTACACTAATTTAAAATATTTTCTCAACTTTTTAACCAATTTATTTCTACCTCGTATATATATACTTTATTTTTTTGAAAAAAACTACTCAAAATGTTAAATCAATTTGTATGACTTGCAAACTTGTTATGTAATTAATCATAATTGGGAAAGTATTATAGCTAATAGTAATGATGATATCAATATTTGCAACCAAAAGACAACATTAATTGTTTATTTGATATTTTAGTATTAATTCAGTAGTAATTGGATTAAAGTATCTCGTTTAGTATAACCATGCAAATCTGGTATTTCGCGTGTGGTATTTGGCAAAAGAGTTATCCTAAAAATTGTTCGAATTATCCTAAAAATTGAACCATTAAAGATTAGCTATCAAAATTAGTAAAATTATTGTGACTTCAATCATAACTTACTCAATAGCATATATCCTATACACTTAGCCTTACCCTCAATCAACAATATTAAGTTAGTATATGTTGTTGATTGTATACCCTAAACCATCAATACATTACACACTAACCACATAACCTATACCCTATACCCTAACCATATGTCTTTGAGTTGTGATTTTGCTAGTATAGTTAATTTATTTGTGAAATTCATACTTTGATTTTCAAAACATAGATAAAAAGTGATATTTGCTAATTGTTATACCCTAACCATATATCCTATACTTTACACCACATACCTTGTACCCTAACCACGCACCATATGTACCTTATACCCTATACCCTAACCATATACTTTATATCCTAAACAACGAACAGTCAAAGATTACTTATCAAGTTTAGTATAAATTGTTGTAACTAATGGTTAATTTATTTATTATCCCATAAACAATTATATATATATATATATGGTGGCGTATTCGGCGCACCCACTTTTTTGGGTGCACTCAGTGCACCCGCCTCATAATCATCATTCTGAGCAAGCGATTCATGTCAAAACGGTATCAATTGTTGCTTATGATATTATGAACAAGAAGCACGTGAATTTGAAAAAAAAAATCATTTAAAATTTACTTGAATTTGTAGGATTCAGGATTTAGGGGTTTAGGGTTAGGGTTTAGGTTTACAGTTTGGGATTTTGCATTGAGATTCAAAATTGAAGGTTAAAGGGTTAGAGTAATAGATTGATTTGTTATGATTCTATGGCATATCATCATATTAGATTGAGAGTACTTATTAAAGTTCAAAATTTGATGTATTATGGACACTTTTAGAGATGGGTGCACTGAGTGCACCCAAAAAAGTGAGTGCACCTAAGTAGCCACCATATAAGCCTTCAAAGCATATAAGAATAATTTTAACTAGTCATGCCCTCCATATAAAAGTTAGGACTTTGCTACGGTGACATGCATGTCACGGTGACATGCACTTTTCGGTCGACCTCATATAGGATCAGGTCGACCTAATCAGTTGTTTCAGTGTACAAACAGTTTCATGGTGCCTACTTTGGAGATTCATATATTACAATTGGCTAGATGGAAATTGGAGATTAAATGCTTGTTTTGAAGCTGAAGTGTCCCTCTACACATTAAAGTACTTGGGAGCTCAATAGAAAGTCCAGAAGACCATTTTTGAACCTGACCAAAAGGCTATGCCAAAACTGGGAAACTGCCTGAAAATGGCTAAGTCTGGCAACGTGTTTGTCAAGCCTACTTTGGAGCTCAATTTGACAAGCATGGATGCGAGTCAAGTCCAGGGGCCTTTACCACGTTAAATTACGTATTTTTTATACAAAGGCAAGGCATTGAATGAAAGATTGAATATATTTAAGGCTTCAAACAAAAGGCTCGAAGTTGCTACGAATGCTGTTTTTCTGGCAGCTTACTTGTGCTCGAAGTCTGCCAGAAAACAACCTTCGTAGCAACTTCGACCCTTTTGTTTGAAGCCTTAAAGATATCCAATCTTTCATCCAATTCATTGAATTTGTATAAAAACATACCTAATTTAACGTGGTAGAGGCTCCTGGACTCGACTCGCATTCATGCTTCTCGAATTGAGCTCAAAAATAGACTTCACAAACACGTTTCCAGACTTAAGCCATTTCTAGGCAGTTTCCCAGTTTTGGCATAGCCTTTTGATGAGGTTCAAAAATGGTCTTCTGGACTTCCTATCGAGCTCTCAATCACTTCAATATGTAGAGGGACACTCCAGCTTCAAAACAAGTCATTAGTCTTCAATTTCCATCTAGCCAATTGTATGATATGAATATCCAAAGTAGGCACCATGAACTGTTTTTACACTGAAACAACATATTAGGTCGACCGGATCCTATATGAGGTCGACCGAATCCTAAATGAGGTTGACCGGATCCTAAATGAGGTTGACCGGATCCTATATGAGGTCGACCGAATTTTATGTGAGGTCGACCTAATCCTAACTGAGGTCGACCGGAAAGTGCAAGTCACCATGACATGCATGTCACCGTAGGCACACCCTAAAAGTTAAAGATTCATATTTCAAAAGCTAAAATTATAAACCCAAAAAATTGAAAACACCAAAATTTGTTTCCTTCTTTCTTTTCACAAAAATACCAAAATTTCCCTCCTTCTTTCTTTTCACAAAAAAATACTAAAATTTCCCTCCTTCTTTCTACTTCCATACATTAGAAAACTCAATTTTCCCTCCTCTTTCTCTTCCATAAAATTGAAAGAACCAAATTACCCTCTTCTTTCCTTCTATAAAAAATTGAAAACTCAAAAGTTTCCCTCCTTATTTCTTTTTCATAATCAAAAGAATCAAACTTTCCCACTTCTTTCTCTTCCCACATATCAAAACCACCAAAATTCCCACTTGTTTCTTTTCTAAAAAATTCAAAGAACCAAATTTCCCTCTTCTTTCTCTTCCCAAAAACTTGAATACACCAAAATTCCCCTCTTCATTTAAAAACATCAAATTATCAAATACATTACTTTATATTCAAGTGGATTAGATGAAATTCGGGTTGAGTCGGTCGGGTTACGGGTTGGTCAGGTTCGGGTCAATCGGGTTCGGGTTAATCGGGTTGAGGGTCAGTCGGGTTGCGGGTTAGTTGGGTTGCGGGTCAATCGGGTTGCGGGTCAGGCGGGTTACGGGTTGTTGACTTTTAGTCAATTCGAGTTGCGGTCGGGTTGCGAGTCGGGTTGATCGGGCGGGTTAATCGGGTCGGGCTATATTTTGACACCTATAGTTTCTATAATTAAAAATCAAGGGTCAACTGGATTGCTTTGGGTGACAGTAACACCAACTTTTTCCATCAAGCTGTAAAAGTTCGGAAAGCAAGGAAACAAATTCGCAAGCTTATTCTAGCATCTGGCAAGGAGGTACAAGACCCTGAACGGATTGCTGAGGAAGCAGTGCAGTTTTATTACCAATTGTTTGGAGTTGAAAATGCAGAGGTTCAACCTGACTTTGACCTAATTAGCTCATTAGTTGATAAGCATTTAGATGAGGCAGGAAGGATTCTTTGTGCTGAAGTGATTGATCAGGAAATAAGAGATGCACTGTTTAGTATGGATCCCACATGGCTGGACTGTGCAATTTTTCCAAACAAGTTGGACTGTGATTGGAGAAGAGGTAGGACAGCTGTCAAGGAATTCTTCTCAAAAGGGACATTGTCTAAAGGTATGAATGCAGCTTCTCTCACATTAGTTCCCAAGATTCCCACTGCTTCCAGAATGTCAGAGTTTAGGCCAATAGCTTGCATAAATGTACTATACAAAATCATCTCTAAAGTTTTAACTGGAAGGTTCCCAAGATTCCCACCACTTTTCTAATATATTTACTATTATTATTTCGGTTAATACTTTAGTTTGGACTACTTTGGCGTTAAAACCCCATAACGTCCGAAATGGCTAACTATTTCGACCACTTTGCCCTGATCCGTAGATTGAACTTGAAATCAGACCATTTTGAAATAATGTATATCATCATAAAAAATTAATGAAAATATAAAAGTGAACTAAAAATGTATAGATAATTCATCTCATCTAATCATTAAATAAGCAACTTGATAGGCTTTTTTCATAAATATTGTATTTTTAATAAAAGTTATCCCAAATATCGTGGTTAAGAAAATATTTCTCAATCTACTGTACAAATAAACGAATTGGGACGCGCATGCCAAATCGGGTTTGTCTCAACGGAAAAAATAATTGGGGCGCGCAAAAAAAAAACAACCAAAAAATGAATTAGAGCGACGAAAAGATTGATTGGGGAGCACACGTCCAAATTGGTCTTTTCATCGCCCCAATTCGTCTTTACCTCACCCCGAAATCCTCTAAATCTACCACACACAATCTCCTTCTTCCTCCTTCACTCCCCACCAAAATACTCGCTAGAAAATACTTTTTCTTGTCGGGAAACTACATTTCGCCAGTGATCAAAAGGGTCTAATCGAGTTCTTCAAC